AACCCACGACCTTCGGTTCAATACGCCACAGCTCTAACCACTTGAGCAAGCGTGACTTCACGATGACGTGGTTAGAGCAGCAGCGTATTGAGCCGAAGGTCGAGGGTTCGAATCCCGCTCGTGACACTACTGTTTCGTCTCAACCAAGACGTTACATAAAAAGAATAATTAATTGAATGAAGTAACTTGGTCAATTAGACCACTAAACATAATGGATGCAAAAAGTATCTTCATTTTCCTCTTATAAAGGTAGGAACTGGTCCATTTCAAAAGGTCTTGAATACTGAGACTAGACAACTTGAACAAAAGTGCCAAAAAAAATTCTTTAGAAACATGACTCTATAAAAAAATTACGTGTTTTATATTTTTTAGTCTAGTTTCAATTTTTAACTTTTTCTTGGAGAAAAATTACACAGGGTATCTCAGCCCAGTCCAGCTTCAAATTTTCAAATACGACCCTATACATCCTGACGCATTATTTTCAAGGATTTTTAATGTATTTTAAATGGGTCAAAAATGACAATGTTAGAGCAAAAAGTTAAAAAAAAAGTTATTCGGTTTGCTATTTATTAATCACATTTCATGTTCGAACTGCCTGCCTTGCGTAAAGGTGCAAAGATTTGGTCTTTTTAACCCTCTTCACCCGTGCTCAGAACGATATAGTCAGGGGAGATGGATTGACAAGCGTCTTCTATCCTTTGTCGCGTACTTCAACTAAGGTTGCTGGGTGATGATTGACCTGCTTTTTAAAAGGCCCAACAGAAAATAGTCAAGAGGAGGTAAATCGGGTGACCGAGGAGGCCAACGGGTCGGGCCTTGAGGTCCTCTGCCACCTATTCCGGAAATGACGATTCAAATAACGCCTCACCTGCAAAGAATTGTGTGCCGGGCATCCATCAAGCTGGAGACTCATTCTTTGTGGTTGTTGCGAGGAACATCATCTAATAGTGTTGGTAAAACCTCCCTCAAATTGAGGAACCGAGCACCATTTAAATTATTTTCGTAGAAATAAGGCCCAATTGATTTATTTCCGAGAGGTCCACACCAAACGTCGAAACTGTGAACCATTTGATGATGACAAGAGTACGAAATTGTCGGATTTTTCTCTGTCCACTTTCGAAAATTCCAACGGTTCAGTATGCCATCAGAGGTGAACTTGAATTCATCAGTCCATTGGATGTATGGAAGAACGTTTTCTTCAGCCACCCAAAAACGACATTTGTGCAAGGAATGTTAGTCGCCAATCATAACCAGAGTCCCGAAGTCCCTGGACAAGATGAGAACGAAATTGTACATACAGCTTAAAATTGTAAGTACGGAGACTCTCTAACATTACTCTACTACTAAGACATCTCTAATTTTATTTTTACAAAACTTAAAACCCTTCCAACATTTCAGAGAGAGCATTTCAGATTTTCGCATTCACCTCCTCGTCAGAATTACACTGCCGGTTTCTTTTTGCCATAATTTTGTCATTTTTGACCAATTTAAAAGTTCGGGTGTTATAGGGTCGTATTTGAAATTTTCAAGTTGAACTGGGCCTGAAGTACCCCGTATAATTTGTCACAAAAAACAACAAGAGAACAAATTGCCAGAGAGTTCCTCTCATTTTAACTCAGAAGAATTTCGACCATATCTTCGTAAAACGTTTTTATAAAGGTCATTAGACTTCCTGGTCCGATTGACGAAATAACCTCATTCAATTAATTAATCTTTATGTAAGATATTGGTTGAGATAGAAAAGTCAGTGTTACGAGCGGGATTCGAACCCACGACCTTCGACTCAATACACCCCTACTCTACCACTTGAGCTATCGTGACTTCGATCCACTCGGACATCAACTTCCTATCTCAACCAATCATTTGAATTTTCCATCCTTTTTGCCACGAATCGAATCGAAGTCACGCTAATTCAAGTGGTGGAGCAGAGGCGTATTTAGCCGAAAGTTCGTGGATTCGAATCCCGCTCGAGACACTGACTTTTTTTATCTCAACCAATACCTTACATATAGTTTTTATAAAGTGTGTGGTGATTAGTGACCGTTAGACTATGATTATTCGGAAATTGTGAGATGCGTGTGACGTAGGTTTCAGAAAAAACATTTTCTTTATCGTGCCAACGTTTCGATCTTTATTGAGATCATCTTCAGGGCTCAAAGTGTTTATTTTCTACGTAATTGTGCCATTCTTGTGTGTGGGCACTCTCAACACAACACACAAGAATGGCACAATTACGTAGAAAATAAACACTTTGAGCCCTGAAGATGATCTCAATCAAGATCGAAACGTTGGCACGATAAAGAATATGTTTTTCTGAAACCTACGTCACACCAGACCGCATCTCACGATTTCGTTTTTATAAACGTTGATAGATGGCAATCGCAAAGTGACTTTACTGTGTTCGCGTAGGAAAATCCTGTGGGAAACGCAGCGCCACACCGTTCGCAGGAAGAAAAGCCGGTTTAGATCCCAAGAAGAGTGCATTTGGTGGAGATTCGAGGTGCTTTATTATAAACTTCCCGACGAAACCACCAAAAGCAAAGCATACAACATACAAAACTGTTTTCAGTTAGCAATTGATCAAAAACGACCTGCATTGTATAATCCGAAGGGGATTGTCTTCCACCAGGATAACGGTCGTCTGTGTCCAGACGAATAAACAAATTAGGCCTAATAAAACGAAAACAGACTAAGAGCAATAATCATTATTAGAGTTAATATTCACAAGACGATCGAATAACATAAATCGTTGACAAAACCAGCTTTAAATAAAATCCGGGGTTTAATAATAGCTATTAACTATTTATAGCCCAGTCTTGGTTTTTATTTAGAGTTCCCGGTGTTGTCTATTGCGTGTACATCGGGTGTGAGTTATATTTCAAATTTCTGTTCTAATTCGGGCCCGGTGGAAAGAAGTGGGCCACTTTTAACTGTCGGTTAAAACCGGTGTTTATTGCGGATCAAAGCTACCCCGTTCCCTGTTTTCAGACTTATGGGCGTGGGTCGAGCTCGAAATCACTTTTAGTCCCCAGAGACTCCCACGGAAAAGGCCGAAAATAACGGATTATCGTATAATTTTAACCATCTTCGAAACGGACAAGACGATATTGACGCAAGAAAATTTTATAGCAATTTTCCACCCCGGCTATTTTGTATTATTCTATCACTCGAGGCAGTCAACAAAACTGTGCTGATTGGTCTCATGTTTTAAAATCCGGGGAAAATTTTAAATATTTTTTTCTCTCTAGGTTTTCTTTGCCTGATCTTCCTAGGACCTCTAGCCCTATCCTTGGGCGAAGAAGAATAAAAGATAATTCCAAGACCCTATAAATAACTTTCTGGACTCGTTATCACGGTTAGCAGTTGAAAATATCAGACGCCACCTTCCACATTACTTGGCAGGTGGATACAATTAAATTTAGCAGTTTATACTGAGCGAGACGACTAACGTATTATTTCCGGCAGTCGCCTCCAAACCTGGATTTTATTAGCACCTGGGCCTTGAAAGTCTTTTTGGAATGTTGGCTCTTTTATATTCATCCAGTCGTTCTATTGACATTGGGCCAATTTAGAACAGAATCTCTGTTGTAATGCCTTTTTGAGTAAATTTTGTTTTTTAATAAATGACAAAGATGAAGAAAGAAAAAATAAGTCTATCAAATATGTTTAGAATAAATTACAACCATGGGAAAAAGCCAACTGCCAGATTTAGCTTTTTTTCGAAACATAATTCATTTTAAAGCGTTTCTTCATAAACATAGGCTAAATGTGAAATATTGAAAAAATCCAGAGAATTTAAAAGAATTATAAAATAAAAATCTCTTGGTCCGTTGTATGGATTAGTGCTGTTTGATTGTATGTTTATTACTGGGCAATTTATAAGTGGGCGGAGTTATATTATCCACCCCAATATATTTTTCAGATTTTAAGATAATTTCAATTAATTATTCTTTTTATCTAAGATCTTGGTCGAGATGAATTAGTTGAAATAATTAATATGGTCAATTATGACCCTCTAAACGTATTGTCTTAATTAATGTCTACATAAACATATTAATCCATATATGTTTTTATGGTTAATATTTTAAGATAATATTGGATCATACACTTTCAAATAAACGAGAAGAAAATTAAGTAGTGAGTGGGTGACTGAGTGTGTGAATCTCACTCAATCGCTCAATCGCACGCACACTCACTCACTCAATCACTCACTCACTCTCTCTCTCTCATTCAATCTCACTCACTCACTCACTCACTCACTCACTCACTCACTCACTCACTCACTCACTCACTCACTCACTCACTCACTCTCGCTCATTCACTCACTCTCACTCACTCTCTCTCATTCATTCTCGCTCGCTCACTCGCTCACTCATTCTCGCTCACTCACTCACTCTCACTCACTCACTCGCTCACTCTCATTCAGTCTCACTCACACTCACTCACTCGATCACTCTCTCTCATTCAATCTCTCTCTCTCTCTCCCCAGTCACCCTGTACATGCAAGATAAGTGACAACTCAAAAAGGGGTAGTTTGTTAGTGGTAGTACATCTGGATTTTTAAAGTTTCGTATTTTCTTCTTGGACAAACGAAAGAAAATATTAATTGATCATGACAGTTTTTATTACCAACAACCTTAATGGCGTTTAATTAATACGTAAATTTAAAAAAAAGTAAACTTCTGTCTCTCCTGTAAAATTTCTGTTTTTTTTTTTACTTTTTTTCCCTTTTCTTATTGGTGTGCAATATGATAACGAAAGGTGCTTATGTTGTTCAGTTAAAAGTTCGTAGGCACAGAGGCCGATTTAGTTTTTAACAGGATCGAATAGTTTTCTTCATACCGGCAGATACTGTTTAAAAAAAATTATTTGCCAAAGTAGTGAAAAACGTTTTGTATAATTTTTATGGATTTTTCACCTTAAAACGTTTAAATTGTGAATGGCGTTTATGTAAATAACAAAAAAAAAATAAATAAATAAATAACGGTTTGATTTTTCAGACAAATAGACGGTATTGCGCCGACATTTTCGAAGAAGCCTACAATACGACAAGAAGACGATGGAAAAAGGCTCCTGTTCGAATGCAGAATACAGGCTGACCCGAGGCCTACAGTCACCTGGTCCCATAGCGGAATCGAAGTCAAACAAGACGCCAGGCACAAGGTAATGTACAACAAATACATAAAAACAACCCGGCGCCACATGCTAAACCGTCAACACTCTCGAGTCATGCATCGCATCATTACGACCACTCCCGGGGTCGTTCACGCGACTTGAACGTGGCATGTTGCCACAAACTTGAACAATATATCGATGAATGTGCCATTTAAATTTTGACTCTTTTATCTTTTCGAACCATCGAAGATATTTCAAGTTTAAACACACTGAAACTTTTATGTTATGTAATTATGTTTTTTTTTCCACAGCTGATTTTAGAAAACGATGGACACTCTTATTTCGCTACTTTAGAAATAGAAAACGTAACAGTGGAAGACGCTGGAAAATATAAAGTAATGGCCAAGAATGAATTAGGCGAAAGCAATGCTACAATTAGCCTTAACTTCGACAGTCAGTATAAAAACTTTTTACCTTTCAAAATGCATTTAACGTTGGGTTTTTTTATATAACTATTTTGTCAATAATAATGCTAGAGCGCTCAACCAAAGCAAATTTGGGCTAGAGTCATAGTTAGCTATTTGTTAAAATTATATATGAACTGCCTGCCTTGTCCAAGAAATCACTTGAGTAGCCAATGAAGTATGTAGTGCACGATTAACTTTTTTTAATATGTAGAATTTTTTTTTATAAATTGTTCAATTTGACAAATCTAGGAAAAATTTTTCCTAGAAGGAGTTTAAAAAGAATTCCTTCATAGTAAAGCTTTTATTTTTAGTGCAAGTCAAACATTGGCTTAGTATAACTTTTGGTTGTAAGTATTTAACGCTTTGGTTAAATGGTTATATTAATCAGTTCTGTGTATATTTTACTATTAATACATTGTTAAGAGGTCTTATACTAATAAGTAGATATACTACAACAAACATACCACATAAAAAAATATATTTAAAAAAATGAAACTTTAAGTTGTTGAAGAAGAATTTTTTTTTTCATTATCAAGCAATCTACAAATTTTTGAAATTGGAGTCTTTTCACTTTTAAATTAATTATTTTTGTGAGATTTCCATGTAATTATGTGACCTACAAGAGTAGTCTATAGACGTGGGATTGCAGATTTTAACGGAAATTTCTTTTGGTGATACTAGGTGGAAAAATTTTATACATTTGTCCGAGCATTCTTACCAATGGGCCCTAGGATCTGAGGAAAAAATAAATTCTCTGCCTTTATTGTGGCAATAAGAAAAAGAAAATACTAAACAGAATCATATTAAATGAGATTAGATATATAAAAAGTTAAAAAAATAGACGCTCTCAGTAAAATAGGCTGAAAAAATTGTTTTTGAAAAGACAATACTGATTTGTTCCAAGCACCATTTAAAGCCCTTAAATACAAATTTGAATTGGCAACCAGATACAAACTATTTGGAGCTGGATTTTTCATAATTCCATTAATTTTTATCCAAATTCCACATTATGACAACCATTCAAAAGTCGTTGAACTTCTCTTCTTTATGTCAATGAGATTTATATTTTGTGTCGTTATAAGTAAGGATGAAAACAATAAAAACACTTCAAACGTTTTATTTTATTTTTCTTGTTCTTATTTATTTATGTAAGTCTAATTGTTGCTATTACATGTGGTTTAATGAGTCCTAAACCCCTTCAAAGTTTCCTGTAGATTAGTGAGGTCGTTTCAAAATTATCACCATTTTGTGTTTTTGTTATTTTACCTAAAATTTGTATTTACGTTTTTTTTTAATTTAGAAAAAGAATATCACCTTTGTTTCTTGCTAAAAAAATTAACCTACTTTCCTATGTCACTATGTCGAAATTGTACTTGGCAGTTAGCCATTAGCATTGGTTAACATGATTTGTAACCGAGCAACATAGGAAAGTATGCTACATTATTTTTTAAGACAAAACAAAGTTGACAGTCGTGTTCTGCACTCTCAGAAACCTTAGGGTACACATTTTGGGAAAAATATGTTTTTTCTTTCAAACTTTTCTTCTTCCACAGGTTTCCAAATATATTTTAAATAATTTGCATATTTAAAAAAATAAGTTTTTCAACTTTTGGATTTGTTGTAAGCGTCCTTTAAAGCCCTGAAATACGAATTTTCATTGGCAACTAAAAATGGATATTACTGCCAGGAGCAATTTTTTCTCCTGTGTCCTGTTGTTCCATTTAAAAATTCATAATTTATCCATGTTTATACTTATTCATATTTTATCCAAATTCAACATTATTACAACTGTTGGAAAGCTTATTTTTTCTTTCTTTCAGTCTAGGTCAACAATGTTTATATTTTAAGTCATTATAAGTGAGAAAAATAAGGATGAAATGAACAAAAACATCTCAAACATTTTATTTTATTTTTCTTGTTTATAGTTATTTAGATAGGCCAGATTTGTGCCATTACGTATAGTTTTGTAGGCTCTAAACTTCTGCAAAGTTTCACTGGATTGGTGAAATCGTGTGAAAATTATAATTTTTTGTGATTTGTGAAAAAAATCGAAGGGAAAAGTTTGAAAGAAAAGACATATTTTTTATTTTCCCAAAAAATTGTATTTAGGGATTTTACTTGGAAAAAAAAATGATCTGAAGCTGTAAATGTCTGTCAACTTTGTTTCTTCTTTAAAAAAATTGTATCATACTTTCCTAAGTCTCTCGGTCACAAATCATGTTTATCAATGCTTATGGCTAACTGCCAAGTACACATTTGATGTAGTGACGAAGCAAAGTAGGTTAAAGTTTTTTAAATATTTTTTTTTAAGTTAGAAAAAGATGATATTCTTTTTCTCCATGCAAAAAAACCCTAAATACAAAGTTTCGGGCAAATAAAAATATACTTTTTTCCAATTTTCCGCCTTCCATGTTTTTAAAATCATAAAATGGTGATCATTCTGAAATGACCTCACTGATCCATAATCAAATTTAAAGAGGTTTAGGTTGCCACTAAACAGCATGCAATGTCAACAATTCGACCTACATAAATAAATTAGAACACAAGAAATAAAGTTAAAAGTTTGAAGTTTCTTTTTGTTGAATTCAACCTTATTTTTATCACTTATAATGACATAAAATTTAAAAAAATGTTCATATATGCTGAAAGATCAGTTTGTGGTCTAATTGACCATTTAATTATTTCAATTAATTATCCTTTTTTTAACCAAGTCCTTACATAAAAGGTTGTTAAATTAATTGAGATATTGTAATAATGTTGAATTCGGATAAAACCCAAAGGTGTGATGAATTTTTATGTGGAAAAATAGGACACTGGAGAATTGCTAACCAGCCCAATTTTTTTTTTTGCTATAAACAATAATATTTAAGGGCTTTAAAGGTGATTTGAATGAATCCCGATTAGCTTTAAAAAAAAATTTTTTTTTGGCATAGTTTACTAAAAGTCTGTTTTGATTTTTTACCTTTTTATATATTGAATTTCATTTAATACAATTGTGCATATTATTTTATTATTATATGTAAAAAACTTGACTGATATATAATAACCTTGAAAGACAAAAAATAGACCAATTACTTCAAATATATTTTTTCTTGGCTCCTAGAGTATACTGGCAAGAACGCTCGGACGAGCAAAAAAAAGTTTAATTAAAATCTGTGATCTCACATCTGTAGCTCCTCTTGTTAATTCTATTTGGCAACATTCAATAGTTGATATAACCGAGAAAAAAAAATCAACTCCTAGAACACAACTCTTGAACATAAATAATTTATAAATGCAATATTTTGCAATTTAATTGGATTTAAGCATGCAGCTGTCAAAGTTTATTATATTGCTTGATATGTTTTAACTTCCCATTATTAATTATTGCTTAATAACGCAACGAATGGCATTGTAAATGTTTTCTAATTTACTTTATTTCATAGTATGAGTTATTCGAAGGCAAAAAAAAGTCCAAGAGAGTAAAGGTGTATGTTGTAGATGTAGATAATATCAAGGGCCTTTTACCAATGTGTTGTATATATTAGTACGGTATAAGTTATTGTAGAAATAGGTAGCAGGATGTTTGTCAACTATAGGTGACGAAGCTCCAGTTCCTGAGAACGGCATCAAACCGACGTTTACCGAGCGGCCACTTATAAGACAGTCCGACTCAGGATCAGAAATCACAATCGAGTGCAGACTTGTGGGAGAACCGAAACCTTCAGTAATCTGGTGAGAACTGCTATATCTAATTTAATTTTCATTCATATAAATAAATTATTAACATATTAAAATATAAAATGAGGCAGACCGAAAATCACATTTGCTTCAAATCGCATTACTGTATTTTCAGGTATCAAGGAGACAAAATTATAAAAGAGACAAACAGGGTAAAACTACTGCTTGAACTTGATCAGAAGTTGTATTACCTTGCCAAACTAGTGATTAAAGACATTAAAAACAGCGATGGTGGAGTATATAGGGTGATAGCATCTAACAAGCACGGAGAAGCTACAGCAACAGTGAATTTGAACTTTGAAGGTGGAGACAAGCCCAAGTAAGTTAGATATTTTTGTCCACTCAAAGAAGAATTTTACTCATCTGTTGTTTCTAATTAGCACAAGAGCAATATAAACGAGTGTGTAATGAATTTTCATGGAACTTGGAATCTCGTTATATTGAAGTTCTTGTACTTTCGCTTTTATAGATAATATTTTTTTTTCTAATTGATAACGTAAAATTTATTTTATATTTTAATATTTTCAAATTCAAAGGAAAGAAAATTTATAGAAATTTTATTTTCTAAAGAATACAGGATGCAAAACCGCCAAGGTTTCCTAAAAAGCCGACCATTCACCAAGAAGGCGACATCCTTGTAATGGAATGCCTATTGGAAGCGAATCCGGTGCCCGATATCATCTGGTATCAAGGGGATACTGTTATTCTAGATTCGACGCGAATTAGAATGAGCAAACGAGCTACTGGCAAAGACCAGTATCTCTTGAAGCTGGAAATTTCCAAGCCGACATCGCAAGACGGCGGGAATTACAGATGCAATGCCTGTAACGCGTATGGGGAGAGTAATGCTAACATAGCATTGAACTTCCAAGGTAATAAGAAACTTTCTACAATCAAGCTAATCTTCTTTTTCTTCTATGTTGATGTTTTGTGCTGTAAGTAGTGAGGTAATCTTAAATTACTATATAGCATGTTTCCCTTTATTATTACATAAAGGAATAAAAAATACGATTGATACTAACTTATGCACCCAATAAGGTCACAATTTTTTCATTAATTATACATTTAATTAACATACATGACAATATTTCGAATGAAAGAGTTGTATAACTGGCAGGAAGTTTTTTATATGTTGTGGAAATGAATAAATTAAAAAAAATTCAGAAATCAGGCAAATTTGATAGAAAAACACTCAGTTCTTTCATCAAGCTTTGAGTAATGCAATGCCTTTGAAACTGAACTTTGATTGAAATTGCGTTTGAATTTTGAAAATATTTCTAATGATTCACATGGTTAAAAAAATATTACTTACAATATTCAAAATTATGCCTTCAAACATAATGAATTTATGAGTTTAGCTTAATCATAATTAGATGATGTTTGGAAAAAATCTAAAACTAAACGGATTATGGTAAATAGATCTAAAATAGAACATGGAGTATGGGCAGGAGGGCGAAATTTTAAACTAGCAAAACTTCTAGGCCCCATATCAACAATTTTTCAAGCTGACATCCATGCAATAGAACTCTGCATAAGAAATACTTAAAATAGTGTTACCAAAGTATTACCAGGTGAATTATAAGACAGCCAAGCAACATTAGTGGCTTTAGACTCCTCCACCTTCAATTCTAACTGGGTCTGGGAATGCCTACCATATCTCCATCTCCTGGAAAAATGAAATTGGTTAACTCTGATGGAAAAGCAGGAAGGTTGGGTTTGGTCATTAAGCATACTAAGACGATGTACATGTTTTCCACAAGAGGTCAAGTCAATTCGCTTCTATTGCACTGAACGATGAGGCTTATGGAGACCTTCATGGCTTACAATACCCCCAGACCTCCGCCAACGGCTCTCTCAGTCCGAACCACTACCAACGACATATCCCACCAAAACTTCCAGTCACTAAAAGTCCATTGAACGATAGTGAGGCCAGTGATACTTTATCTTTATGGCTCTGAAACTTGGACCATGACCAAGTGCAGACAAAGATTTTTTAAAAGAAGGTTTGAAGGAAGATCATTGGAGCAGTTTGCATGGATGGTCACTGGCGAATACAAATGAGGAGTTGACAGTTTTGTACCAGAAACCAGATATTTTGACTGAAATAAAAGCCCTCAGGTGGGTTGGCCATGTGGAAAGGTGTCAAAAGGTAGTGCTATAAAGAAAGTTTACTTGGGTAAGCCAGGTGGTAGATGGCTGTGAGGAAGGCTTAGAAAGAGATGGATGGATGACGTTGAGGATGAACTCAGAAAGATGCAGATTGGAAATGGAGGAGATGCATGGAAGACAGAAGAAACTGGGCCAGAATTGTAGAGGAGGCCAGGGACCTTCAAGAGCTGCATTGCCAATGAGTTGTAGTAGTAACAAGTAAGTAGAAATGGGGTGGGCATGAGGACATTAAGGTATTGAAGGCAATGGAGAGGCTGACAAACTAGCACATACTGGAGCGCCCATCACACCCTTTGGACCAGAAACACAAACCCACCCCCGAAGCGAGCTAAAAGTAAAACTGAACATTCCTCAACATCTCAACCATGAAAACAAAAATTTACCTCTCCCTCAGTGGGTGAGAATTAAGGAAAATTATAGGCTTTTATTGGCCACCCGTTCAATCACTAAAGCAAAATATTAGGAAAAATTTAGACAGAAGCCTTCCAATTCTGTCATGAAGAGGCATAAACATTAGAAGATATGCTATATGACTGCATTAACCTAGAAACAGCACAGCCCCTTTGGAAAGGCAATAATAACCTTATTAAAAGAGGTAAGCAAAGAGAAACCCCAGAAAGTGCTAAACTACCTAAATGGCAGTGCACATTTTGAGGTTTGGAAATAAAGAAGGGTCAACAATCTGTGAGATCACAGTGGAAGAAAGGGAGACTTTGGTCACTAGTGACTCTGAAGAAATAAAAAAAAGTAGATATTTATATCTGTTAACCTTGTAAGTCATTCTTGATGAAGGCTATATTTCTCACTGGATAAAGTAACTGAGTATTTTTCTTTCCTAACATTTTGTCTTATGCCTGATTTTTATATACAATTAAGTCTAAAAGTCTAATATAAATTACAAAATATCTTTTATAATTTGATCTGTATTTTTATCAGAATTGCCATTATTTTTAATTTTTTTATGGTTAAAAGAACTATAAATTATATTGAATATTTGATAATAATTTTGTATTTTTTTCCCAGCCATTTATTATAATCTGATAAGGTTTATTAAAATGTGTAGAGATTAGTGACCGTTTATTAAAATAACATCCTTGATGAACTCTGAGTCTTTGATATTTTTATTCTTGAACTTGTTCATACAATTTTGTATTGTCATTTTTTTAGTGGGAATGAATTTTTAATTTATTTAATAAATTAATTGTAAAGAAAAAACACTAATTAAATATCAGATGAATTGTTGGAAGTGACATTACAGTACAGTAATGATTTTAGTGATTTATTTTGCTGTGATATTCCTCCTTTGGTCTGCAAGGTGATGAACCTGTAATTTGATTCTTACCGATCTTGATCTGCTTATCCTCACTGGGTCAGTCAGACACGCCGAAGGTGGCAAAATGCCGAAATGCATACCACAGACCAAGCGAGGATACCAGGATGATTGGCAAGGATCAAATTTAAATTCAGGAGTTGCAATTGTTTGTTTTCAGACTTTCATATTTTTCAAGCTTCAGTTCGCATTCAACTAACAAAAAAAAAAATATTTGAGGAAGTATATGTGACAATATTTTTTTCTTACCACGCACCATTTTCACATTTAGTTTCTTTTTTTATACAACCAATCGCCATTACAAATTTCAGTTCACTTTCATCAACTTTGGAACAAAAAGTGTAAGTGATTCTTGGGTATTGAGTGACCATTTACGTGTTTTGATATTTTATGTTTTTTTGTAGAGTAAAAATTAATATATTTTCTAGCAGATATGGTTTGGCTTAAACCATTTTAGCCTTGACGATAGTAATATTTAATTGATCAATAGAAAAACTTATCAAATAGCATATAAAATAATTTTATAAAATTATTTTAATAAATTATGTAAAAAAAATATTTTTTTTTAGGATGTAGTGTTGAATCACATATGTAGTTGAACAATATATAAAATATAATCATTAATTTATCAATTCTGATAAACAAATATCGTATTCAGTTTATCTTCGTCAGAGCTAATGTTCATTTTTCTTAACTGCTGGCATAGATAATTAAAATCAGCTAAAATACTAGCTATTTTATGCCGAATTGCATTTTTCGACTCACCTTAGGAAAAACAATGCACCACCAATGTCTATCAAGTCGCTTATGTCTGCCCAGAGTATGAAATTTTCCATTGTACAGAGACTCAGATCGAATAATGACCCATTGGGTCTGCTGAGTATGGGGCCAACAAGCCTGAAACATACAAAATAAACACTTTTTATGGGTTTTCTTTGACCCACCATCTAAATAATAATTTTCAGCTGTCTGCACACTTTCCTTACTAGATAGGAAATGCTAGGCCATTGGCACTTTAAGCATTTTAGAAGAGTCCAGGTTGAAAGATGTTTATGAAAGATGCTAGGGGGTTGGGATGAGGGTCTAGAGTTTTATGGAGGCAGTCGGTTTTTTTGCGGTTTTGAAGACAAATATCTGAAGGTCTGTGTGAGTACTAAGCTTGGATAAGGAGTAGGGAGCTTGGGCAATGGTTTGAAGAATTCTGGACTGGAGTGACTTGATTCTTTGGAGGTTGGAACATTTTTGGTTGAACCCTGCAGTTTGATGTACAGATTAGTTGTAGTAGATGTGTTCATTTTACAGAGTTTTGATCTGTTGTCAAATAGTGTTTTGAGTAGTTTTGTGAAGCGAGTTTTTATTTGACTCCAAGAAATAAACAAAAAGGAGATTTAAATAAACAACTATATATTGTTGTTAAATAAACAACTATGTATTGTTGAGACTTATTTCGATTGGAGTCTACACAAAAAATAAAAAAGAACCTGGCAAGGAACATGTAACAAACGGATTCAAATGTGCATATGCAAAGAATGAAAAAGAAAAAAAAAGAGATGTTCTACCTTTCTGGTCGTCAGACATTCTGCAGGAGGCCCAGTCAACAGACAATGATTGATGAAGGATGAATGGCGAACAGAATGATGAATCTTTCAATATCCAGATCCTGCAAGGGCAGTTTATCTGACCAGACACCTCCTCAAAGTCCGGAGTGCAAGAGTTTTCAACAGATCCAGTTGATCCAAGAGTTGGAGAGGAGATAATCCTTTTCCCAGATGTTTTTCTTTTAACTTGTTAGAGTTTATATCATCTGTTCATTCCTACAAAGTCACAAGCTGCTGGGAAAGGAACAGAGTTATATTAGATTGGAAGAAAGGTGTGAATGTTAGCTTGGTTTTGGTTTCGTAGAGTCTGATCCTTTATTTCTTGAACTTGAAAACAGGACAGATGGTCCTGGAATTTTCTGAAGGCCATTGTGTCTGGGCTTGCCGAGAGCATAGCGGTATCATCCGCATGAAAAGTACTTCTGCGTTGTATGTTGAATAGAGCATGGGACCAAGGATGCTGCCTTGCAGCACACCCAGTTCAGGGAGAAGTTCAAGGGTGGATGCAATGATGTCTACCACCCTGTGGCATTGTTGAATGGCAGATGTCGCCAGAATCTAAAATGTAATGCATTGAAGGTTTAAAAGATGGAATAAAGGGGTTGTTTTGCAAGTATTTCACCAAGTAGTGGCAGCAATCTGATGGGGTCTCCTTATCAATGTGAAATGTAAAAATTGCTGTTTTATTATTTGAAATGAAAGGTTAATTAAAGTAACCATATATTTGTAGTCATAAATTTAAAAAAGAAATTAAAATGAGCACATATATAAAAATTTTATTCACCAAAATTTAATTGTAATTTTTATAAAACTAAATTTCTTGCGACTAATAAAAAAATAAGTTAGGGTATGTTTTGCACAACAGTTTTTTATATTTAAAATGTATTATTCTGATAATTTAAAATTGTATATAAAAATCAGGGATAAAGCGAATTTGAAAGGAAGAAAAACACTCAGTTACTTTATCATGCTTTCCAGGAATACATCATAATGATTTAAATGGCTAATAAATATGCAAATCTACTTTATCTCAGTAGAGTGGACAAGTGGTACATCTCATCCACTTTATTAAGCTAAAATCATAAATCCGTAAGCTATCGTGTTCAACCATAATTATTTTAAGAGTTTAGCTTAGTAGAGTAGAATGAGTGGAGACCTATTAGCCGTCCATTCAACTTTAAAATGATTCATGTCAATTGCAGTCAAGTATTAGATATAGTCTTTATGTCAATCAGACCATGAATTCTAACGAATTAGATATAGTTTGAAAGTCCTGATAAAGGGCGATCCTATGAATTTCTCAAAAGCTTGATGGAGGAACCATGTTTTTTCTTTCTTTCAAATCCACCTTATCCCTGATTTTTTATATATAATTCTAATAGGCTGAATATCAATCACATAAATATGATAATATTAAAAGTCATTATAATTTTGCTTATATAATACGCAGTGTGATACTTGGCTTTCAAGTGTTTTTCATTCCATGCTTTGTGTGGCAAACAACAAAATTTTGTTGTAAACTGTTCACAATTTTTTTTATAATACTTTCACATAAGAATATAAATATTTAGACTAAGTTATAATTACCTTTTTTTAAACTTTTTTTGTTTCAGGTGGAGACTTGATGTTTTTTCTTCCTTTTAATGTTTTCATATATATTTGTTTTTTTAATATTTCTTTACGACTTTAATTATTTTAGTGGCCCTTGTTTGTTAATTAGTTTTAAGGAGAAAAAAAAGTTGTTTTTTTTGAAAATTTTTGAGATAAAAGTGTTTTTCAGGTGGAGATGATGGAGCTGGCTTCGCTCCTTCCTTCACAGAAAAACCAAGAATTATTCCTAATGACAGTGGCACACTGATTACGATGAAGTGCACTTGTACTGCAAAACCAAGACCAGAAGTCACATGGCTTAAAGGAACTAAAGTTGTTCAAGAAAATTCACGTGTTTCTATGAAGGTTGAAGAAAGAGAAGACACATACATACTTATGCTTGAAATCAAGGTAAATTTTTGAATTGATATAAAAAAAATTACGTAATTTTACGCTATTTTTTTTTCTGTCTACAGGACCCGATAGGACCTGACAGTGGAACATATAAATGCCACGTTAAAAATGAATTTGGTGAAAGCAACGCTAATCTAAACTTAAACATTGAAGCTGAGACTGAGCCAGAAGGCACTGCCCCAACGTTTATTGAAAAGCCCAAAATCAGATCAGAACAAAATGGAAAACTTGTTGTGATGGACTTCAGAGTGAAAGCCGATCCTAAGCCAGACATTATTTGGTTTCACGAAGGAAAATCGTTAAAAGAAACATCCAAACTTTCATGGAAAATGGAAGAAAAAGAGAATACATACTACATTCGATTAGAACTGAAAGTAAGAAACTTTAAAATAATTCTTATTAATGGATCATTAGTAGCAATAATTGAAGGGTGGCATTCCTTGGCTCCATATAGAGAGCTTGTAGGAATGCCTCCTGATAGAATATTCATGCTTATATATATGTATATAAAACTGATGCATATCTCATTTTGTGTGTTCCTCTTATGTATATTGATAGTGAATGTATTTATTAGTGTAAATGTGCGTTGTTAGTTGGCTGATGGTGGACTATTCAGTACCCGATCGACCCTCAATTAGAGTAGTATGTCACCCTACTTGAGTGAAAAGTATGTAACTAGCCTAACTGGAGAGAGACCTAATCAAAACATGGACAATAGATAATTCGGCCTTCAGAGAAAGGTTTATAAATGTGTTCAACATAATTGAAGTGCCCCCTTGGTTGTTTATAGAGATCATCAGTGGAAAAGGTTGTCTTATAAGCTCTTGTCCATAGCCTCTAAAGAGCTTAAACTGCAGAAGGATAATCCTAACCTTACTCACAACAGCGATACCCGTTGACACATGACACTTCTTTTGTACCAAAGTGTATGTGTTCAGCATGCAAAGAAATGAAGAGCATCATTCATTGGTTCCTTATAGAGAGCTAGTAGGAATGCCACCCAATAGTAAATAAGAAAGAAAGTATTTTAGAGTGAGTGTGTTTAGGTTAAAACTGAATGTGTATGGGGTTAAAGTCGTAAGTTTGATTCGGAGCTTATATAAATCTTTATTCAGTTCTCAGTAGCAATAATTACATATTAATTGAAAAATATATATTTATAATAACTGTATTGTGAAATAAAAAATACAAACTATTTTTAGGACCCAGGCATTCAAGATTCTGGAGTTTACAAATGTAACATTAAGAATATTTGTGGAGAGCTTAATGCCAACTTAACTCTCAACATTGAAGGTGAGAATTCGAAAGCTTACAGCTTTGTCGATCAGTTTTATCATACTGAACATTTCTAATTAATATATAATTTCTTGTAGTTATTCCTGTAATTAAAGAAGCACCTAAAACTGTCACTATCAGTAAAACTAACACTGTTGTTATTGAATGCCGTATACAATCAGTGTTTGAACCAAAATGTGTATGGTTCAAAGGGGCGACAACATTAAAAGAAGACTCAACGCATAAAGTCAACGTCAGCCATGTTAAAGAGGTAAAATTAAATTAAAAACAAATCATCTACTTATAACTTTCGCTATTATGACTTTACGAGTTTAGCTTAGAGTGGACGAGATTTACACCCATCCATTCTACATTACAATACTATTCTAAGCAGATGTGTATATTTTTTAATTGAGCAAATCATTAAAAATAGTCCTGACAAAGGGAGATATATTCCTCAAAAGTTTGACGAAGAAATTGTTTTTCTTTATTTCCAATTCACCTTATCTTTGATTTTTTTAATGTACAATTATAATTATTAATATAATCTTTCCTAGGGTGAATATGCAGTCAAATTGGAAATCAATCCAGCAAGCCCTGCTGACAAAGGAACATATAAACTTGTCGCGAAAAACGAAAAGGGAGAAACTCAAACGACGATTGACGTTATATTACCGCCTTCTGTCGAACCACCAGCATTTGCTCAAAAGCTTACCGATGCTGTAAGATTCTTTATTTACTATATAGAAATATTTTTGAAAACATTGATGCATTGAATAATTTTTGTAGACAACTGTCGAAGGGCAAACTACTAGATTCGTCTGCTCTTTTGTATCAGTAGAAAAGTCACTTAAGATCGTATGGTACAAGTAAGTATTGATTTTTTAAAACTTAAATGCTTCCTATCTACCCCTTATTTAAGACTTTTAGTCAAAACACAACTTACTCTTTACAAGACATTGCTGCAACTGCTCTGGACATATGGAGTGGCAATGTCATGCTAAGCCATCTAATATCTCAGAAAAATAGTCTAAGTTGTTTACTACATCATTAGCCTTACTTTTCACAACCACGTCAACATTTTTTTGTCAATGAACTGATCCCGCTTCCAAAGTTCCGTACCATTCGATCCATCCAAGCCTTATTTATTTTCCCTGGGAACCTCCTATTAATTCTTCATGTTGAAGTATTGGTTCTCTCAACCAGTGCCCTCTTGGTGCAAAAATACTGAGAGAAAAAACATACACACATATTTGTAGTGTGCATTTTCATAAGTACTTCAAAAAAGTATTTATTTTAAAAATTCAATTTTTTTTCAGAGATGGAAGTGTTGTTAGAGAATCAGATGTAGTTTCGACTCAATTTGATGGAAAGACTGCCACATTAATTATTTCATCAACCAAGAAAGATTCAGCAGGTAGCTACAAGGTGACAGCGACCAACACTGGTGGTACCGTTGAATCTTCAGCATCACTTAAAGTAACAGGTCAGCCATGTTTTGTTTATGTAAAATAATACATTTTTTATGTCGTTAAGAAAATTATTTATTTATTTATTTTTTTGTTGCAGAAAAATTGAAAGAGGTAATTATTTTTGGTTATGCATGTTTTAATCAACTGAAATAAAGAATGGTTTAAAAAAAAACAACTTTCATTAATTTATTTGAAACGATGATTTAATGTGAAATAGTGTTTTATTTTGAACCATCTCTTTTTAAATATAAGCACAGAATAAAATGTCACCTGTAGACTGACATAAAAAAGTATAAGGTAAATATAATCACTAACATATTTCAGCCGGAGGATGAGGAAGAAGAGGAGGAAGTAAAGGAGGTAAAATGACACCTCAACAAACCAATTAAACGTGTTACTTAAAACAAACATTTTAATTCATTGCTTTCAACTTTACAATTGTAGATTGTTTTACCCGTATTTTCTAGCTAAAATAACCCATTTTTAAAGTATAATCCTGATTAAGGTAGTGTTTAACGAGTTTAATAAAGTATCTTAATAAATGTATTTACAGATTTACTATCTTTTATTAAATTACAGTGATGGTGTATTCTATATTTTATTTTCATTTATCATCATCGCTGATTACTAGATCGAATGTCAACATGAATACATTATATATTTTTTTTATTAATTACTTAACCTGAATAATTATTATATAAAATAGTTTTGCACTCAAAAATTAAATTTAAATTTTATGAGAAGCCATATTCTTTTTCTAAAAAACATTAAAAATTCGAAACTGGATGTGTTTACTCATTAACACACATACTCAATCGAAAAATGAATATTTTGCTTGTTAGATTTAACAAATTAATGAGTAGAAAGTTATTAATTGACATATATTAATTAACAATGTTGTACTGTTTTGATAATAGGAAGAAAAGGTCGAAGAAGAAAAGAAAAAGAAGGTTGTGAAAAAGGTAAAATCTTTATTTTAGATATTTATTTCGTACACCCAAGCTAAAAAAATATAAAAAAAAACAAAGATTGGGAAAATTTTAAATAGTAATTTAAGTATTCCAATTTTTTTTATTAGGTACATAACCTCTGTAGAACTATAGAAAGTGAGCTTTTTCTCATAAAACTAACCATTTTCTTCTGTGCCTCTTTTCTTGGTGAGAACAATTGTGTTACTGAAGTGGCGAGTATACAGGCTAGTGTCTCACAGGCTGTGCTGATAGAGAAATGATTTCCTTGGCCTTCCTTTTTGAAATATTTAAGTATGTTCATGCCTGGAGCTTTGGTCCAGTGCTTGAGTTTTTTCTTTCTCGTCATTTTTTATAGCTCATTCTTGAGAACTCTTTCTGGTGCACGTAATTGGGCTTCTTCTTCGGCTAGAGTTAGTCATCCTGTTTTCCTTCCTCTTAATATCCTGGAACCCACCTCAATGTAACTTTGGGCAATTCTAACCATTAGGCAATTCAGGAAGTCCCTGACTAATTTGGAGAATCTTAGTGTGAGAATTGCCTTACCGAAGTGGCTAGTATACAGACTAGTGCTTCATATTCACAAAAAAAATTGTGCTGATGTCTCTGGTTTTGTGATAGAGTCGGCCACAAAGCTTTGCCCAACTTCTTTAGATGGTAGTTAAAAAGGCAGGGGCCAGTGTAAAGGCTTATAATTTTCCTCAAATTTTGCCAGCTGTAAGAGAGGGCATTCGCCTTCCTTTTTGAGATATTTATGAATCTTTTAGCTTTCCTCAAACCTGGTGCTTGTGCCCATTGAGTTTCTTTTTCTCAAGCCAGTTTCTCAACTACGACTTTAGCACACTCTCTATACGACTGTCAGCCTGTATGTTTCCTTTTACCCCTTCATGTCCCAGGACCTTGTGTAACCTTGTGTTTTCCTAGGGTCATTAGGCAATTTAGGCAATTCCAGACTAGTTTGGAGCTAAATTTATATTGATTTCGTGCTTAGCTGCCTATTTGAAAGTAGATCCGCGAACTTTTCATTTTGTTCTCAATTGTTCGTAGAATTGGATAGCATGATCTCAGCTTGGAAGATAGCTGGAACCAATCCACGAGATTATATGCGACCATAGACTGATACATACATAATCACATAAAACATAACATTGCTTTTAATCATTGATACGTTCAAGTATTTACAGTGTATTCTACTGAATTTCTCTAGTTCTAACATAAAAAAATCTAAGTTTCAATAAATTTGTACTAATATTAATTTGTTTTGAATAAAAATTAAATAAAAATACATTTCAATGATCTGTGCAGAAACAAGAGGAGAAAAAAGAAGAAAAGGTAGAGAAGAAAGAAGAGAAGGTAGAGAAGAAAGAAGAAAAGAAGGTAGAAAAAAAAGAAACCAAGGTAATTAACTTCAAATGTATAGATAGTTTTTATATACTTTTGATATAAGATTTTCAGTTTAGCAAGCAACATGCTAAATGATGTTACGATGCTTAAAATAATTTAATATTATGAATGATTTTGACCGAGTATAACTGACAAATATTAGTTATTAGCTCATGTCCTCAGAAGGCCATAGCATTTTTAACGATAACATACAATTCCATACTAAGTACCACTCATATTCCTTTTTCATGGAAAATATTCCTAGTAAAGCTTCAAACCTCCCAACCTCCTACAGACTAGTGATGTCCAATAACTGTTAAAGTGTTTAATACGTATTGTAGATCCACATCAAATCATTTTTTTTCCTCCCCAATTTGGTTTCTACCCCATCAGGCAAGGTTTCAGAGTCGTTGACACCATTTGCTTCATTCTAGTGAACTAAGAGTATTGCTTGGGTTTGTGGATGTGGCCCAGGCTTTTGATTGTCTGGCACTTAGGCATCCTTTATAAACTTGCATCCTTCCTTATTTTGGAATCATATTTAACTGATTGCTGCTTCAGAGGGAGGCATGACAACGAAGATAATCAGATATCAGAACAAGCCGCTGTATAACATTTATATTTACTTTCCTATACATCTCAATGCCATAATACCAACTTCTAACTTGAATCCTATCCAAGAAACCACTAACATCCAAGAACACTTTGAGTTGACCAAAACTGAAAAAAAGTGGAGGATGAGACAATAAGGAAAAGACTTCCACTCAAGTCAGGATTATACCTAGACAACCGACTAACATGGATTTTCCATATAAGGCCGATGAGAACTAAACAGAAGATTTGGAGAACTACAAAGACTTTTAGGATTGAAATCTGTTTTGAACAAGAAATTACTGCGACCACTTTGAACATGCTGTGAAACGGTGAGGTTCTGCCAAGTCATCCATATCCAGGAATTTTAATCCTTGTAATCAAAAGTCATTAGATAAATGATTAAAGCTTTGTACTATTTCACTAATCTCACTACCCACAATGATTGAATGTTGTTAACTGATCTGATGATCTCGTTTCCACAAGTTCCACACCGAACTCTCGATCCATCCTAACCTTACTGCCAAAGCAGTCTCTACACTTTCCCATTTTGAGAACCCAGCACATCACCTTGAAAGATGATAGTCTCGAGACCACCTCGCCCTTTAATTTTTGAGTACAATCATCAGTAGGTTTTTCTTACTCTGCGCCCTCTGGGTACAGTGCTGGCCATATGCTACCTACTTGGACATTCCGATGGGAACTGTGGGTGCCCTCCAAGCAAACTCATATCCAGCATATCCTTCCATTGAAAAATCCTCAAGCAAACTGTCAAAGCTCCTCATACTAATGTCAACATTTTTTGTTTTTTTTAAACAAACTGATCTGATCTTGCTAGAAAAGTTTCACTCCTTTTAATCCACTCTTACCCTACTTTCAAGATCAAGTTCTATCTACACTTTCCCATCCCAAGAACCCTTGAGACCTCCTCGCCCCTTAATCCTTCATATTGAGTGCCAGCATAGGCTGGTTTTTTTAAACATGTGTACTCCGTGTGCAGATCTGGACATAGAGACATTGTTGTGACCGGGGAAAAAATGTACTGGCTACAAATAAATTATTTATTTGTAAGACAGCGCATAATTTTGAATAATATGCCATTCTCTCTTGTCTCAAGAAAATCTCGTTGGATGAATTTTTCAATGGATGAGTAGTGACATTCTGTGCAAATGTTTACAATATATAGAAGAATGCTGTTGAAATAACAAACTTTCGAGTTAAAAAATTTTTCAGACCAGTTCAGACTTGAGGTTTTGTCAGATCTAAATTTTAATATCTAAAAAACCAAAACTTACAATGAATTTGCCACCATTTTGAAAATTATTTGCAATAAACTAACGCTAACTAGGTGGGGTAAGGATGTGTTTCACTTTTTGTAAATGATGCTTCTTCTTAGTTATAAACAACAAATCTGTGAGTAGGTCCATCATATATAAAAAGTGCAATAAGTCCCTTTTGAGGAAAAGTTTTAATAGTAATTATATTATTTTAGTTAAAAAAGAAAAGATAATAAAGTTTGTTGTGTTTTTAATTTTTCAGAAAGAAGAAGAGAAGCCAGAGAAAAAGGGAGAATTAACTGTCAAGGTATGCATTTAAATTGAATGATTAGGTGTTAAATAGACCATAGACATTCATCCTTGTTACATCAAGTGATAAATAGATAGGCATATCAAGAAAGGAAGAAAAAAAAAAAACAGTTAAAAATAGATAGAACCTCGAACATCGGAATTGGTTTAAGAATTCCCCGGGAGCGGTGAGACATTTCAAGTGATAGAGAGTTCGAAAGGTGTGGGTGGAGAATGTAGAAATCTAATCTGTCAATCTGGTCAGAGAAGAGCCAAACTTGAAATGTTCCGACCACCTTGAACAAATAAATATGCACAAGTGGAATATCGAATTTAGAAAGAGAATAAATAGATTTCTTTTGTTCTGATGAAAAACAGATGGCTCTTATATATATATATAATAAAACAATATATATACTAAAAACAGCCTTATAATAAAAAAATATTTTTAAAGTTTGTTAATAACTTTTGGAAAATTGTCAATGTAAGAAAAGGGCCTACCTTGAAGGTGCTAATAAATCTTATATGGCTGTGCGTTAGAAATTCAGTTCAAGGATCAGATCAAAGAATCTATGGCTAGGATTCAAAACGCAAGACGCTATAATATGTAATATTTTAATTAACACCCCCTCTAATTTTATTCATATAAAAGTTTCCACGATAAAGACCAAAAACTAAAGGCTGATAAAAAAAATCCAATAGTTGAAAGGACTAAGAAATAAACCTAACAAATTGCAAAAACAATTTTAAACTATTGAACAACTATACGTGTTTGATTTTTCTACCAGGGATTATTCTATTTTTTAAATAGTTTTTTGACATAATCCAATCGGTTAGTGATTCTTTATGGGGGATTATTACAAAAAAAGGTATTTGTTTCTGATAATCCTTTTGAAAAATGACAGGGTGATTGAGGCCGATATAAGGGATACACTGCATTAATGACCGTGCCAAAAATTTCATTGTAAAAAAATAAAAATATCAATAAATAAATAAATAAATAAGCAAGCAGGCATAACCAATGACTAATTTAAGAATACTTCTTTTAGATCAACTAGTAAGCGCCATCTATTTTTAATCGGCTCAAAGGCTCTCATTTATAGGGGAGTTGGTTAAGGGTGGTCGACAATGCCATATTTATAACTTGATTCATTTCTAAGCAGGTGGCCCCTTGTTATGATAATAATATAAGCTCTTACTATAATAATAATAATAATAATAATAATAATAATGTAAGCTTAAATTATTTTAATTGATTCAAGTTTATTTTAAACATCAAAAGAAAAAAAAGGAGCACAGGTTTTCTATTGGCATAATTTTTATTAACTTACATGCTAAGCATTTTATAAAATTGAGAAAACTGGCCTCTCTGATTTGTCTTTACATTCTTCTTTAATTTCTTTGAAAAAGTCGAATAACTATTTTTCTTCCTTCCCAATAGTGCAAATGTGTGCTTAAATTTTTTAAAAATTAGTTCAAACTTATGCCAACAGTCAAAAGATAAAAATGGTACACAAATTTTATATTGAAGTAATTTTTATCAGTTTATATATATGTTAAATATTTTATAAAATTAAGAAAGTTGACCTGTTTATTTTGTCAGTATTTAATTTCTTTGAAAAAGTCAAATAAATATTTTTCTTCCTTCCCAATAGTACAAACGTATGCTTAAATTGTTTTAAATAATTCATGTTTATTTTAAAGAAAAAAAAAAGAACGAAATTGGTTTAGAGGTTCTGAATTGAAATAATTTTTATAAGCTTACATGCTAAATATTGTATAAAATTGAGAAAATTGGCCTCTCTGACTCGCCACTCTTTAATTATTTTGAAAAATTCGAATTATTATGTAGCTTTAACCAAATGATGCCTCCGTGTAAAGTATGCGTGGATTCTCCCTTGAAGATTTAAAAAAAAATCACTACATAAATGTCTACTTTATCTTCCTTTCCAATAGTAGTAATTTACTCCTAAAAAATTCGGAAGGAGGTGAAGGGGCAAATTTTTCTCTATTGGCATCACTTTAAACCAACTTTGATTCTAATAAGATTTCTTCGTTCAATTTCAGTTTTAAATATTAGAACTTTATTGGGTTGTTTGTTTCCAAGAGCATATCAAATTTTTTATTTGTTTAAAATTTTAAATAATACAAGTTTTAACAAATGAAAACCATGCTTTTAATTTTTTTTACATATAATTTTATAAGAATATTAAAGCTTTCATTTTTCTTTATCTATGATCAGGGCTCGGCGATAAGGGACAAATTTAGAAGCCTGAGAGAGAGAAAGGAGGGACTGTTTAATTTAGGGCACTGGTCAGCCGATGAATAAATAAATTTAAAAAATGAAACTTGATCACATCTCTTGATGGAGAAAGTGAATGGGAAAGGGTGTCATGCCAAAACCACAAATTTTCCTATCAACAAGTATACTCAAAGTTCTTGTGCCCATTTTGGCACAGGTGATTTCATTTCTACGTGAGGTAAAAACGCGATGTTTTACACCCCTGATGAAAGATTAACTTTTTAATTACACCAAACGATGCCTTGGTGTAAAGTATGCGTAGGTTCTCCCTTGAAGATTAAAAAAAAAAAATTCTCTACAGAAATGTCTACTTTGAAAGTTGTGTTGACAATTCACAAACTCTTAAAGACAAATCAAATTCCCTCTCTATATATATGTATATATAGATCTTAAAGCAAACAGTTATAGCACAAAAGAGTTTGTTGCCAAGTCAACCTCCCGTGGTACTAAAACTGCCGTAAAAAAATGAAGCATGCCAGTAGCTATGCCAAAAATAATGTTTTAATGTCTCTGGTGAGGGGGGGGGGCTGGGTCCCTAGGAGCGACAGTTATGTCGGGCATCCCATCTGGTTTACTTGGCCTCAGCTAATAGAGATTTGCCGGGAGGGGAAACGTTTCCGTGTGCCAGTCAGTGAAACGATTTCGACTTTGAACGGGCTTCGGGTTTTTAACGCCGTGGCCGAACGAAATGTATCCGAACTCATCCCGATTAAGTGTATCTACTCGATTTCAGGTATGATTTGACATTTTTTAAAAAATTTATTTTTATCCTTATTTGTGCTGAATGGTCTACTGTGCTCCTCTCTTACATCTGACCAATCAATTTATATAATTTTTAATTATTTTTTTTTTACCTTTCATCTCTTAAAATTCAAATTGTACTTTAAGTGTACTTTAAATTTATTTTCGGGTACCGGGCTTTATTCTAAATTTTTGTAGAAGTGTTTATTCAAGTTGCCACAGCTTCAATTCAGTCCACTGTTGAATTGATCAACCTTTTCTCTTTTTGCAGAAAGAAGAAAAGACAGAAATTACAAGAAGACGTTCATCTATTAGAGTGAGTTCATTGTACAAAATTTTCTTCTTTTCAACTGGCTTTTCCTTATGCTTATTCTGCTTATTAAAACCCTACCTCTTTTAGATCCAATAAATTTTATTTTTAAAGGATAAAAAATTTATTTGTATTTAAAAACACTAAAATTAATCATCGTAAAATTATAGTTGCACTTGTATATCCACTCCATAGTACATTTGCAAAAATTAAATAAAAATAATAAATAAATGAAAAACAACGTATTTAGATATTCTATATGATAATGTAACAAATTTTACATTTAAAGATTTTAAAAAAAGATTTACATTGTCGAACTTAACAATTTGCTGTTATAAAATTCTTCTGACATAAGATCTTTATTTCCTTCTCATTTGCTATTGTTTAATTCAGTTTGAAAAAAATAAATGCATGTCCAGTTAATAACTTCTGATGCTAGTTCTCTTCACTAAAGAAGACCTAGCCTAAATTTGTATCTCTTTTTCCAGTATAACATCTCCATCTCATTCATGTTTCATATTTTTTGTGTCTCTTATTCAAAAATTTTTTGTTCAGTTAATTAATTTTTTTTATGGGGGCTTGCAAGCAAAGAATTTGGGTACTTCACATCCTTCCAAGGATGCTGCGTGTCAACATGACACACCTCCCAGATGTTTATTATGTAAAGACAATAACTCCATTAAAATCTCAGTAATTTATTAATTTTAATATTATTTAGTTAATATGGTTAACCACAAATCTTCACACTCTAGTATTCCCTAGTCGGGTCAAGTTTCTCTTTCATTTTTATGGAGCTTACTAGTTTATGTTTCGTTTGTCGTCTTAAAGGTATATAAACTGTTTGACCTTTTAAATTTGTAAATGTTCAAACCATTTGGTTGCCTAAATTGAATTTTCTTCTTTCTCGGTGTTGGGTGAATCTTTCTTAATAACTACCCGCTTTGCCATATCTATCCATATCTTTAGTTGTCTTTTCCTATACCTTCTGATTTTGGTGGTTAAGCCCTTTTTAATTTATCTTGTAGTAATTTTACTTTGAAAAATTATATCAATTTGGAAGGCATGATGCGATTGTCCAGTGAAATTTTGCTTTTCTTTTGGTTTGCTATCCAGGCTGTGCCCTAAGTCTCTTTCAGTTACGTGTTAATTTATTATTATGACTATTAATCAATTATACAGTGCCCTATGGATTTTTGGGCACCGTTCCAACTTCTTGGTTACATTTCTGCTTGGTGAAAGTGCATCATGAGTTTGTCTCCTAGCTTTATCTCCAGATATTTTATGCTGTTACTAGGCTTTATAGATTTTGTTCCTTCTTTCTTTACCTTTGAGCATTAGCATATCACATTTTTTAATAGATATGTTCTTGTTTGACTCCTTGCAGCCATTTATTTTACATTTTCTTTATTGCTTTTTCCTCTTTTTCTCTCATTTTTAAGCAGTAGGTACTTAACATAAGAAAAATGTAGTTTGATCTAACATTTCATTTGTTAGTAGCTAAGAAAGGTGAGGGATTCACTGAAAAAAAGAATTCCCGAAAGTTCTTATAGTTGTATAGTCTATAGTGTAGTCTATGTACTGTAGTATAGTCTAAGCTGGACTTGGTCTCTCCTCTCTCTCTCTCTCTCTCTCTCTCTCTCTCTCTCTCTCTCTCTCTCTCTCTCTCTCTCTCTCTCTCTCTCTCTCTCATTAAAAAATGAGAGGTCAAATAATGCCATTTCTATGCCAAGTGATGTTTGATATATGTATGACAGAGAGTACATATAGTCTTAATTCTATGAATGGCTTTCCAAAAATCACTGAGTAGTCGTGTGTCGTTTACTAGGTCCTAAACGTCTTTAAAGTTTCTTATGGATCGGTTGAGTTGTTTGAAAATTATAACCATTATTATGGCAAAAAAATCCAAGGCATTTCAAAAGTGAAAATTTGGAGAAAAATTCTATTTTTGATTTTTCTAAAAAAATGTATTTAGGGTTTTTTTTGGGGTGCACAAAACGAATATCAACTCTGCTTGTGATAAAAAATGATTGTAACCTACTTTGCTTCGTTGCTCGATCACAATTTATATTTTTCATTATCTGCAGTAATCATGGACGAACTACCTATCTAATATTCTGTGTCCTAGTATCACCAAAAAAAGTTTCATCGAAATCTGTGAATTTACGTTCAAGTAATATCTTTGTAAGTTTAGCGTTGGAGCGCCCTTTATGAAATATTTTTCCAAAAAATTTTATTCAGGTTTTTATTTTTATTTATTTATTTTTTGGGCAGGGGGGTTCAAACAACTCATATAAACTTTGCTGAGATTTTGGTTTGTTTTGAACATTTGGTTAAATCCTAAACGTTGTCATGTGTCCAAATGGGTTTAAAAATGGAGTTTGTTTTTTAGGGTCAGTTTTGTTCCATTGTCTAGCGATGTTTTAAGAAGTCTGAAATATCTGTTGAACTGTCTTTTCAGTCATGTGTGTGGGTTCCATGTAAGTCGTTTGCTCGACTTATTCTTAGGGTGAAAGTGCAGTTCACATTTTTGTTTACTGCCATTTTCCACCGCTTCAACCACTTTTCAAGGTTGACATGGTTTTGGTTGAGATGATGGTCTATGACAAGAAATTGTCAAATAATCCGCATAGGTTAGGGTAGATCCAGAAAGGTTAAGAATATATATTGTTTATTGAGTAAAAGATAGGTCCTAATATAATTCCTTGTAGAGCACTGCCTCTGTAATTTAGCTGGCTGATAGAGAGGAGCCTTTGATGAAAATATCTGTTAGGAGGAAAATGGGACTCTTTTGTTCAGCTTCCAGAGCAGAACTCTTTTCACTTAAGACTTTGTAGCAAGTTGTTGAAGGATTCTTGCAATGATTAGGTCAAAACCAGGATTTTTTTTTACTGATGGCTTTTGATATGGGATACTTCGTTGGGTGTGAATGGTGAGTGGAAGAGTGGTAAAGGAGATGTTAGATCTGCTTATTCTTCTCACTTAGTGAGGTATATTTTAGGGTCAGTTTTGATCCTTTGTCCATTGTTCTACAAACAGGAGTTCAGTGATCTACATCACTTTCAGACCTCCTTTGCAACAAAGCATCATTAAATGATGATAATTGGTTGAAAGCTTTTTATTTTACTAATAAACAAATTACACTGAACCCAATAAGTTCAGCATGAGTTCACCAACTTGCAGACCTACACTCATCATCAACCCCAAAGCAATTACATATTAAAATTTAATAATATAATATTTCATTGATTTAAATTATTATTTTTATTTCATTACAGAAAGAAGAAACACTCAGCGTCAAACATGAAGAGAAGGTGAGTCAAACTTAATTTAAAAAAAATCCAATTACATAGATTTTTGTCTAAATGAGCAAATTGCCTTGTTTTTTAATGCTTTCAAGCGCTAAGAATTATTTCAGGAACGTCTGCCTAATTTCTCTATAGGCAGTGATTATCATCTTAGAGTCAAAACTTTCGCCTTGAGCTTGCAGGTGTGAAACTAGCTAGCTAATAAAAAAACACCTGAAAATCAACTGCCAAAATCAGATATTCACTATTTTTGTACAAACCGCATTTATCTTTCTGGTCTCGAATCCTTGCTATTTATTTTTTTATCACACCCTGAATAAAACGAACTCTCTACCAAACCCTTGTTTCAATCTTCTCCTAGCATTTGGTCTTGAGCTAGGTGTGGATTGAGATGTACAAGTGAATTTCGGATTATACCAAATAACGCTTAGAATCCATCATTTTGTCCTAACCTCGCTAAGTAAGTTTTCGCTTTTATTGCATATCTGCATAATTATTATATAATAGAACAAAATTGACTAAACTTAAGTGTAGTTAAGAAAGATCATCTTCTTGATTTAACAAATTTTCTTACGGCCAGGAATAATCGCTTTTAGATTTTAGCTGTACCTTCTAGTTGGTTTACAATAGTAATACAATTTTTTTAAAAACAAGTAGACTTGGTCTAATATTGATTCTTTAGCTTTATCGATGCATTAGTCATTTCTGTGAAAACTTACAGAATAATCGTCTGTAATCATGTCCAGAGTGTCGCAATCAACAGCTTATTCGACTAACAAAACAATGAAATCGTATATTGTTTCAAACAGACCAAAACCTTTTTTCAGAAAGAGGAACAAAAAGATAAAGTATCTGAACCAAAGGAAGATAAAAAGGTGAGATTTTTTCTTCTCACACATCCTATTTTTTTGTAGTTTTTAAGCATAAACCTTGATAATCTTGACTTTTAAGTGTATAAAATAAAAATTTGCTACCTTTATATAACAAGAATAGTTAGTAATATATACATAAATATGAACTTACCAAATTGAAGTTAGCTGTACTCATATTTGCCTCGCTTATGATTCTGGGTTCAAATCCCTGCACAGCTGATAGTATTTTAATTGGTAATAATGTTAAATGTAACATAAACTAAAAGTACTTATGTCCTCTTGTCCAAGACACCCAAAGGTTAGTTGGTTGTTAAACCATCTTGTATGACAAGAATTCCTTTATGGAAATGATTGAGGTGGGGTGAGTATTTATTTATTTACGGATCGAAATCCACTATAAAAAAATACGTTTTCCAATAACAAAACATATAAATAATATATGTAAAAATACAAATAATATATATAAAAAGAATAAGGACGTATATACATGGTAATAATATAAATGATAAATATAAAAATACAATGAAAGAGTAAAAACTGAACAACAAAAATGAAAGACATAATTACTAACCAAATAAGGCAGAGGAAACAAAATAAAGCTGAAAGACAATTGAAACTACAATAATTAGGTACATATTTAATGAAAATAATGCTCTTTGTAAATATATAATAAGACTAGAGTGCGAGAATTAGTTGAACCAGTAAATGAAATAAATTGTAATAATTTTGTACAGTATGAAATATAAAAGCATTCAACTAAGGTTGTAGGATAAGGTTTTTCACAGATTGCACAGAACTATTGAAGAAGTCAATGCTATTGCAGATGTTACTCTTGATCATCATTCTGTGTAGAGGAGAAGAGAGCATGTAGTTAGAGCTTTGGAATTCAATATAAAATAATTTATAGGTTTTAAGAGAGTGCGAAGGGACATGTAGCTGTAGTTGAGAGAGGAGAGAAGGACTATCAATGAGATTGTTTAATAATTTAAATACAAAAACAATATCAAAGTAATCCCTTCTTAGTGCCAGTTTGAAAAGTTTAAATTCAGAGCGGATTCCAGGATAGGCAGAATTCGGAGGAAGATTGAATTTGTAGGAAAGTTTTTTAAAAATTTGTTTTGTACAGATTGAAGAATTTTTTGATAATTTAGATAGAATGGGTTCCAAACAGGTGTAGCATATTCTAGTATGGGTTGTACAAAAGCTTATAAAGATGGACAAAACATAGAGGATTTTTAAATTCATAGGTGTTCCGAATGATGAAACCTAGCATCTTCATAGATCTATTTTTTATTGAAGAAATATGTTCTTTAAACTTGAGCTTTTGATCAAAAAGTACATCAAGATCCTTTACGACCTCAACTCGCGTTAAAAGAGCATCATGGGAGAGTATAGAGATAAATAAAAGGTTGTTTCTTATGAGAGAATGTAATTTCCTTTATGGAAATAATTGAGGTGGGGTGAGTATGTTGATTCACTTATTGGAAAAGATGGTTCTACTCACAAACAGCAACAGCTAAAAACAGTTTGTGAATAGAACCAACTTTTCCAATAAGGAATTCCTCCTTCGAAATGAGTTGATATCATTTTTTGACTTGCCAAGTTAGTTATTGATTTATTTGTCGGATCTTCTATCGAGTTTTGACAGTCAGTGGTCAGACTAATCATTTCAGCCCCAACCTGTTATTTAAGTCTTAAATACACTCTTTTGTATTTCATTGATTTCTCCCAAGAGGTGATGGACTGCTCGACATTCCTCCATCAACCCTCTCACACTTTGCATTTTTGCTAATAAATGCATTCACTCGGGATGGTGGACTACCCATTACTTTTCCATTGATCCTCTCACACTTCATATTTTCGCTAATAAATACATTCACTGTGGATGGTGGACTACTGGTTAATATTCTATTGAATCAATCACACTTTACATTCTTGCTGAAAATACCTTCACTCTAGATGGTGGAATACTCATTACTCTTCCATCTGCCCTCTCATGCTTCACATTTTTGCTAAAAATACGTTCACTTTGGATGGTGGACTACTTGTTATTACTCCTCGGCTCTATCACACTTTACAATCTCGCTAAAAATACATTCACTCTGGATGGTGGACTCGATATTCCTCCATCACATGTAAATACATTCACTCTCAATGTACATAAAACAGAACACAAAATTGTATTGCTTGCTGCATGCTCTTTATATGAAGCCAATGACACCCTTCAATTAAGTGGGACATATTGAGCAACCTTTCTCTTCATGGCAGACATATACGTTAGCTTTGGTCAAAAAGTATATGCTCGCATGGCCTATCCTTAGTCGGGTGAGGATGATTCCTATTTTTTTATTTTGACCCTCTGAACTACTACTGTCCTCAACCATCCTCTTGATACTTAGGAGTTTATCTGTTGATAAGACCCTTGTCCAGTTAGTTTCTCATATATAGCCTTGTAGAACACTCCAAAAACTCCAGGCATCTGGGGTTTACACACCCAGAGGGCAAACATGTTTAGATCACTCTTTACAGTACAGCAGTTCATGGTTCAGATCCTCTGTTTCATTAGAAATATGACACTTTGCGGAGGGCCTATGATGTATGAGCTGCATATGCCATGACCAGGTCGTAATCGTGTGAGTAAAATAAACGTTCCAGCATAACCATCTACCTGTCTGAAGTTCAGATCTACTTTGAAAAGGAATCAAATGGAAAATTAAATTGAGAAAGAAAACAAAAGAACAAAGATGTGAACATAGAGTCGGAACTACAAAGAGAATACCATATGGCGAAACAGGAGATATAACTCAAAATTCAATTCAAATTCCTTGAATATAAAATACATTAAAAGTTCTCTTGGATCAAAACAGTCAATTGAAATTGAATTCTGCAAACAAAGATCAACAGTATCTCCAACATTTGTTCCACACATCAAGATGATCGCCTCTTTGCGTGTCAATCGTTTTCTAAACTCATTATGGACCGGGCACACGGAGAGGAAGTGGAGAGTGCCCTCCTCCTAGTCCATGCTACACATTGAACCCTTTGACTGCCTGTCTCATCTTCATCGTAGGGTTTGGTCTTGAGGTTTAAAGAGTCTGCCCTCAAGCTGCATATCCACCTCCCTACGTCTCATTCACAGATCTCTCCAGTGTCCTCTGCACAGGTATAGTCGTGCTTGGGAAACATCCTGATATTCTTCTAAAGTGGAAAAATTAGACCTGTTTAAAGCAGAGTTAAAGGCCTGGCCATAAAAAAACTGACCCAAAGTCTAGACCGGATCTAATGGAAAATGAAAAAGTAGACATACTTAAGTTAGACACACTATTAGTCATGTACTGCAAGTTAATTAAGTAATTTCTCCTCCTTCTCCAAAGGGGGTGATATGTTAATTCCATATTAGTTTACTATCCAAGTACAGGTCCAAATCTTGACCACCTCAATTTTTCTGACCCATGGAGTCCAGTGTTTCTACCATCTATGTAAATGCACTGGCAAATGTTTGTCTCTGGTACATGTTGATCTGAGTTGTTTGTCCACATCATCCCAACGAATAATTAAAATATTAAGATTAAAAGGAACTTTTTATGACTTTCTTAAGGGCTCCCATGCTCTTCAGGCTAGGCATCGACTTTTAAACCAGAGAACATGTTTCGCTGTTTCTTCTTCTTCCTGGCAATATCTGCACAGGATTGTTTTTTCTGTTCCGAAGTATATATGCCTCTGGAGTCGGCAGTGCCCAGTCAGCAGCAGGCCTGTTTATGCATGTTTTTCTTTGGATGTCCTGTAATACAGTTTCCATTGAACCGAGGATTCATTCTTAACGTATTGTCTGATGGTTGTAGATTTTTGGCAATTTTGTGCATAGCAAAAAATGTCAGGTGTTCTGATCGAACTTTACTTAGGCAGTTTATCAGCTTCCTTGACAGCCATCTGAAATGAATTAACTCAGTTTAAGAATTTGTAAGAAATATAGTGTTAAGTAAGTTTTAAAAAGTGTATTGATTTTACTTCCATTACAATTAGCCACCAGGTTCTTACGGATGTGTAAATAGGAAATAATAATGGGCTTAAGATTTTTCCGTGAAGAAGACCTTTTTGTACGGTGCTAGGTCCATGTAGTCCCATTCTTTGTACTAACATGTACAGAAGGCCAATACGTAACTAACATATGCCACCCTGGATATTAAAGAACAAACCCAGTACATACCTTCAGTTAAGGTTAAGTGTGGGATAATTTCCCATTACTTTTTAATCAATAATTGAGTATATTTTTTAAAAATCAACTTCTCATACATTTTGCAAAGAAGTTTGTCTGCAGATATGTACCTGCAGAAGATTTTTTTGGAAGAATTTTTCTTGGATCTACATTCTTAAATCAATGAATGAACTTCAAGTATTAATTTTATATGTTCATTTTTAGAAAGAAGAAAAGACTAGCATTCGCCGCGACAGTGTGAGGGTGAGTGAATTTTTCTTTATTTTGCTTTTACCATTTTTTAAATCTTTATTCCTTAGAGTTTTACCTAACTGTACTTTATCATCTTTATGTAATTTTGTTGATTGTAAAATGACGAAGTGTGATAGCAAATCGGCCTTTCAATAGAGCTTGGCTATAGTTTATGATACCCCGAGATACCTAAGTTGCCCTTGTGACCAGCAAAAGTGATTAACTTCTTTTATATCCAAGCTGGTTTCCCACAAGGGAGCATTCTTACTCCCATCTTGTATAGCCAATTCCAGCACTACCCTGTCAACCTATTGAATCTGAATCCTGCTCCCAATATCCAGGAACAACAGCCAAATGACAATAAGCTAATAATGAGGAATGATCATTGACACACGTGATATACTTAGATATACCTAGACAGCTGTACATCAGACAAGTAAAATGACTGCTTGGACCAAAGTCAGACATGACATACAAAACTTGAACCTATTTGGACATATGGAGCAGAATAGTATACCACAAAGCCATCGAGTATCAAACCCATCCAAGTATAATCCAAAGCACTCAGAAGAATTCTCCAAACTCAGTACTACGTCTCTAACCAATGACCTCCACATTCCCTTCATTCAAGATCCATCCCGGTTACTTTTCCACTCTAAACCTTTCGTTCAAGCCACTCTTTATCTTACATGCCCTGTATCCTCCATGTCACCTTTAACAACATTGGTTCAGAATACATCAGCGTTAATGTCAGCTAGTTATGTAACAGGGTGACAATTATAGTACAAACATATGTATATCTTACAAATTTGTAAGATGTATGAATGTATGTATAGAAAAAAAAAACCCTCTTTTTGTATGACATAACTGTTGGCAAGTGCAATGGCAATGGTCCAAATCACACAGCTGGCTTCGAAGGGCAGTTTAAAATAGTGGATAAACTGGGTCAGAGAATAACTTACATTTAACAATAATGACATCCTGTACTGTTAAAATTAGATAGCATTTTTTTGCAATAAAACTCAAACAAATTTGAACTTTTCAAATCCTCTGCTAACGCTACTCTTATGGGATTAGATTAGTAATTTTAAAATACATTGGTCGAAATATGATGGTTTGGTCTTATTTAACAAGATTAATGCTTTGGAAATGTCTAAATTTCTTTGTAATTAAAACAGAGCATAGGCCTTCTTTAGTCTTTCACACACTACTACAAGGGACTAGGGACGATAGGAATTACCGATTTAAATGAAACTTCTTCCGGTGATACTAGAACAAAAAATATTAGGCATGCGTTAACGTTCTTTACAAAGTAGGACCTGAGAAAAATAAAATATTTTATAACTTTGTTTTCACTTTTTCATATTTTTTAAAATAAATTTTTGTTTTATTTTTACATTAAATTTTTTTTTTGACATATCAAGGATTTAACCCATCATCAAACTTATTATTATTTTTATTTTAAAATTTTCATTATATATTATAGTTTTTGAAATATATATCACAATGTTGCATCTGTAATTTAAGTTTATGTATGTAAAAGTTTAATATTATTATTAAGTAATATTTTAAAATGAAAAGTTTACTTGTGAACTTACTAAAAAAAATTATGTAAAAATAAAACAAAAATTTATTAAAAAAACCAAATGGATATTTTTTTAAGCTATAAATTACAAATATAAAAAAGAATGTCTTTAAAATCCATGTTACAAAATATAAATTATAAAATACATTATACTTTTCTTTTAAACTACTTTTCTACCTTTGTTGCATCGATTTCAAGGTAAATTACTTGATTTGATTATTTACCTATGATAAAAAAATCATGAACAGAAACATATTAAATGAGATCAGACATATATTTTTAGCCTTATATTTTTTTCTCTTGCTGGTGCTGCTAGAGATGATGTTGTACCCCATCCTAACCTATCCTAACCCAGTCAACCCATGCAATGGAAAAAAAAACAATGTGTACCCAGCCCAAAAACGTATTTATGTTAAAAAATTAGACTCCTTTCTAAGCGTTTTATCTAATGGGCCTACGAGCAGGGATAAAAAAAATTTAAAAGCAATTTATTTTTTTAAACATAGGTTTCTGTCTTTGTATGCATGTATTTCAATGTTGTTATACTTAGTAATAAATGAGATTAGATGTTTAAAAACCTAACCCAACCCAATCTTCCAACCCCTCCCTAATCCTAACCTTAACATTTAATCTAACCATAACTTTACATAACTTGACTAATCCTTACCAAAACCATCCCTAGCTATGAACCATACTTAACCTAACACTGACTCTACCTAACCTAACCCAACCTAAACCATTCCATTGCAATGCAAAAATAAATTGTGTATTCAGCCCAAAACTTTTCCATATTAAAAAAATTAGACTTGTGACCGAATGTTTTAGCCAAAGCACCCAAGGAGCTGAAAAAAAAACATTTTTTAGCAATTTAACTTTTTTTAAATGTCAGTTTTTGACTTCGTTATAAATGAAATTTCAGGGTGGTTTATGTCAGACATTTGATTTTTTTTACCTAGGATAAAAAACTAACTAGCATTAAATGAAATTATATCTATAAAAACCTAAGCCAACAAATATTAACTTCGTTTCTCACAGAAAAAATATTTTAACGTACTTTGCTAAGTTGCTTGGTCGCTTAAGTCCTCCCTTATTCAACCCCATTTTGATTGCAGATGTTTTGTATGGGAAGCTTGAATATAAGCTTAAATATTTAATGAATTGTTTGGTATGATTGAATAACTACTTTTTTTTCTCTTGCAGAAAGTTTCAACTGAAGAAAGGGTGTCGGTTGAAACAAAGAAAGAGGAAGTAAAGGTAGGAAAGCATGCAAACCTTTGGAGGTTTTATATTCAAATGAAATTTTCGTAATACAACTGAATCAAAAATAAATNATTTATGGTATTTTTTAAGGATGAGAAACCTAAAGTGACGAAGAAAGACGAAAAGGTAACAAAATACATAAAGTTGTGTTTTGTGTAATAAATTGCTACCTTTAAACATATCTGCTTACAATTTACTACATTAAATTTATCCAGAGGAAAAATCATTCGCCTAAGCATTAATTATAGAATACTAATAAGTTATTTTATATATAACCAATATATAAAATTAACGTTCTAAAGAAATCTCAATAAATAACATTCTCTTAATATTATTGAATGCCTGAAGTTGATGTATCTTCTCTCTTAAATTGCCTAGCATCCATGAAACTATCGTCTATTTGCCCTTGTCAATGCACTGAAATTCCAGCGAGAAACATTTATCCTTGTCCATTGTTGTTATTCTATAACTACATAATAGAACATAAAATTAATTATTTTTATATATAAATTATCTGGTTTCTTTGTAATTAAAAAAAAGTATTCTGTACAGTAGTTTGGTAAGTATTGTTTACCTTGCAGTCCTTGCAGGATTACCTTGCAGGTCTGTGGACAGAAATTAGGATTAATGCCATCTTCAGAAGAAGTCTGCTTCCCAAAAAGTCAAGGTGTTTTATTATAATGGATACACACTTAACTAGGAACCACAGAGCCGGGTTATCACAGTCTTACCATGTAGGCTCCAGGGGATTTGGACAACTAGGCCTTTTAAGCCCCTTATAACCAATCTAATTAAGGATCAATGGGGTACTCAATATTCCACCACGTCCTTTTCACACTAAACCCTCACGGTAATAAATACACTCAATCTCAGGATTCAGAACAAAACATGCAATAGTTCTGTTTTCTCGGAATCAGAACAGGAGTCTAAATACTCGTTGTATTCCTACTAGTTTCTACATGCTCTCTTTATGAAGACAAGGAATAGCCCCCCGTCAGTTATGTGAGACTCTTAGAGCAACCTTTCTCTAGCTGAGGAGCATGCAATAAAACAGCTCTTTTTCCTCCAAAACTCAGAACAGGGGACTTAGACATTCCGTACTTAAGGACATTCTTATATCAGATGGCCAACATGCCAAATAATGAATTCAACATTGAGCACCTTTCTCTACTCGAGTGCATGCAATAAAATAGCATTCTTACTAAAATTAGAATAGGGGACCCAATCATTCACTGCTCGAGTACAATTCTCATATCGAGTAGCATTCCTAAGTGCTATCTACAGAAGTAAGGCAAGTAATGAATTCAATTATGTGAGACACATCAAGCTATCTTTTTTGACATACCAGACACATTTGCAACCTTTGGACCAAAAGTTAGTGTCCATGTGTCAGCTTAGTATGGCCTATTATTAGTTTTGACATATTTCATAGGGATATCATTGGAGCTGGCTTAAATTCCTTTAATTTTCCGACTGTCAGGGGGCGCCATCACAGTTCGTTTTGTTCAATGCAAGTGAGGTGTAAGCTGTGGATCTTGACACGACTCCAAAATCCTGTGTCAATTCTTTGGCGACATATGATCCTTCAGTCAGGCTGCGTTCACATCAATCAGTATCTGGAGGATCGTTGGTCACACCCCACCTAACCTGACAACAGTCTATCTATTATGAACATTTTTTTATTTCTTCATGAGGTCAGTAAGTTGAACCTGTAGATTGGTTGGTTTTTGGTCTAATGCTAAATGTCCAACAGACCAAAACACATCTTTTAATAGCGTTCAACTTAAAATCTCATCAAATTGTATTTAAACAGGCTATTTCTAGAATAAAAAATTACAATTACTGCTTCAGCATTAATACAACATTTTAATAATAAAATATCACTAGGTTTTGTGCTCTATTCACCACTAATTATCAAACTTATGTAGATAGTATTTTCTTTTCTTGAATGTTTATAACATATTACATATTAAGGTTATTGTGAATTTTGGAATGTAAGCATTGGAGGTTGGAATGTTTAGTCGAACTCCAAAGTTAGATGCTGTATGTCCAAGTGGGTCTCAGCACGGTGTTTTGTAGAGGCACTTTTGATCCTTTGTCCTGTAGTTCGTTAAGAAATCTGAAGTATCTGTTCAACTGACTTTTCAGTCACATATGTGGGTTCCATGTAAGCCATTTGCCAATAATGTTATATTATTGTAGTACATGGAAACAATTATTCTTGGGGTGAAAGTGTAGTTTACATTTTTGTTTGCTATTTTCAACTGCTTCAACCACTGTTCAAGGTTGACATGGGTTTTTGATGAGGTTAGGATGAAATGATGGTTTATGAGAGGCCATTGCGGTACTATTCACATAAGTTAGGATAGATCTACAAGGTTAAGAATGTCTGTTGTAAACTGTGTAGACTGGTCCTAAGATACTTCATTGGGTACCTCTTGTGCGATAGTTAATGATGGCTTGAAATTATATATCAGTTTAGTAGGATTTTAAAAGTAGTAGGTAAAAAGAATGACTCTCGTAAACTTCCAGAACAACATTTGCTCAAGAGTGGTAGTGAAGCCACCACTGAATAGTGGAACGAGAACATGTAAACTCAAACTGGCTGTCAGGGATAAGGTCTGGTGTATAGTGTATAGAGAATGGGTCCTAATATACCTCCTTGGGTACCCCTGAATCTGTGCTGGCAGACTTGAAAATATCTGCTGTTTAAGTAGGACTTTTAGGATTTGGAAGTAGATAAAAGGGAGATCATAAGCTTCCAGAGTAGACTGAGTGCCATACCAGATTGAAGGCATCTTGGAAGACACCGAAACAGCACACTTTTTGCCCAAGAGTGGTTAGCGATGGCTACAATGGCACTGGCATTATAGGCAATACACTAATTGGACAGTAGGTTGAAGAAAGATAAGGAGGGAAAATTTCTATTTGGGTGAAGTATGTTCTAAGGACAGAATTGTAAAATGTACTAAGAAAAATTACAGCATTTTTAGGTGTATTTAATGGTAGATGGCTTATGACATGGATACACTTCATTGGGTGTGGATGGTTTTGGTGGATGTGAAAGAGGTAAATATTAGGTCATGTTGTGTGGTTTATTAAAGTCAGTATCATTCAGGTCAGGGTGAGTAATGAAAATGCTAGAGAAAAGGAAAATATGTAAGCTTTTTCATTTTTGGACATAGCCTCATATCTTGGTCGAAAAAAAGAACTGAATTACAAGATGTTTCTGTTCAAAAAGATTTGACCTCTGTAGTCAGTGGAATGAATTTGGTCTCAGGATCAGTAGTTGATTTCTTAGTAAGTTAGTCGGCTGTATGAGCATTTCTCAGATGAGAACGTTGCTAATATGTAATTATGCATCACTTCTCCATAATGATATGATTTATTGTGTATGTATAAATTTCGATATTAAGTTGCGGATAGTTTTTTGTAAAATGCTTTAGGGTTTGTGTGTGTGTGATGCTTTTCTCTCCAAATTTGCACCTTTAAACAATTTATAAAAAACCACGTTGCAATTAATAAAATGAATACATATAATAATGTTAATCTATAAAAATAAACAGTTTTCACATATAAATCAACACATTACATTTACAGACCGTTTTAACAAATGGAGAAAATGAAAATGAACCAGACATTACACGAATTTCACAGGTGAGAGAAAATTTCTTGTACTCTTGTAAAATGTCCTATTTTGTGAAAAACCAATCCCAATTTTGCATAGGGGCCGATATTTTCTAATTTGTAAAATTTATTATGCATAAATATTAATGAGTTATGGAATTAGTTGATGATAGGAACAGTTAAAAGCACTAATGATCATAATGAAATATATCACTCTTCAGAATGACTGGATTTCATGGCTTATTGGTGTTTCCTAGGACAGTGACCATGCTTAGGCTGCAGATTTTATAACCTTTATGTCCTTTTGTTGTGTAAAATCAAACTATTATTTCCTATTGTGCAAACTTTTGAACACCAAGATAAAAAACAAAAACAAACAAACTACATTATCTGTGAATTATTAGAGATTATTAGAATCTCCCATTAATTATTTATATTAAGAGCAGTATTCAGTTATAAACTTTTGTAAACTGATTCAACACTATTTTAATTCAAAAATGAATAAATAAATAATAAAAAAGTACAAAATTGATTTTAACAAAGAAGAACCCTAAACAAATATATGTTTATAAAAGATTTTAACAAAAGAATACTTTGCTTTCTTAATATTTCCCAAATTAAATTGAACATCTGCACATGTTCTCGACTAAACATTTGACATAAATATACATTTCAGACACAAGAAGTTAAACCACAAGATGATAAGAAAGAACCTAAGGTAATGAGCATTTATGAAAAATCAAATTTACTTTTTAACATACACCAATAGAAAACTAGCTTCCTTTTTTTTCTTAAATGAATTTACAATTGAATAACATATAACAAATTGTTTGTTAAATTTCTATAGAATAAACACTGAACATTCATATTTCAGGCACAGGAAGTGAAACAAGTCAAGAAAGAGGAAACTACGGTAAATGTAGTTTTATCACTTAACTTAACAAGCTTATTTAACTTTTGCCTAAGTAGTATTTTGTTTAATGAATGAAAATGACCCAGGGCTGGTGTTAGCAGGTTCGAATCCTGCGTGACCCACCACTTACCTCCTATAGTCTCATTATAGTGAACACCACATAAGTTGATATGTTTACTTCAGATTATAACATTACAGGTTATAACATTTTTTTAACAACAAAGATTATCCTTTTGGGTTAGGATAAGCTAATCTCCCAGGGACAGGCTTTGGGAGAGCTTTGAAAGAAGAGGAAGGACCTCTCTGCCAACTTTGTCGAAGGCACAGTTTTTATTTGTTAATGGCTAGGAGTTATGTAAGATCCAATGAGCAAAGGAATTTAAACTTCAATAGCCTTACACCCACACAGAAGCAGTAAAATTGAAATGTCAGTGCTGGGCAAGAGGCCCTCTATTTGGAATGGAAAATACTTGGAAGTGGCTGATGAGTACCCCTCAACAAACAGCACTCATTGCATAGGAAAATGAATAGATAGGCAGACGAGACACAAGAAATAAAAGAGGTTAACACATGAATGTGCAAACTGCTTGTTAACCTAGGAATTTTGGGTTATACAAACATAGCAGAAGCCTTTACAATTTAAAAATTCAAACAGTTTAATGAAAGGGTAAAGAGAAGAATTGAAAGCTCTCTTCTTACCCAACGACTGGGCCCCAACTATTAGGGCGAAGTTCTTGCTGCCTAATGCCAGTCCTGGACTCACATAGAACAAATATAACCTGACATAATTTGTCGTAATACAATATTTTCATAAGTTTAAACTCACATAAATAATACAATATTTGTTTGGCCAACTTTACGGAAAAATAAACATTGCACAAACATATTTCAGAAACCAGAAGAACCAAAACCACAGGTTAAAAAAGAAGAACCTAAGGTAAATAACAACAACAGAAAATTTGTTTAACAAGTTTAACTCTTGGCTAGGTTGTAGTTGTATTTTAACTTGTGATCCTTATTTAAACAAAACAATTTTTCTCCTAACCTGTACACATAAATTTTATTATTTTTTCTTATATACATTCTCTCATAAATAATACGACACTTGTTTGGTTAACATTCTGGAAAATAAACATTGCACAAATATATTTCAGAAACCAGAAGAACCAACACAACAGATTAAGAAAGAAGAACCTAAGGTAAATAACAATTTACAGTACACAACTTCCATAACTTCAAGCTAGGTTGTAGTAGTATTTTGATTTATGACCCCTTCCAACATAACTGCACATAAAATGGCCTTTTAACCCATACATAAAGATTTTAATACTATTTTCAAAATTCACAATACCCAGCTTCCTTCAATTTTGGCTATGGTTTAGTCTTTCAACTCATAAGTCTCACTTAAATAGAACAAATTTTACTTTTTTTTGTATACCTCATATTATATTTTACATTCTTCTAACCTTTCCATAAAGATTCTAACACAATATTTTAATAAATGTGTACTCACATAAATCATGCATATAATACTTACTTGGATACCTTGCTGGACAATAAATATGGATCAAACATATTTCAGAAACCAGAAGAACCTAAACCACAGGTTAAGAAAGAAGAACCTAAGGTAAATAACTACAATATACAGCTTCCTTTAGCCCGTATTTTAATATACAAAACAATTTTTCTTCTAACCCATACATATGTACTCATGTAAATAATAAAATATTTGTTTGGGTACCTTACCGCATCCAATTCTTGTTCAGATAAAATTATAAATGTGATATACACAACTTCCTTAAATTTTGGCTGTGCTGTAGTCTTTTAACTCATGAGCCTCACATACATAAAACAATTTTTTTTTTGGATACCTCACATCAATTTCTAGACTCTTCTAACCTTTGTAAAAATTCTAACACAATATTTTCATAACTTGGTATCAGATATGATACATATAACACTTATTCGGATACATTAGTGGAAAATAAAAATTGAACAAACATATTTCAGAAACCAGAAGAACATAAACTGCAGGTTAAAACAGAAGAGCCTAAGGTAAATAACAACAATACAAAACTTGTTTAACTCTTGCCTACGTTGAAGTCGTATTTTAACTCATTATCCTTATTTAAACAAAATAGTTTTTCTCCTAACCTGTACAAATAAATTTTATTACATTATCTTACGTTTATTCTCACACAAATAATATAATACTTGTTTGGTTAACATTCTGGAAATTAAACACTGCACAAACATATTTCAGAAACCTGAAGAACCAACACCACAGGTTAAAACAGAAGAACCTAAGGTAAATAACAACAATACAAAACTTGTTTAACTCTTGCCTACATTGAAGTCGTATTTTAACTCATTATCCTTATTTAAACAAAATAGTTTTTCTCCTAACCTGTACACATATATTTTAATATATTTTATTATGTTTATTCTCACACAAATAATTCAAAACTTTTTTGGTTAACATTCTGGAAATTAAACACTGCACAAACATATTTCAGAAACCAGAAGAACCAAAACCACAGGTTAAGAAAGAAGAACCTAAGGTAAATAACAACAGTATAAAACTTCATTAACTTTTGGCTAGGTTGTAGTTGTCTTTTATTTGATGAGCCTCAGTTACATGGAACAAATTTCCAATGCTATGTCTGAATCATATTATTTCTTCTATTTGCCACTTCTAAACTGTCACGAATAATTTTAATACAATAATTTCATTACTGTATACTCACAATGATACAATAATTGTTTGGATATCTACTAAGAAATAAACATGGAACAAACATATTTCAGAAACCAGAAGAACCAAAACCACAGGATAAGAAAGAAGAACCTAAGGTAAATAACAACAATACAAAACTTGTTTATCTTTTGGCTAGGTAGTAGTCGTATTTTAACTCATGACCCTTATTTAAAAGAAACTATCTTTCTCCTAATTTTTATATAACACGTTTAATATATCTTCTTATGTCTATTCTCACACAAATGATACACTACTTGTTTGGTTAACAATCTGGAAAATAAAATTGCACAAACATATTTCAGATAACAGAAGAACCAAAACCGCAGGTTAAGAAAGAAGAACACAATGTAAATAACAACAATTTACAATACACAGCTTCCTTAACTCTTGGCTAGGTTGTGGAAATCTTTTCATTTACAAACTCCACCAACATGTAACAAATTTCCAATTTTATATCTGCCTCATATTATTTCTCCTATTAGTCACTTCTAACCTGACATAAATAATTTTAATACAATATTTTCATTGCTTTTACTCACAATACCACAATACTCGTTTGGAAACCTTTCTAGAAAATAAACATTGAACAAACACGTTTCAGAAACCAGAAGAACCAAAACCACAGATTAAGAAAGAAGAACCCAACGTAAATAATAACAATTTACAATGTACAGCTTCCTTAACTCTTGGCTAGGTTGTGGAAATCAAATACTCACATAAGTAATACAATACTTGTTTGGTTAACATTCTGGAAAATAATAAACATTGCACAAACATATTTCAGAAACCAGAAGAACCAAAATCACAGATTAAAAAAATAACTTACGAAAAATAACAACAATTTACANCCAAAACCGCAGGTTAAGAAAGAAGAACCTAAGGTAAATAACAACAATTTACAATACACTGCTTCCTTAACTTTTGGGTAGGTTGTGGTAGTCTTTTATGAATTTCACCTACAGTGTGCATTTATTATTTATATTGAAATTATTGTTCATTTATACACTATATCATCCAGTTTGTGTGACTCCAAAAATTTGTCGCTCTTTCTCATATTTTTTCTCCTGTTTTTTTAACTTGCTAACCTGTTGTCATTACATCAGGTTATCAAATTTCTATTAAAACAATTAAGAAGATGTTTGTACAAACAAACACATAAAATATAAACATTTTTACACTCCATACCTCCCCTGAATGTCCCAGAAATAGTCTGGCAGCCCTTCCTCCACCCCCCACCCCCCAATACTAGTCTCAGAGTACTCGTTTTCTTCAGGGTGATTGGGAAAGAAGGCCCTCCATTTATGTTAATAATTTACATTCACAGCAACTTAGAACAGACAACACAAACATTTATAAATTCTGATAGCCTTGAAGTACTGGAACAGTGACCCATGTTGCTACTGTGCTGTAATGCCACACAAAGATCAGCCAGCCGTGTCTCAATTGCTCATCTTTAAACCTTCTAGTTTTTTGAATTATAAAATATTCTCAATGCTTAGTCTTTTGGTACATAATGGCCTTCATGAGTCAGAGCCTAATGCCGGTTTTTATATACCGTAATTTGAGATTCTGCCCACCAATATCACCATTCTTGCGGCGCTGGTGCCTCTTTAGCCATTTTGTCTTCTTTGTTCCCAGCTATTCCTATGTATCAGGGACTCGGCATCAGTCCTTTTATAATTGTTCCTACATTTTAATTATTAAAAGGCAAGGACTTTTCTCCTGATTCCTGAAACTGTACAGAGGGAATCAGTGCATAATATGAAGGTTTTTTCCTATTTTTGATGTATTATGCTATATCTTTTTGATCTGTCCTCCAATGTACACAGAGCAGTTCGTGGAATTTCTGACCTATCTGTAATGATGGGCCGAGCATCAGGATACTTTGCCATTGTTCTTATATTTGTCCATATCCCACCATATAATGAAATAGCTCAGTATATCTTATCAAAAAAAAAATTTATTTTAAATAAAACTATTTACAAATAAAGTGCCTTGCTGAAAATTGAAATAACAAAACAATTCACACTTTTTACGATTGAAAAGTACCTCTAATGATAACTTTCATAAACTGATTCAACATTATTTTAATTGAAAACACCAAGCAAAATTGGATTCATCAACAAATAAGCACCTAAACAATTGTACATTTATAAAGGATTTTAACAAAACAATACTTTGCTCTTGTAATATATTTTTTAAATTAAACTATATATTTGCATAACACATGAATGCATATATATATAACAAAAGATTGATTACATGTGCTGGATTAAACATAGACATAATCATACACCAGAAGTTAAACCACGTTAAAAAAGAAGAACATAACGTAATGAACATTACGTTTTTGAACAAACACCAATAGAAAACTTGCTTCCTTATTTTTTTCTTAAACGTTAAATGGATTTATATTTGCATAACATATTACACATTATTGGTAAAAAATTAAAATAAACATAAAACATTCATATTTCAGACACCAGAAATGAAACCACAAGCCAAGAAGGAAGAACCTATGGTAAATGGGACTTAATTTCTCTTTAACTTAACATGAAGCTTACTTAAATTTTGCCTAATTAGTTTTTTTTTTCATTTCAACAATACCACTCACAAACATTTTTAAATTTTTGTCTGCCTCATATTATTTCCTATTGAGCACTTCTAACCTGAGATGTCTAATTTGAAAGAAAAAAAAAATCAGTTCTTTCTTGAAGCTTTCAATGATCCCCTTCAACAGGACAATTAAACAATAATTAATAATACAAAATTTTAGAAAATATAAACATACTTACAGTAGTAGTAACGAGATCTAACACCTGAGTTGTACTAAATAGTTTCAATACTATAATTATTAATTGTTTCAAAAACCTGATGAAGGTGATACAAGCGTTGAAAGCTTGACGAAGAAAAAGTCTCTTTTTTCCTTTCCAGTTAGCCTTATCCCTGGTGTTTTTAATAAAAAATTAGTTGAGATAACTTTGAACTTGCCATAATTAATTCCAATACAATATTTCCCAACTCGACGTTCACACAAATGTTGCATTTAATACATGTTTGGTTAACTTTCTGGAAAATAAACATGGTATAAATACATATCAATCGATTATCTCTTAACTAAACAATATGAAGCTTATGTAGCATGTAGCTAAAGAGTATTTTTTGTTTCGTCAAATAGACTCTCCTACATTGAATATATTTTCAATCTTACGTCTGACTCATATTTTATCCTAACAGGCACTTTTAACCTATACAATATTTTCTCAACTAAATGTTCGTATAAATGATCGTTTGGTTAAATTTCTGGAAAATAATAAACATTGCACAAACATATTTCAGAAACCAGAAGAACCAAAATCACAGATTAAAAAAATAACTTATGAAAAATAACAACAATTTACAGTATACAGCTTCCTTAATTTCCGACTAGGTTGTAGTAGTATTTTGATTTATGAGCCTATCCTACATGAAACAATTTTTCTTTTAACTCGTCCATAAAATTTTTAATACAATATTTTCATAAGTTTATACTCGCATAAAAAAATGCAATATTTCCCAACTTTCAAAAATAAACATTGCACAAACATATTTCAGAAACCAGAAGAACCAAAACCACAGGTTAAGAAAGAAGAACCTAAGGTAAAAAACAACAATACACAGCTTCCTTTGCCTGGCTAGTAGTAAAATTTTAATTTACAAGCCTCACCTAAACAAGACAAATTTTCTTCTAACTTATACATTTGTACTCATATAAAGAATAAAATAATTGTTCGGATACCTTGCCATATACAATCCTTGTTCATATAACATTATAAATGTACAATACACAGCTTCCTTAAATTTTGGCTGTGCGGTAGTACTCTTTTAATTAATGACCCTCACCCATAGAACAAATTTAATTTTTTCGTATACCTCACATAAATTTCTTGTCTCTTCTAACCTTTGTGTATACAAAATATTTTCATAACTTTGTAAGAGTAAAATATTTTCATACCTTGCTGGAAAATAAACATTGAATAAACATATTCATACATATTAATAACATATATAACAGATATTAACAACAATAAACAGCTTCGAATCCCGCTCGTGTCGCTGTCTTTTTTATCTAACCAATACCTTTCATAAATATTAATTAATTGAAAAATGTTAGTTGGTCAATCGGACCACGAACTGCAATGGAGTAAATAACAATGCAAAATTTGTTTAACTCTTGGCTAGGTTGTAGTCATATTTTAACTTATGATCCTTATTTACACACAACAATTTTTCTCCTAACCTGTACACATAAATTTTATATATTTTTGTATGTTTATTCTCATGCAAAAATTCAATACGTGTTGGGTTAACATTCTGGAAAATAAACATTGCACAAACATATTTCAGAAACCAGAAGAACCAAAACCACAGATTAAAAAAAGAACTTACGATAAATAACAACAATTTACAGTATACAGCTTCCTTAGTAGTAGTATTTTGATTTTTGATCCCCTCTAACATGAAACAATTTCCTTTGAACCTGTACATAAAGATTTTAATACTATATTTTCATAAGTTTATACTCACATAAATAATACTATACTTGTTTGGTTAACATTCTGGAAAATAAACATTGCACAAACATATTTCAGAAACCAGAAGAACCAAAACTGCCGGTTAAAACAGAAGAATCTAAGGTAAATAACAACAATACAAAATTTCCTTTAAACCCATACATAAAGATTTTAATACTATATTTTCATAAGTTTATACTCACATAAATTATACAATACTTATTTGGTTAACATTCTGGAAAATAAACATTGCACAAACATATTTCAGAAACCAGAAGAACCAAAACTGCAGGTTAAGAAAGAAGAACCTAAGGTAAATAACAACAATACAAAACTTGTTTAACTCTTGGCTAAGCTGTAGTCGTATTTTAACTCATGATCCTTATTTAAACAAAACAATTATTTTCTTAACCTGTACACATAAATTTTATTATTTTTTCTTACGTTTATACTCATCCAAATAATACAATACTTGTTTGGTTAACACTTTGGAAAATAAACATTGCACAAACATATTTCAGAAACCAGAAGAATCAAAACCACAGGTTAAGAAAGAAGAACCTAAGGTAAATAACAACAATACAAAACTTGTTCAACTTTTGGCTAGGTTGTAGCAGTATTTTGATTTATGACCCCCTCCAAAATGATACAATTTCCTTTTAACTCGTACATAAAGATTTTAATACTATATTTTCATAAGTTTATGCTCACATAAATAATACAATACTTGTTTGGTTAATATTCTGGAAAATAAACATGGAACAAATATATTTCAGAAAACAGAAGAACCAAAACTACAGGTTAAGAAAGAAGAACCTAAGGTAAATAACAAGTTTATTTTGGCCAAACTTTATTTTGGCTAGATTGTTGTCGTCTTTGAACTCAACAGTCTCATCTACATAGAACAAATTTTCAAATTTTGTATACCTCACATTGTATTTTAGATTCTTCTAACCTTTGCATAAAGATTTTAGTGCAATATTCTTATAAGTTTATACTCACATAAAAGATACATATAATACTTATATACATTGGTGGAAAATAAACATTCAATAAACATATTTCAGAAACCGGAAGAACCTAAACAGCCAGTTAAGAAAGAAGAGCCTAAGGTAAAATAATTACAATACACATCTTCATATCTTAATGCTCATATAAAGAATACAAACAAAACTTGTTGGGTTAACTTTCTGGAGAATAAACATTGAATAAACATATTTCAGAAGCCAGAAGAACCTAAACAGCAAGTTAAGAAAGAAGAACATAAGGTAAATAACAACAATACAAACTTCTTTAACTTTTGGCTACGTTGCATTAGTCTTTTAACTCATAAACCTTACCTTTATTGAACAAATGTCCAATGTTAAGTCTGCTTTGTACTATTTCCCCATAGGAAAATCTAACGACATAAATAATTTGAATACCATATTTTCCTAATTTTATACCTGCAATAATACATACAACATTTGTTTGGACACCTTTTTGTAAAATAAACATATTTCAGAAACCAGAAGAACCTAAACTGCAGGTTAAGAAAGAAGAACCTAAGGTAAATAACAACATTTACAATACACAGCTTCCTTAACTTCTGGCTAGGCTGTAGTAGTATTTTGATTTATGAGCCTCACCTACATGAAACAATTTGTCTTCTAACCTGTCTATAAAAATTTTAATATTTTTTTACGTTTATATTCACACAAATAATACAATACTTGTAATAATATACCTTGCCGAATTTAATCCTTGTTCGGATGACCTCATGAATTTACAATTCACAGCTTCTTAAAATTTGGCTGGGCTATAGTGTTTTATCTCACCAGCTCACCTACATAAAACAAATTTAATTTTTGTTTTTGTTTTGTATACCTCGGATTATTTTAGACTCTTCTAACCTTTGTATAAAGATGCTAACACAATGTTTTCGTAACTTTATACTTGCTATGATACATATAACACTTATTCAGATACCTTGCTGGAAAATAAACATTGCACAAACATATTTCAGAAACCAGAAGAACCAAAACCACAGGTTAAAACAGAAGAACCTAAGGTAAATAACAACAATACAAAACATGTTTAACTTTTGGGTAGGTTGTAGTTGTATTTTAACTCATGATCTTTACTTAAATGAAACAATCTTTTTCCTAACCTGTACAAAACAATTTTAATATATTTGGTTATGTTTAGTCTCACACAAATAATACAATATGTGTTTGGTTAACATTCGGAAAATAAACATTGCACAAACATATTTCAGAAACCAGAAGAACCTAAACCACAGGTTAAGAAAGAAGAACCTAAGGTAAATATTGGGTTGTCCGGAAAATAATGCAGGATTTTGGTATTAAACAAAAAAAAAGAAACTAGTTACTTTAAAGCAATGTTCTTTAATCAAAATAATNGAGTAATCCTGTAAACGTAAACAGAATATTTTATATAGATTTTTTTTAATGAAAACTTAAAATCCTGCATTATTTTCCGGACAACCCGATAACAATAATACACAGCTTCTTTAAATTTTGTTTAGGTAGAAGTAGTCTTTTAACTCATAAGCCTCACCTACATAGGACAAATTAAACAAAAAAGAAATTAGCTCACATTATTTTCTAGACTCTTCTAACCTGTACATAAAGATTCTAAAACACTGTTTTGTTTATAGTCGTGTAAATGATATTGTATAACATACTTGTTGTTTTTCAATAGCAAGTTAATATAATTAATTTATAATTATTATAAAATTATAGTTAATTAAATTAATAATACAAAACTTTATACCCTCATACTACCACCAAAGAAGAAACCAAGGCAATGAACTATGAAAGTCCTAATTCACTCTTAAGCAACCACATAAAATAATACCTAGGAATTTGCCATGGGCCGACCCATATCTATCCTTTCGAAGTTCCTAATTTTAGCTGTTGTCGGTTCGTTAAATATTCTATTTGAAACTTGGGCATTCTTTCCTTAGAAATGATTCTTCTGCAAACAAAGAGTTTCTCAGCGCCTCACCTTTAAAGCTTATCAATGGGCTGACAACATTTTTATAAAGTTATTTTGCCTTTCAGACTCTCGCTTTTTCCATTTAGTTTTTTGCACAAGCCTAGGATATTTTGCCTCTGTGTTGGGTGATGGTTCAAATTAGTTTTCAGTCAAAGTTGACTCCAAGGTATGTAAACTGCTCTCTTCCTAATATTATGAAATCATCTGTGTCTAAGGACTGCTTACAACTGGGGCAACAGGAACCCTCTTGCAACATCTGCCTTGTTGTGTTGTCCAGAGAGAATTTAATAGTTCTTTTCTCTAAAGCTTTCACTTAACCATTGGCAAATTGATATAGGGACTCCTTTGCAAGACAATTTCTATAAATTAGTTCAAATTAAAATTTAATTTTTCTTCTCTTGACCCCAGGATATCTCCTTTGAAGAGTTAGAGTGATCTTATATGATAAAAAAGGTGATATGATAAAATTAAATACAAATTCCAGCTTAAGGCATGTGTCTGGCTTATAATGAGTGGGTGAGAGGGTACTTGTTTGGCTAATTGGCCAGCTTCCTTCAACGTCTTGGAATTCATCTTGAAACTTGTTGAATTTTCCTAGGGCCATTAGAATGCCTCATTCTGGGTTTTAAGAGTCCCATTGGTGTAGAAATAATCGCCCCTCAGACTGACAAAAACTATTAGAAATTTGTAAACTATGTTCACTGGTTTCATCTGGGTGAAGTCAAAGTAATGATCCTTGGAACTGAAGTTCGTGAGAGTTGAACTCAACTTGTTGTTGATTAACTGATAACCATATTATTATTGGCTTGAATAAAAGTTATGCTTTTATAAAATTGAACTCTTATAATATTATTTAATAATCATGTAGTCAAATCCACATAAATAATACTAAAACTCTCTTATACACATCAACATTTTATGTGATAAAATAATGGGGATAAATTATTTCAGAAGGCTGAAGAAAAAGCTCCTGCACCTAAAGAGGAAGCTAAGGTGAGAAACATGACAAACCATAAACACTCTTATGCTAACAAAAAAGAAAAAAAAAGAAAAAAGAAAGAGGCAAACAAGAAAAAAGTTATACTTTTGACAAGTAACAATTGCAATATGAATTTTACACCATCATAACTTTTTAAGTTTTACACAGTTAAACTTGATTAAATAAGTAAGGATAATTTTTATTGAAAGCTCACCAACTCACAGAACAACAATGCTTAACAACGTAAGATTTCTCGCGTTAAACTTCATATTTATTGATTTTCTAGGTAATAACCTTAAATTATTATGGTCATAACTGGTCTTTTTATGCATTTAAGCATCTTTCGGGTTCCACGACAATTTCTAGTGGAAATTAATGCATCTGAACATTTCAATATTTAAAACAAAAAATAAAAAGTGCTAAATACCATAAATACTCTTCTATAAATATTACTATATTTTTCCATGGAGGATAATTGTTAAAAACTATTTCAGAAAGCAGAAGTAAAGGCTCCTGCACCGAAAGAGGAGGCTAAGGTGAGAAAAATTTCAACGCTAATTGGAAAATACGCGTTAAATAACTGTAAAAGGCTTTTATTAATTATAGCTTTTATTAATTGGAGATTTAAATTAAAAATTTATATAATATAGATTTAAAAAAATTTTTGTTTACCATGTAAATCCACTTTTTTTTGCTTTTTTGATTGAGCCTCTCTCATTTGCTGAATTTTCTAGTAGTAAAAAATAAAACTTTTTCCTAATAGTGGGTAACACACAAGTAATCTGAAATTATAAGATCCGTGTTAGAGAATTAAATTGATTAACAGTACTTCGTAGAGTACAAAAATAACAATATTAAAATGATTACAACAATCTTTTTAATTAAATTAACTTACATCTACTTTGTATGAGTATCCGACAATAATACAATAATCTAACACAATCTAATAATGCAATAATCAGCCATAAAAGAAATTAAAAAATCGTTTATATAGTTCAATTAGAAAAAATAACAACAAATAATATAAACTTTATTTCAAAGCTTTCCAATCACTATTTCACTCTTTTTTCATTGAAGTATTTTATACTAAAATTAATTAAGGATAAAACTAATCCATTCAGTTTAAATTCAAAAAGAATCCTTTACTGAGACAGTAAAGCAACTTTTGTATTATTTATTTATTTACATGTACTTCGCAGTCCAATTAGAATTATAAATTGTAATTAGTCAAATATAAATTTTATTATTTGTATTGTAATTATGTAAAATATATTTTAATTTTAAAAACATGTGAACAAAATTTTTTTTATCTGATAGACAAGTGTAATTAACACTGAAGAGGACTCATGTCATGAGGTCGAAAATGTTCTGTTAATAAATAAAATTCCATGCTGCAGTACATGTTCAGCAACCTACAATACAAATATAAAAATTATAAAATAAACAGCGAAAATATTTATGAGAGTAAACCGAGGAATTATGGCCAAGTTATACTAAATTTAAGACAAAAATATCAATATTTTTTTACCTTGTGAATTATTAATATTAGCTTCAAAGTTGCGATGAAATGCAATTATATTCATCGAAAGATTGTTGAAGGAACTAAGCTCTCAAATAGAACCCTCTTACATAAACCAAGAAACATTTATCACAGGAAATAAAACAGACAAAATTATTTCAGAAGGCTGAAGAAAAAGTCGCTCCAAAAGAGGAAGCGAAGGTGAGAAACCCTCCAAAATTGACACACATTTTCTCTAATACACTCATAAATACTAAAAAGAAAAAGTAGACAAAGAACATAACAGAATAATTGTTGCTTAAATCATCAAAAAGAAAATTTGAAATAATAGACTTCAGTTTAAACCCTAAATTAAATTAACATTGCCATAACTTGTTTCTTTTTTTCTGCCTAGGCAATAAATATTTTGCAATGTAATTAAGAAAAAAATTAGAATTGAAATTTTTCATAAATAATTATTCTCACCTTAGCTACTATTAGATTTGATTTTCTAACAAGAGAAAGATAAGTTATACTAAAAAATTAACCAACTGTAATCATCACTTAAAATTTTCTTTATTTACATGAGTTTAGTAGATCTTAGTAACTTGGATAAACAAATAAGTATACCCTTTCTATTCTAAATGATAATTATTAATAAAGAAAGGCCTTTCCCCATGTTTTTATTTTTTCTCTTTTTTCTACAAGCCTTCACCTGTGCCTGAAAATTGCAATATTTCATCCCCCTTTCTTTTGGCCAGTTTTTTCTTCTTGTTCTGTCATACTGTTTCCCTCTGGTGATCCTTGTCGTTCAATTTTTCATTAAGATTAAGTTCTTGAGGTGTCCTCGCATTATTATTTATATTTTCTTTGTTTTCTATGTGAGGGCCCAGGTCTGTGCTCCAAATCTCAGGCACGAGAAACATATTACAATACTTTTTTCTGAATTATTCTTAAATAAAAGTCCAAAGATTTGAACCCAGAACCGCTAGCGTAGTAAATACCGGTCGGTTGTCCTAACCCCTCAGCCACTGCACCCTGAAAGTTTGCACTAATTTATTTAAATCCTTGCTTTTTTCAGTAAAGTAACAAACATCAAATGTATAATACAACTCAGTAGAAAATGATAACTACTCTCTTCTCCATATTAATAATAAATAGCCATGTTAATAAAGTACAAAACAAAAATTTCAGAAGGCAGAAGTAAAGGCTCCTGCTCCAAAAGAGGAACTTATGGTGAGAAACATTGCTAATTTTCGTAATTTGACATAAATGTACCCGTTAGACAAGAAAACTGTACTTTTTATAAGATTTTAAAATCACATCTGTTAACTGCTGGTCTGATCTGACAGACGTGTTTCAACCTTTCAACATTTTCAGTAGCACATTTGAAAAGACAAAATCTTGAGTAGATAGAATAAAATATCTCATAAACTATTAGTATACAAAATTAATTAATCATAAGACTCACATAGATTAGCAAATATTTTTGGTAAACTATTTATTATTATATACATTTGGACAATTTGTTTTGTAATGAAATACCCTTAAAACTTTTTAATTCATTAAATGACTACATAATAACATTTTTTAACTTTCATGTGAATAAGCATTGAACATGTTTTCAGACACCAGAAGTGAAACCTCAGGTTAAGAAAGAAGAACCTAAGGTAATGAACATTTATGAAAGAACAAATAAGTTTTTACAAAAAATAATAATAATAAATTAATAAATAAAATAAATAAATAAATAATAATAAATTTAAAAAAGTAAAAAATTAAGCTTCTTTAACTTTTCACTGAGTTGTATTAACATTTATGTAATTGAGCTTTGTTACAATTAAAATAAAAAGCTTTCTTTCAAGGAACATCTATGTAAAAAAATTATAACACACTAGTTTCAATCATAGTTAACACAATATATTTATATTAATCAGCCACTTTTACACGATTGAAATTTTTCCTCTAACTTAAGAAACTACTTATTTTCTGAGCTTTGAAGTTGAGTCAATTGAATTTAGTGGTTTATGTAGGGATTGAAAAAACTGTTTATTAGGATTATAAAAAAATGTAGTTATTATTACATAAATATCGAGGAGGGGGAAACTGAATGTGCATTGACCAATTCTCACATACAGCATGATTGCTTTGGCTAATAAAGATAAATAAACGACAAAACAAACAGAACTCACATAAAATATATATATTTGTACCACTGGAGCAATGAGAACATGTCACACAGCTGGTATGGAGAAAATACCGGGACTAATCACCTTCCACCAATAGTAAGGAACACACAAAGAAAACATGGTTAAAGTTAACAAATAAGAATCTTTAAATGGGTTAAAACTTAAATGGAATGACAAGAGCATCCCGATGAGAGAATAAACAATTGGCTCCAAGGAACGTGAACCGAATGTTTGAATTTAAACAAACCTAAGCACCGAAAAGGAGTAGGGAAAGGGAAAACCACTCAGTCAAGGAAGACGCTATTTTTTGGTACACTAATTGATCTAGGTTGCAAGATGTTATAGGTACAAGAGTATTTGGTCCCAAAGCCAGAGTCCATGGGCATGTACATCAGTATCTTTCATACCAAAATTCGTGCATTCAAAAAGTTACTGTAGTCCGTACAATTTAAACAGAGGGTATAAAAACAAAGATTATTATGTCAGATAGCCAGGCATCTGAGCATTAAACTTAACTAACCTTGAGAATAGTGCTGAATTGAAAAACAAAATTGCACTCTGCTGGGTCTCAGGACACACAATAGAAAAAGCAAGATGCTCTTACAAGATAAAGAATTCACAGCTGATTCTGAACCCTTTTGTGGTACAGCAATCCATACTATCGACAGACATGGTGGAAGTGAGAAAACAACAGAATGCACTCACTGGATACAATCCAAAAACCTGGCAACATTTGGAAAGAAAGAACAGAATGTATCGGTGTGACAGTTGCATTTGAGAAAGATTGTCATCAACCAACATGTTGCAGATTCTACAAGGAGGCAGAAGCACAACATACTTATTAACAGACTATGGTGCTACACTTATCCGTAGATGATTTGGGGTGCATAACAATTATAGAAGAAATACATATACTAAAACTAATAATAATCAACTTATTATAACTAATAATCAAATCCTTTTATGAATCAGGACCAGTTTGATAAAGAAAAAAAAAGGGGGGACCCAAAATGCACTGAATTTACATCTAAATGGAAAATAAATAAACCATGCACCATAAATTGTCTCAATAACTTTATTTCAACTTTACTATTGAGAAAATAATTAAGATAAAGTTTACATGTTTGAAAATTGTGTTATTATTTAATAACTATACACAAATTTTTCTGATAATAATTTGCTGGCAAGATGGTGCTATGCTGTTAATATTTGTGAAGGAAACAGTGAATCGTGTAAAATTGTTTGCTCAAAAGTGTTTGACTCAGAAGGCTTGAATTCGTTTTCCCGTCTACTGTGTGCAACAGTCTTTGTGTCAACCACTAATTAATATTTTAGATCTATCTCATGCCTATTATCCTTTTGACTAACAAATTGGTTCAAATTCAATGATCCAAAACCTACCATCAAATATAGTACTTGCTGAAACGATGATACTCGATTACTCTACTTTGTCTACTCTTGTTTATTTATATTCCATTTGTAAGACAATTCCTCACTGAAGAAGGTGTGAAGCTGAAATGCGTCTGAGTGAAATGTAAACCAGCAAGATGGACCCGTAAAGAATTCGAGTGTCAATCAGTTCAACTTGGGTAGTTGATTTTCTGGTTATATTAATTTTTTTAAAATACAACAATGATACATAATTATAATAAATTATTACCATTGTTATAACCTGTCTTTTTTTAGAATTAAATAATTTATAGGTTCTACTACAATATTGTAAATTAAATCATCTGCACATTTTGATAAATTCTTTCAATTAATTAATCTTTGTTAGGTATTGGTTGAAATAAAAAAGCTTGTGTCACGAGTGGGATTCGAACACACGACCTTTGGCTAAATGCTGCTCTACCACTTGAGCTATCGTGACTTCGATCCACTCGGACGCCAACTCTGCATCTCAACCTACAACCGTTTGAATTTTCTCTCTTTTTGCCAATTTTCAATCCCGCTCGTGACACAAGCTTTTTTATTTCAACCAATACCTAACAAAGATTAATTAATTGAAAGAAGTTTTTTGGTCAATCGGACCACGAAATGTAATGGATTTTGATAAATGCTTTGATTGATTTGATAAATTCTACAAATATTAACTGTCTGCCATAATTAATAAAAATGAAGCTTTTAGTTCGTCATAAAAAATAAAACTATAATTGTAAAATCTATTTCAGAAAGTGGAAGTAAAGGCTCCTGCACCGAAAGAGGAGGCTAAGGTGAGAAAAATCACAAAGCAAATAGGCGAATAACCATTAAATAACAATAAAAGGCATTTATTAATTTTAGCTTTCACTAATTGGAAACTTAAATTTAAACTTTGTATAATATAGTTTAAAATTAAACCGATAACCAAGAAAATTCATTTTATATTGTTCTCTCGCTTTTTAATCGAGCTGCTCTAATTTAGTTTTCTATAGTAAAAAAACATTTTCTGCACAGCGAATAGTAGGGTAATCAGAAAATATAAGAATCGTGTCGTAGTATAAAATATATTAACAGTAGTTTTGTGTTAGAGATGATTAGAGTAGGATTTTTCTTTATTATTGAAATTAACTTTTAATGTTTGTAAGTCCATCTCTTCTTATTGTTTAACTTTATATTATTTTATTGTATTTCTTTGAAAATCTCACGAGTAAAAATATAGTTCTAATACATCTAACATCTTGAACTTTCAAGTAGAAATCTATTTGAAATTTGATGATAAACATTGAACATATGTATTTTAGACACCAGAGCCTCTTGTTAAGAAAGAAGAACCAAAGGTAATGAACATTTATGAAAAATTGATATCGTTAGAAACGCCTATGAACATTGTGGATGTGTGTGTATGTGTGTGTGTGTGGGGGGTGAAGAAATAATTTAAAATTTTGATAATTTTGTAAAAGAATTATTTAAGCCTAATCCAGTTAAAACATGGCTACTTTGATATAGAGACTGAGCTGTTATGAATTAGAAAGAGATCAATGTTGTATGACTTGCCGAATCTACAATTAGAAACGCTTTTAAATTTTTTCAATATAATTGAAAAAAAAATCAGAAGACAGAATCGGAAGCTTGATAGACACACATGTACTTGTCTGTGGATCTGTCAGATGAGTTTCAGCATTTTGCCATCTTCAGTGTGTCTAATTTCTTTAGTGTCAGCATTATCTTTGTTTCTCGGTGCCTTCAGTGGATCAGTTTGTGTCTTTATTCTTTATAATTTTCAGTGTTTCGAATGGTGTAAACAAAATGTTTTTATGCGTTTTTTATTATTGTTGAATGTTTCTATATTTCTAAATTTTAAATGGTAAATAACGCTTGCAAAAGATTGACGCATATTTTAACCTTAAGCAATGTAAAGGGTCTCGCCTGCTATGCACATATTTGACCGAAACTACGTTTCCTCGACTTTTTGTCGCCTTTGTCTTTTCAGCAATAAGCCTCGCCTATGCACAACTTGTAAATAATTCTAATGATAGTTTTAAAAAGATATATAAATTTAGACATATTGTAAAATGTATTGAAAATAAATGTAGAACGTATATTTCAGACACCAGAATTGAAACCTCTAGATCAGAAAGGACTCAAGGTAAATAACATATTCGAAATGATGCATATTTTTACCAACCAAAATGCTTCTCAAAACTTTTTGCTTTATTGTGTTTGTCTTTTCATCAAAGGCCTTTCATACTATGCACTCCTTACTTGAATCATAAATGTTACAAATGTATTTTTGTACTGTAAATGATATGATGTAACAAACATTTTTAAAAATTTTTTAAATTAAAAAAAAAAAGTAAACGAAAAAAAATATATATATTTCAGACAGCTGAATTGAAACCTCTCGCTAAGAAAGGAGAATTTAAGGTAATTAAAATATACAAAAGATTGATACATATTTCAACCGAAATGCTTCCCAAAAAAGCTTTATTGTATTTGTCTTTTCATCAAAGACATCTTACTCTTTATTCAAACATAATCGATTCTAATGCCAATATGTTCTTAACATAAATGTTACATGTAACACACATTTTGTAAAATATCTTGAAAATAAACGAAGAACGTATATATTTCAGAAAATAGAACTGAAACCTCTTCCTCAGAAAGGAAAACTTCAGGTAATTAGCATATATAAAAAAAATCGATGACTATTTTAACCAACCTTTTACTGCTTCTGTGTTTCATTTTGTGTCTTCATCAAATACCTTTCATATTCTTAGTTGAATATAAATAATACATGTTTGGTTGCAATTATCAAAAAATAAACGTTGAACGTATATATTTCAGACGCCACAATTGAAACCGCTCGCTAAGAAAGAACCTAAGGTAAATAGCATACAAAAGATTGATATTTTAACAAAGCAAAATACATTTCGTGCAAACCTGATGTTTTGTGTTATTGTATTTTGTGTTTTTCATCAAATGAAAATTTGACATTACCTTGCCAAGTATATCGTAATCAAAATTCTCTCCAACTACGGACTTCTTACTCGAATATAAATTATTGTAATGCAATTTTTGCCTGAAATAAATTATTGTATTGTTAAAGCCTCAAAAATAAAAATTGATATATTATATTTCAGACATTGGAACTGAAACCTCTTGATAACGGAGATCTCAAGGTAAATAACAAACTGATTGATGCATATTTTAACCGACTGAAATGTATGCTTACCAAGCATCCCTTTTTATATTTTTTCTTTTTAATAAGCCCCACGTACTATTATTTTGTCTTCTTCGTCAATAAGCATCATATACTGCACATTCATAACTTGAATATAATGAATCTAACTCATTTGCTTAATAAATTTGACATTACCTTGCCAAGTTTATCGTAATCAAAATTCTACTGACAACTGATTATTGCTAGTTGAGAACTATTACCAATAATCTGCCAAATTGCTGTAAAATGGTACATGTAACATAAAAACTTTACAATAAATTTTTCATACTATTATCAATTCAAAAACGATGGGCTTTGCTGGGGACCTAGAACTGCTAGTTTGGCAAATATAACTCGGATGCCCTAACCACTCGCCCATCGTGGTCACCCTTACATATAACACATTGGATTGATTACACCTTGTAAAACTAAACAGTAAACATAATATTTAAGTCACTAGAACTGAAACTTCTATTTAAGAAAGGAGAACTTTCAGTGGAAACCACTTGCAAAAAGAAGAAATTTATTTAAAATGAAACAAAATAAAATGCTCTTTTAACTTTTTGCATTGTTTTATTTATCTTTTTTTTTATCAAAGGGCTCTTCTATTAAGTACTCGCTTGAATTTAAAATTATTCTAATGCAATATTTTCCTAATGTGAATGATAGTAACGGATGTTAAATCTCTTGGAAATAAACATGAATATTTATATTTCAGCCACCAGAACTGAAACCTCTAGATAGTGCAGATTTCAAGGTAAATAAAATTTACAAAAGATTGATGCATATTTTAACCAACCAAAATGTATGCTTCTTAAGCATTAAAAAAAAATTATAATTGTCTTTTCATCGCCAAGATTCAACTACGATGCACTCCTAACTCGAGCATAAATTATTTCTAATGATAAATCATATAGTTAAATTGCTTGAAAATAATAGATCAGCATGAACAAGTTCTTAAGAAAGGAACTAAAGGTACATATTCAAAAAATTCATATTTAAAATAAAGCAAAATATCAGGTAACCAGAAAAATTCATGCAGGTTTAAGACATGTCACAATTAAAACTAGTTGAAAAAAATTGATTCAGGGAAATAGTCTCCATCGGCATCTATCAGGGTCCCAGAATATAAAATTAAATTCAACTCGTTTTCCAGCATTTAGTAATTATCCAACTCCCAATTGTCCATATGATAGTCCATTTAGAAAAAAGTGAACTTCAGATGGGGCCAAGTCTGGAGAGTAGGGAGGGTGCAGTATCATATTTATAATATCATATTTTTGTCATTCTGACTGTATGAGTTCTGTGTTCTGGTGAAAAATTGCACCTTTTCTTTTCACAAGAGCAGGTTGTTTCTGGGCCAGAACAAGAGATACTTGTAGTTGACTTGAATAGATGTCTGCAACGATGGCCTAATTTTGAGGCAGGATTCATAGTGTACAATGCCTGCCAGACTCCAAACACAAAGCATCACCTTTTCGGTGAATGCTTGTTTTTCGTGTCATTTGGTGACTCCTGGTGTTACAGTACAGGATCCAGTCGAACAGTTCAGTCAAAAAATGTGTATTTCGTGCTGTGAAAGTAATGAAAGGCAAATGTTTATAAGCTGAGGCTTGTTATCGATGGTCAATTTATAAAGAACCCATTTTCTCTGCTTACATGACTTCCCAAGTAGATTTAAGCTAGAGAAAATGGTTTTGTGTACATTGAACTCTCTGGTAAGCCCTTGACGTGTTTGACTTGAATGAAATGCAACAGCTTCCCTCAATTTATCATCGTTGAAGACAGAAGGTATGACAGACAGTGGCTCAATCCCCTCACTCCCAGAAGCAAACCTTTTGAACCACTCACTCACCAAATGCAGTGTAAATTTTTTGTGCTGCCTCAGTCACCCTAGTATCAAGCTTCATACAATAAGTATGAATTATGGGTTTTGAAGTTACGAGAAAGAAACTATTTTATAATTTACATTGAACTGTTCAAGACACTTTTATCTTCTTGGTATTACATGATGTAAACATCCACCCATGTAAATAAAAATGTTGATTAACAGCACTGAAACAACATTGTAATAGAAAAACTGCAAAAACTTTTCTGGTTACGTGGTACCGAGCTTACTCGACTTTTTACTGTTATATTTGTATTTACATCGATAAGCCTCGCTGATGATTATAACGCAATATTTTCTTCAAATAAATAATATGTACCATGTGTATGATCTTTGGTTAAATCTCTTGAAAATTAAATGTAGAACATATGTATTTCAGACTCCAGAACTGAAACCTCTAGATAAGAAAGAAGAACTTAAGGTAAATAAAATATCTCAAACATTGATGCATATTTTAACAAAAAGAAACTATAATTTTCTACTATTTGTTTGCTATTTATTTATTAATGTGCAGCCATGCCTTTTTTTATATTGGCAAAATATACAAATAAGAATAATAATAAATTATGAAAGATAAACTATACTATGGTTTAGTATACAAATAATGTACATCGACTAGGTTATATCAAGTGTTTTTTTATACGGTTTTTAAACTGTGTTATTCTGTCTGTTTTTCTTGATTAAGCCTCATTTACTAAGCATTTCCAACTAGAATATAAAAGATTCAAAATGCAATATTTTCTTCGTGTGAAGATACATGTAACATTTTTGTTAACATCGAAAATAAACAAAGAACATATATTTCAGACACCAGAACTGAAACCTTTAGATAAGAAAGGAGAACTTAAGGTAAATAACATATACAAAATATTAATGTATATTTTAACCTATCAAAATACTTCTAAAATCTTTTCACTTTATTTTTCTTTACATCAAAGCCCTCCCCTAGCATTACTAACATTCAAATTCACTATTTTCCTAATGTGAATGATGTATGTAAGATTTGTGTTAAATGTATCGAAAATAAACGGCAAGCTATATATTTCAGACACCAGAATTGAAACCTCTAGATCAGAAAGGAGACTCCAAGGTAAGTAACATGTTCAAAATTATGCATATTTTTTACCAAACAAAAGGCTACTGAAACTTTTTTTTTGCTTTATTGTATTTGTCATTTCATCAAAGGCCTCTTTTACTATGCAGTTCTAAGTTAAACATAAATGATTAATTAAATATTTTAACAGTTGGTGAAATACAGCCAAGGTAAAGCGAGAAAGTACCATTTCATTTCTTCAGTCTTTTTCAATCATGGAAACTGATTACTGATTTATATAAGCTCAAATTTGCACATGCATGTACAGAATTAAGCCTAACACTTCTCGCAGTCCACCTGCGATTCCACCTTATGCAATTTACAATAAATTACCAGCCTTGAGAATCACCCAACTCGGGGTGTTGGCACTCCAGGCTCAGACATTGGTCCTATCAGTACTGACGTTGGTCTTCAGGGCTATCAACAGATAGGTCATTTCAGTACACTCTCACACACCCTTAAGTACGTTCTTAATTATTTACATACCATTCACATCAGTAGTGGAGTACTCGATATCTCTCAATCGCCCTTTACACCTAACATATAAGTAAACTAACTGAGGGTACTCAATATTCCACCATCAGCCCTTTCACACTACATATTCATGCTAATAAATACATTCACTCTCAACACCCACTAGGGACATAGAACTGTCAGTAGTATATGCAATAAAACAAGAATCTAAACAGAGGACCCAGATACTCGCTGCGGTGGCAATCCTACATGCTCTCTATATGGAGCCAAGTAATTACACCCTTTAAGTGCCCATGTGTTCTCCTCGCATGGCCTATTCTTAATTGGGTGAGGGTAATCACTCTGAGGGCCATCCATATAAAATGTATGTATAAACTATATAATACTTAAGGGTCATTATTTAGTTACATGTTGTATTATACCATACGTATATTTCCAGCCTTGAAAAACAGGAACATCATTGAAAATTTTATATGAAATAAATTTTTTCTCACTCCATCTTGGCTTTTTGAAGCAACTGTTAAATATGTGAATATTACTTGGGATATTTAAAAAAAAAAAAAAAAATACACATGTGACACAGTCGGTTGAATCTTTTGAAAATAAACGAAAAATATTTATTTCAGACCCCAGAATTGAAACCTCTCGCTAAGAAAGGAGAACAAAAGGTAATGAACATATACAAAATATATATTAAATATAAACAAAGATATATTTAAAATACACATTTTAACAAACCGAAATGCTTCCCAAACTTTTGGCTTTATTGCGTTCGTCTTTTCATCAAAGACGGCTTCTAAATCTTTACTTGAAAATAATTGATTCGAATGCGTTGTAACATAAATTTCATTAAATATACCAAAAATAAACAGAGAAAATATATTTCAGAAAATAGAACTGAAACCCCTCGCTCAGAAAGGAAAACTTCAGGTAATTAACATATACAAAAGATTCAGTCATATTTTAACAAACTGAAATGCTTAAAAAACTTTTTGCTTCTTGAAACATACTTTTGGTTAAATCACTTGAAAATATTCAGTAAACATATATATTTCAGACACCACAATTGAAACCACTCGCTCAGAAAGGAAAAATTGAGGTAATTAACATATACTTCATAGTATTTGTCTTTTCATCAAAGGCCTCTTTTACTTAATCACTCCTTAATTAAACATATTCTGATTCTAATGCAATCAAATAAAAAATGAAACATATATTTCAGACACCGGAATTGAAACCCCTCTCAAAGAAACCAGAACTCCAGGTAAATGACGAATATAAAAGTTTGATGCACCTATTAACCAACCAAAAGCCAAGGCTAACCTTTTATTTTTATTTTGTCATTTGATTACATGTCTTGAAAATAAATAATGAAAATATGCATATTTAAAAGACCAGAATTGAAACTATGTCTTTAAGAAAGGAGAACTTCAGGTAAATGTGTACAAAAGGTTGATGCATTAACCAAAAATACATTCTTCCTCAGCATTTCATTATGTGTTTGTCTTTTAATCATCAAGCCGCACCCATTATGCAAAACTAACTCGAATATAAATGATTCTAACGCAATATCTCACGTTAATAAGGAAGAATTGCAGGTAAATAATGTAAACAATTGACGCATATTTTAAACAACAAAAAATTCAAAGCTTTTTCTACGTTGTATTTGTATTGCTATGTTGTATTTGTATTTTTTTTCAATAAGTATTGTCATGTACTCCTTACATGTACACTTATGTTTCTAATAAATTTATTTATATAAATGATACGTGTTTGGTTAAATATCTTGAAAATAGGCCGTGGCCTAAAATATTTTGGACAGCAGAATTTAAATCTTTAAGTAATAAAGAAGAACCTAGGGGATATTTTCAATACAGGTTTGTAAGTTTGATGTCTGATCATCTTGGCCGTCTAGCTGTCCATCCACCATCGACACACCAGATCAGTGGTAATAAAATTAGCTGAAATTAATAGTTATGTAAATGTTTAAAAAAGGGTGAAATTCGTTGGCGAAAGGAAGATTAACATTTATCGTCATGCGATTGTATTTATTAGCGAGATAGTGTGTAGGCGAGTCAGTGAGGGAATTTCAAATAGTTATTTGTATGAATGCATTTAAGAATGAGTGTGCCTAGGCTAAAAAAAGTAGCAGAAAGACCAAGGTCTGACCACAGACTTCCTACACTGAAGTAGGTGATTATCACTAATAATAATCTATATATTTCATGTTTTAATGCTTTTTTATAATTTCAACAGTGGGTCTCTGGTAATAATCTATATTAATAACAAAAATATATTTTAAAAAGTTCTTCAATAATATTACTTTGTTATTTTTGATAATGTATTTATGTATTAAACAAAAATTTGTTTACAGTATGTAACAATGGTTTCTCATCCGGATACCTATTTCAGAGCATGTTTTCTACTGAAAATAATTTTGTCCTCTAATTTTTGTCTTTTTTTTGTTAATTACAGACGACAACAAAGGTGCCTTCGATCAAAGCTCCTGAGGCGCCGAAAATTGAAGTGATTCGTGAAAAGACTCCGACTCCGGACAGTCGAAAGGGCTCGTTGATTCCTGGATCTGGGCAGTCCAGTCGCAGAGGGTCGCTCATCCCGCCAGACGATGGAAAAGGCCGCCGACCAAGTCTCATAATAAGTGATGAGGTTCATATTATTCATTCAGTTTCTTTCTTATTTAAATATATTTTCTTTATTAGTCATTAACAACAATGTATTATAATAGTATTTACTTTGTATATCTTTAAATATTTATTAACATTTTAGCAAGAGTATTCATTTTATCAGTAATTTTAAGATATATCTAAAAAAAAGAACAAGAATTCCCATTTCATACACACATAAAAATAAGTAAATGAATACATTTTAATAGCTCTTCTTTGAGTAATTACAATAAATTCACTTATTGATTTGGATGATTTATCATAATAGAATTATGGCAAATATAACTTTTAAATATTTTATGTTTTCACTTTTCATATAATAGGTGTTTGTGTGCGAGAAAGTGAGAAAAAGAGAGAGAGAAAGTGTGTGTATGTGTGTAATATGTATCTTTGGAGAATTTTTTTCCATAGATTTTTCGCTGTTTAAGGTGTTGAACATTCATTGAACATTCCATAATATCCCTTAATAAATCAACTTTGCCTGACTTGTGTATTTTAGGAAAATAGAAAGTTACGCCCTGGTGAAGTGGTAGACGAGAAAAAGGTGAGACCGAGGGGCAAAGTTTGCAAAACCTTAATTGCTAGTTACTAAATCAACTACAAGAATTTTTCTCTATCTTCTGTAACGTCCAACAAAGATAATTAAAAAGGTTTTCTAATGGTGATGATTAATTCCAGTTGCACGTTGCTTTTACTTGTTTGAAGCTATATGCAATGATGTCCTTTGTCTGGTCAACGATCCAATGTGTCTCTTGTTCGTCTCGTTCTCACGTACCCCTGTCAAAGCTACACCTTATCCTGACACATCCTAAATGTTTTGGTTTTTAATATGATTTTTTCCACAGGCTGGAAAGCTACGGCCCGGTGAGGTTTGTGATCCGAAGGTGAGAGATGTCATTAGGGATAAAAGCTTAAAATTTGCACTCCTGGTTTATATGAGCGATATTAACTATATGAAATGGTTTTTGCATTGAATTTAGTGTTGCTTAATGCTACCTTGTGAAACATTGAATTGATAATAAACAAGAGAGTATATGAAGGATAGATAGTATATGAATGAAATCATATACAAGCGTTGATCACGATCACACAACCACACAAATGCCACAGCCCTATATTAATAAGTCATTATTTTGTAATTTTATTATTATTTATTATATATAATTCTTAGTACCAATCTTTTAAATGTAACAGAAAAGGGGTATACGTCCAGGAGAGAAGGCACCAGATCAAAAGCAAAGACAGGTTAGAGTTATAAACCAACTGTGTCCTTTATATGAAATAGTTATAGTCAATGTTTATGCCTGTTAGTAGTCAATGTTCATTTATGTTTCTAATTTAAGTTAGTCATCGCAAAAAATGTTATTTTTTTTGCTTGCAAACTTTTTATATTTAGATATAGACGTGTATGTGTCAGGAGACATTTATGTGTGAAGTTTATTGAATTTTGTTTCATAAGTGTAACTAATAAATGTTAGAATAGAAAGAAATGATTAAATGTTAATTGACAACGCAAAAGAAAAGACAACAATTTTATATTCAATTCAAATATTCGACACTTGACATTGTTCTGTGCCAAACAAAAATTAATTAAAAATTGGTGCCTTATGGTTTTAAATTATATATTTTGTAAATCACACTAAACAAAGTTAAATTACATGTTTTACCTAATATAAAACAAAATATAATAAACAATGTAATATACAGGTAATGCTAAGCTGAAAACGTTATGAAAAAGAGGTGATTTTTTACTCAACCATCCAATTAGAAAGATTTACATACAGTGAACTTCTTTAACTACAGATTGAAGTATAAAAACAGGGCGAATAGAATTTTATAAGTAAAAAATTTTGGTAGTCTGGCATCCAGGGATCCTTTGCAAACTTAATCGCTTCCTGCCCAGCCATTACCTTATCATGCAATCTTAACTGACCTTAAGAGTGCGGCAACTAGTCAGAAAGACCAATATAGCATTCTACAAGGTCTTGGTCCCATCCTTTATACTGTTTCTACTTCTGACTTTCTGTGTATCTCAGATACTGCAATTTTTATCTTCTAACCTGAAATCCAAGAACACGTTGTGTTTATCAAATTGCCAAAAGTGGTTTACATTGAAAAATAAGCCTTTAAGTAGAGGGCTTCCGATTTACGTTCAAGTCACATACTTAGAACCTAGACAGCAGATGTAAAATCCCAACACAAGACTTAAGATACAACTTATACTGAATATTTGCGCAACTAAAGACTTTTCGGACGGAAAACTCGACTTTATGCAAGACATTACCAAGACTACTTTGGACCTAGATTAGACATACAAAATGGAACTGTTGGGTACAACCAGGTCAAATATCCAGCATTTGAATCAAAAGTCATAGAAGAATCCTTTGAACCCTTTACCAACATCTCTGACCTCTCAGTGAGGTTAATTAAGGCTCTCACTCTAATATATCCTTCTTCAAAGAATGATCCTGCATTCAAAATTCCACACCGACCTCATGATAAAATAGATAATAACAAGAAACTACAGGCTTCCATTCAAAACACATACTTAGGACCTAGACATGGAATCCTGACACAAGACTTAAGAGACAGCAGAATATTTGGACTATTAGAAGACCATACCAAAAACTCAACCAACATTGTACAACACATTCCCATAACTCTTTCGAACAGATACAGTGGAACTGTGGGTTACCACCAGGTCTGATATCCACCATTTGAATCATGGTCCTCAGAAGTGTTCTCATGTGGGATATCCACCGGTCCTCAGAAGAATTCTCCAAACTCCTTACCTATATTTCTAACCTTGCACTCTAACATACCTCTCTTCAAAAAATGATCCTATGTTCAAAGTTTCACACCGACCTCACAATAAAATAGATAATTACAAGGAGCTACTGGCTTCCACTCAAGTCAGATACTTAAGATCTAGCATACTAGCAAACTAACGTGGAATCTCCAATGTCTACAAAAGGCTTAACAGAAGACTTGGACAACTATGATTTAGGACTGAAATCTGTTTTCAAAACCCATCTAACTCTGTACAAGACATTACCACGACCACTTTGGTCATACGGAACTGTGGGATTCAGCCTAGCCATCCAAGATCCATTGTATCCTTCCAATCAAAATTATAAGTAGATAAATTGTGAAAGATTTTTACGTCACTAATCTCATAATGATCTTAACATTACTTTTGTCAAAGAACGGATCCTGCTTCCAAAAGTTGCACATTTTTTGATCCTTACCCTATTGCCCTATTTACACTTTCTTTTCTAGAGAACCACCCCTTAACCGATCATATTGAGTACTTGGCTAGTTTCTTTTGACCTGTGTCTGACTGTCGGTGTACTATGTATTTTTATATGTACAGGCTAAAAAATGAATTATTCCTCGTGCCAATCAATCTCAGTGCTTTTTAGTAAGTCATTAAGCCTAGAATTTTTATGGAGAGGGTGAAATGTTCATTAAAAAACGTAAAATTCAATAATGTAGGTAATTCAACTTGAAAGGTAACATTTTTTGTTCACATCCTAGATAATACTGTTACATTTAATAATACAAATATATAAAAAAAATTACTTATGTTTAAGGAAAGATATTTGTATGAGCTTTGATATTATAAAAGTAGTAGGATCAATTTATCATTTGTATATAATTTTATCTCATTTTTTCATTCTATTTTGTATATCATATACTTTATAATTATTACCTGTAATATTTTATTTATTAACCTCGTACAGGTTTATTATTTACCTAACCTAAAAGTTTTCATATAGATATTAAAAAAAAAAACTGTACAAATATTTAGTAAACTGACACCCAGTAACTTTTCTGATATATTATTCTAATTAATTATTGTGACAACTCAGAATTATTTCAGTGCTTTTAGATACTATTTTACAGTATTGTAAGACGTTGAAATGTTCATGCTCATTTTATTCTTTAAAAAAATACCAGGGATGTAAAAATATTTCATTGGTCTGTATATTATTATTTTATATTTTAAACAATATATTCAAATTGGTGGCATGTTTTCTCCGAAGGTGAATTCCAGCCAAGGAGTTGAACCAAATGGTAACCAATACATTCATTCATTAATCACCACATATAATTTAATTATGTAATCCACAAACAAATATATACCTATATAAATCCGCTTCAACAGTACTTTTTGTTAACTATGTGTATTATTCTTTGTATACGTTTTGTCTTTGTCCTTTGTGTAATTGTCTAATTCGCTTTAAGTAAGTGGCAGCTGTGTGAACATTATAATAAGTAAAAAATTGAGGTTTTTTGTGTGTGGTTTTTGCCTAACAAATTGTGTAATAACAAAATTTGTCTTAAATGATAGTGTATGTCTTTCTATATTTTAACCTTTCTTCTTTTTGTAAATGTCTTTTTTAACTTAAGTTAAGTTAACATAATTGTAGAAGTTATAGTATGTTTCGATTAATTCTAATTTTATGCATCTTTTCAAAAAGGTAAGCTCTGCATAAATAATGTTGTTGTCTTGATCTTAATCTGCTATAAATGATGTTTTTATGTCAAACTNTATATATGCTTGTAAAAGTATTGCAAATCTTTTGTAATTGTTTCCCTTGATCAAGCTTGTTAAATCTTATAGCGTCGGAGACCAAGCACAGACATGCGAAGACCGAGTGTTGCCGATCTTGAAGATCTTATCAACAAACCATCGACTCCACTTAAAGAAATTGGACCACCAGGACCCCCTGCAATTGTTGACGTCCAAGAGAGTTATTCTGCAGTTGAAGGTACTTTCAGTTTACATTACTCGAACCACTAAAACACCAAACGATTGTCCAATAAAGCATTCACGACATAGACAACATAAAACTATCATTGAGACAAAAAGATATGAACTATACACAATAGAGAAAAAGCGCAAGAGCTTAACAGTGCACTCATCTGACAAAAACTCATACAACTGACTTACGTACTAAAAAAGAAGCTATAGACTTTGAGATGATTAGAGGACTAAACACATCTACTGACTAGGTAGGACAAACTGTTTGGTCAGCAATATATATAATCTTATCGTAACAATCTGGTCCTTCTCGTCTTTGCCAAGATGATGGCTCTTAGGTTACATCAGATTAAGAAAAATCTTACTTATTAGCCTTCTATCTCTCCAGCGATTTCACATCTCTTAAATGATCCACTTTAGAACCATTCATAAAGTCTCTACCACTCTCCCATTCGCCCAAACCATTCACACCTAATGAACTGCCTCATATCATAAACCATTACCAATGCTCCTGGTTTTGACCTAATCACAGCAAAAATCGTTTGACACCTAGCTAAAAAAGTCTTGAGCAAAAGGAGTTATGCTTTGGAAGCTTAAAAGAGCCAATTTTTCTTACTACCTGATCTTAAAATCCTACTTAACAGAACGTGGCGCCTCTCTATCAGCCGACTATAGCACAGATTCAGGGGAACCATAAGGAAGTATCTTAGGACCTGTACTACACACTCAACACAGTGCAGACCATACTTTTTCTGAAACTATTCATACCGCTATCCTTTGCTCACGTATACTGTCATCTCTACCAACCCGTGTCATCCTTGATTAGTGATCCAGGCAATGAAAAATGAAAAAAAAATGTGAACATGTCAACCATTCACACACACAATGAAGTATCTCATGTCTTAAGCCATCTACTACTACAAAAAGCTAGTGAAGCATTTAAAATGTATACTTTAGAAAGGACCTCCCATCCCAAAGGAAATTTCCCCTCATCGGATGATTCCAAAACTTAAAATCCTCATAACCTTCCGTTATCGTACTGTCCAATTAGTGTATTGCCTATAACTTCAACTTCATTCCTGCAACCTTATACCTGAACAACAGTCTGAGGTCTCATTCCATGATTCAGCAGTGCCTACGATTTCCCATGGAGCTGGAAGTGTAAGTTAAACCTGTTACCTGTTTCTAAAATCCAACTTAACCAATAAAAACTTTCAAGTTTGCCAGCCGGCTTAGCACAGATGCAGGGCTACCACAGGGAAGTATCTCAAGACTTATTCTTTACACATCGTACACCACAGACATTCCTACTGAAGATGATACCAACATTCACTCTCATCTCAAAAAAAAAAAAAAAAAAAAAAAAAAAAAATACAGTTTTGTATATTTAAACACACACACATATATATTTTTCTAATTCAAAAATCAATTTGCTTTTAGATCAAACTGGCTACCTCACTGTCGGGATTGAAGGAAACCCAGTTCCTACATTTAAATTTTATAAGGTATTTTGGATAATATATTCAGTTTCTTGAAATTTAGACTAATATTAAATTCTGTAACACTATATTTTAGGGTATGACTGAAATTATTGACGGCGGCAGATTTAAGTTTTTGACTGACGGTGAGACCAACACGGTTACTCTTTGCATCAGAAAAATTAAGCCCAATGATGAAGGAAAATACAAAATCGTTATTAGTAATATACATGGGGAAGATTCAGCAGAAATGCAGCTTTATGTATCAGGTTTGTATTTATCAATTTTTACATTACGAATTACAAACCATCATGTAAATAATTGAATTTCAGACTCAAGTGGTATGGACTTCAGAGCGATGCTTAAAAAGAGGAAATACGCTAAATGGGGAAAAGACAAAGAAGATCCAGACTGGGGTGATCTGAAAGAAACTGAGAAACCAGTCCCTGCTCTTAAAAAAGTTGAAAAGGTAAAGTTCATGTTTTTAAACAAATATTTTGATCTATTATTTATATTGTAATGATGTAAATTTTCTTTTTCAGAAACCAGAGTCATTTTTGAAACCTCTGGTAGATCAGTATGCGAAAGAAGGAAAGGACAAAAAAGTTACTTTTGAATGCGTATTTTCCAAACCAAACTGCAAACCCAAGTGGTTTTTGCGAAAAGATGTAAGTATGAATTCAAACTGTTTGATATTTTATTAGTTAATCAAGAATTGTCAAACAACTGTAAATTACTTTTTGCAGGAACTTTTCCCTGGTTCTAAGTACAAGATGAAAAACGAAGGTGACACGTACCAGCTTATAATTTCAAATCCTAAAGTAGAAGACGCTGGAAAGTATACCATTGAAATCGCTGGTGTCTCATGCGTAGCGTATCTTACAGTTGATGGTATGGAAATAAAAAATTTTGAGTTTGAAATACCATTCAAGTAATTTTAAGAATTATTTAATCAAGAAATATGAATACATGATATATTTGAGTTGGGGATAATAGAAATAAAACTATGCTCAAAGGTTAAATTTATAGAAAATTTAAGAAATGAAACAATTAGACACAAACAATAAATTTAGTTCTACTAATTAATGTTATCCCGATTAAATTTAAAATTAGTTTAAATTTCTAACCTCCATTCAATAGAAAAGTTCTGGATGCATATAATAATCAAATAATTTTAATTATTTGGTTATTTTACTTATTATTTTTTTCAATGATGGTATAAGGTCTTTTTTTTTAATTAAGCAAATTCAGAAGTTTCAGGGTTTTTTAAAAATTTTGTGTGATGTTTGTGCCATATTCATGATTTTGAGGTTAAAAAAGACAACCCTGGACTGAAGAAGTTGGCTTTAGAAGGGAAAAGGTTGTACCAGTTTGAACATTGGATCACACTGGGCACCGCCTAACAGGGATGAGACCACACGAGTACTCTGGGGCAGTGTGGATGTTATTTATTAGCATGAATGAAGCTTCTTCCCCAATCACCTGCGAAATATCGAGTTCTCTGGAGCAGTGTGAATTTAATTTATTAGTATGAATGAAACTCTTTCCCTACCTCCTTGAGGAATACCGATTACACTGGGAAAGTGTGACTGAAATTTGTTAGTGTGAATTAAGTGACCTTTTTTCCTAATCACCTCAAATAGTATCGAGTATTCTGGGGCATTGTCAATGTAAATTATTTGTGTGAATGCAGGTGCTTCTTCCTCAATTACCCTGAGATATATCGAGCACTCTGAGGCCGTGTAAATGGAAATCCAACTTATTTTGTTTATTATACGTATATTTTGGCGAGAAGCTGGCAATTAATTGGTTGCAATGCTAGAAAAATAAATTAGAAGGAATAAAATGTAAGAAGGAAAAGAAAAGAATGGTAAGAAGCATTGGCGTTGACCAATCTAGTTGCCGGCCTTAAAACTATCCATAACTTATATAATCACCAACTTTGCAAGATGTTGAATTTTAAAAAAATTTAAAACATAATAAGCGAAATTCCTTTTTGTGTGCAGTAAAAAAATATAATTTCAAACTCTACACACTTTCATAAATTATCCTGAAAAAGAAATACGTTCAATAGAAAATGAGATATTAAGTCATTTTTATTTAATTTTCAGAACCTCCTCCAGCGTATTCTTTTATAAGGCCCTTATTGAAAAAGTACGACGGATATACACGACACGAGACTACTATGGAATGTACTGTCAACAATAGCATGGCCGTGGTGTCATGGTTTAGAGACAACACAAAACTATCGGTAAGTTGCAGTGCAAGTAATTTTTCTCACTTTGTAATCTTATTTTCTAGTTGGCTCATGTTTTTCCTCTTTGTCATAAATTTTAGGATGGAGATAAATATGCAATTTCGAAAGATATGCAGGGTGTGTGCCGATTAACGATTAAATGCTGTGAAATGTCAGACAACGGAGAATACACCTGTAAAATTGACAAACAAGATGAAAAAACAACAACAACTGCAGTAATCACCGGTATTAATACTTTTTTTTTTCCAGGGACTATTGTTTATTACCAGGTCTGTAATACAACAATCAATTTTATTTTCAGAATATCCTTACATGTTCACGAAAGTGCTCAAATACCAGCAATGCACAGAAAAAGACACGATTACACTTTTGTGCGAAATTGATGATGAACTTGGTGACGTAACCTGGACGAAAAATGGACAAGAGGTCAAACCAGATAAAAGGTATTCAATCTTAAGTTTTGTCAGCTCTTAAGGTACAAATTTATAATACAATTATCTGAATTAGAATACAAATAAGTAAAGACGGACGAAAGAGGAAGCTTGTAATTAAAGATGCTAAAGTTACCGATGCAGGAATGTTCGCTTGCTCTACCAATGCCGATAAGACTGAAGCAGAAATCACAGTACAATGTAAATATTTCAGTTATTACATTTTATTGTCCATCGTTTGAAGTTTCAAAATATTCATAATTTATTCGTTAATTCCAGATCAAAACAGATTTAATAAGAAACTTAAAGATACCGTTGGAATCGAAAGAGAGAAGTTAGTTTTTGACATTGAACTTCAAGACCAAACTGCTCCTGCCGAATGGTATTATAATGGCAAACTACTCGAACCTTCAGACAGGTAATTTTAAACAATAGATAAATTTTCTTTGAAAAGAAAAACCTTAAATAATATTTTAATAATTACTTATTATTTACAGAATTGAAATCAAAAATCTCGGAGGTGGCAAACATCAGCTCGTTTTTAAAGCGTTAGAAATGACAGACAAAGGTGAAATCATGTGCAAATCCGGAGAATTGAATTCATCTTGTAAACTCGATGTCAAAAAAGGAGAAGGAAAACCATGCATTGACTTTGGAGATACTGTCGAATCTCCAGCGAATAAACCGATCGTATTTTACGTCCCTTACCTCGGTAAGTAACATACTTGCAATTATCCCTATTATAATTTAACTAATATAACTTGTCCGTTAGTTGATGGCACCCGACAGACACCGGTAGAAGCTAAATTATTAAAGGATGGAAAAGCTCTTCCGGTTAAAGAACTTGAAGTGGCAATTACAGAAGAAAGAGTCACATTCACAATAAGAAAACCATTAAGATCTTTATCTGGAAAATATCAAATAAAATTATCAAACGGTCAAGGTGAAGATACCAAAGACATTCATATTAACATGCAAGGTAATGTAATTTAAATCGATTACTTTGTTATTATTATTTTATTATTATTATTATTATTTTATGGGTGTATTGTGGAACCCTATGATTAAGATTATACTGTGTACTTTTTCAACAAAATTAATCATTTTCCTCACTCGCACTTCTCTTTGTGTCAGAATCGTCTTACCGAAGTGGCAAGTATACAGACTAGTGCCTCTCATTCTGCTGCGCTAAGAAAGAAAGACGTTCCTTCGTCATTCTTTTAGAGATATTTATGAATATATATCTCCACTGGAGCTTTGGTCCAGTGCTTCAGGTTTTCTTTCTCAAGCCATTTTTAAACTCTTGGTCTAGAACCATCTCCAGTGCGCCTAGTTGTGCTTCTTCTTTGCCTAGTTGGTCCTGTTTGTTTCCTTCTTTATGTCCCGAACCTCAAGGTAACCTTGTCTTTCCCTAGGTCCGTTAGGCAGTTTAGGCACTCCCAGACTAATCTGGAGCTAAAATCATAGATATTTATAGTTGCCTGACTGTCCAAAACTATGAGAATCTGTACATCTTTCATTGTAGTGAGTAATTTGGCCTTCTTACCCCCTACATTTACTCCGTTCCGTTTTTGATCCATCAGTAAACCATGTTGAAGCCCTTTCCTGAAACTTGTGGTTTGTTTTGTTTCAAAGATCCATAGACACTTGGGAAAGTATGTCAAAATAGTTCCTTTCCTCTCATTTTGTCATGCACCTTAATAGCCAACTCATTTATTTTAAAGCTCTGCAGAATTTTTTTCTACTTCTCCTGGTTTTTATTTCTTTGTATCTTATGAGTCTCAAAAGTCATATTTTGTACATGAATCTGCCAGGGTGGGAGAGAGAATGTTGTTTCCATTACTGTTATGTCAAAACGCCTTAGTCTTTGTAGACTTTTTAATTAATTTTTTTTTTTGTGTTTTCTTATGCAGTTTGTTGGTCATCATATGTGAGCAGGGGTACATCATCTTTGTGTTTATAATATTACTCCTTTTCCTACTTTGTTATGCTATTTTATTAAAGAACACAATTTTTATTTAATAAACTTAAATATTAACCATGAAGGTTTTCTTTTCAGATGTGCCTAATCCTCCGAGGGATGTCGATGTCACAGACATATTCCAAGACAAATGCAAAATATCGTGGAACAAACCAGTTGATGACGGTGGAGCACCTTTAATGAAATACGTCATTGAAAGGCAGGATTTAAGCGTTAAAGGTAAATAAGTGTTAAACCATGAACAAATTTAGACTAGTGCATTGAAAATTACTTTTGTTCATAGGCGGTTGGCATCCCATCGCTGATGTAAAACCGGAAGAAGGGACAGTTTATAACTGCACCGACTTGGTGGTGAAGAAAGAGTACAAATTTAGAGTTCAAGCGGTGAATAAAATTGGCGGGTCTGAGCCCTGTTTATGTGGAAAAACAGTACTGGCTAAAGATCCTTGGGGTAAATATAATTTGATATATATTGTCTTCTTAAAAATAAAAAAAAAAAAATTCTAACCAAAAGAATAGAATCTTTACAAATAATTTGAACCAAGGTAATCCATGTTTAACTGATTTTTGCTAGATGAACCAAGCAAACCAAGAGATGTTGAAGTCGTTGACTGGGATAAAGATCATGCAGATCTTAAATGGAATAAGCCCGAAAATGATGGCGGTGCGCCGATTACTGGATATGTAATTGAATACAAAGTAAGCAATTCTCGCAAAATCACTAACATTATTTAATTCAAGAGAGGAAAAATTCCACTCAAAAATTATTTTGACATAATTTTTACACATTTTAAAAAACACTTTTAAAAAATTGTCATTTATTTCATAGGAAAAGTTTGGCAAAGATTGGGTAGAAGGGAAAGTCGTTCATGGAGATCTAACGAAAGCAACTATCGATGGATTGAAAGAAGGGACTCAATATGAATTCAGAATCAGGGCAGTTAATAAAGCTGGCCCTGGTGAGCCGAGCGATGCAACAAAACCAATTATTGCCAAATGCAGATTTGGTAATTATCATTTTAACCATACCGTATGACAGTATTCAGTTTTAGAATGACACTTATTTTATGTATGTTTTAGTTAAACCATTCATTGTCGGTGAAGGGTTAGTTAACCAAGTAGTGAAGAAAACTCAAGTCATCAAATATGATATTAAATATGGTGGTGAACCCCCTCCAGAAGTTTCATGGCAGTTGAATGGAAAGGAAATTCCAATTGACAATGACAGGTTAGATTTTTTAAAGATTTCTCTGACAAGAAGACTGACTAAAGAACTAAATGAATACGGTACTGGAACAACTTGACATCCCACTTTGTCACAACCACCAAAATCCGTAAAAACATCCTCTTACCACATTGTTATCTTGGAACCATGGTTTCATAATTGGAAAATAAAAATCAATGAAAACGAGTCCCAATATGAGCTCTTTATACTCAAAACACAAAATACTACCTCCAGTTTATCTCATAATAAAATCCTACCTGTTGGGCAGCTTCTTCCATGTTACCTAATGATCCTCAACCTCTCTCATCCGTTTAATATTCTCTACTATTCCACAAGGGTGCATCTTAGGTCCATTACTTTTCACTGTATACATGACATACTTCCCTCAACATTCTAACACACTCAGCCCTAGTTTTGCTCTCGATTCAGCAATCCTCTCTGCAAACCTTGATCCCTCCAAGACCACCTTCTAATCCCAATATGTGTCTTTTACCTTCAAACACCAAATACTAACTGAATCAAATCTCACTTCCTGCTGCAAATCTGCAGAAGCAAATGCTTGGAACACATATGCAACTTAAAATGGCAAAATTGAGCTACAGTCACAAGACAGCTAACAAACTGATAGGCATACTAATCAACCTCTGTTCTTTGTTAGTAACCATCTCCACACCTCTGATTTGTGTTACTAACCTAGCCAAATCCTGATACCTGAAATTCCACTGTAAATGATCTTTTCATTCCCCCCTCATCTTTGTCATTTTCAATCTTACCTTCTCTACCAATCCCCCATTATGATCAACTTCAACATTAAGGTATTGGGTTTATGTCATGCAGTTGAAGACGCTGCCTGTTAACCCCTTACATATCAAATGATTGGCTCACATCCTTACCACACCACACATAGTTTTTAAAATTAAAAGTACACATATAAATTAAAGTTTGTTTTCAGAATTACGCTTGATGCTTATGAATGCAATACAGTCATCACTATACGAAGAGTCGTCAGAGCTGATAGCGGCAAATACAAACTGTTATTGACAAATAGTTCAGGAACTTGTGAAAGTATTGCTGACGTTGTTGTTCTAGGTAGGTTTAATTATAATACTGTATAGTTGTAATGCGTCAGTGATTTAACTCGGTATCTGATTACAGACAAACCATCTCGACCATATAATCTCGAGCCAGTTGAAGTGAGAGCCAATCACATTAAAGTAACGTGGAACAAACCCAAAGACAATGGAGGCTCGGAAATAACAGGCTATGTCATTGAAAAAATGGACATGGACACAGGAAGATGGGTCCCAGCTGGAGAAGTAATTAACTTCTATTATTGATCATTTTTCATGTACATATGTAAATACCATTGCCGTTGATTTGCAGGCTGGACCTGAAAGCCCAGGCAACTTTAAAGTGACCGGTCTCACTCCAAAAAAGAAATATAAAATCAGAGTTAAGGCTGTCAATAAAGAAGGAGAATCTGAGCCATTAGAAACAACAGATTTTATCCTGGCTAAAAATCCTTATGGTATAATTTTACATATTAAAAAAATTAAATTATTATACTTATAAAATATAATCGTATTATAAATCAAATCTGTAATTTAGATGAACCCGGAAAACCAGGGAAGCCTGAGATTATTGATTACGACAATAAAAGTGTATGCCTTAAATGGGAGAAGCCTGCTAGCGATGGAGGCCGTCCGGTATTGTTTTACACAATCGAAATGAAAGACAAATTTTCTGTCGAATGGACAGAAGTTGCCAAGACTGAGAATGATTCCTGTGACGCTAAAGTTGAAGGCCTTAAGGAAAACATGGTCTATCAATTCCGTGTAAAAGCTCACAACAAAGCTGGAGCTAGTGAACCTAGCGAACCAACCGACAATCATTTGTGCAAACACAGAAATTGTAAGTAACACACTTAAACTATTGTTAAACCTTTATTCTGTATCTCAAAATGTTTGAAAAAATTGTATATTAATCCTAAAATTTTAATATTTCAGTGCGTCCACGAATTGATAGAGAGGGTATGAAGAGTGTAATTATCAAAGCTGGCCGGACATACAAATGGACCGTCGACGTTATTGGAGAGCCTCCACCAACTTTGTCTTGGTCCTGGAGGGAAAATATTCCCTTGGTCAATACAGAGAGGATAAAAATAGAAAACATCGACTATCAAACTACATTTTCAATTGTCAACGCAGTAAGGAAAGACACAGGCAAATACACATTGCTCGCGGAAAACAAAAATGGCAAAGATGAAGCCAGTCTTGAGCTTACTGTCCTCGGTAAGTAAATAAAACATTTAAAAAATTTTAAACGTGGAAAATATTTCTTATTAATTTTATTAACAGGCAAACCAAGTCGACCAGAAGGACCTCTCGAGGTGTCCAATGTTACTAAAACAGGTTGCAAGTTGAACTGGAAGAAGCCACAAGACGATGGTGGAAGTCCAATCAAAGAATATGAAGTTGAAAAATACGATATGGAAACTGGAAAATGGATGCGAGTCGGAAAAGTATCCGGAGACAAGGACGAACCAGAAATGATTGTCACCGGTTTAGACCCTGGAAAGGAATACAAATTCAGAGTTACAGCGATCAACGATGAGGGTGACTCAGAACCACTTGTCACCGAAAAAGCAATAATCGCCAAAAATCCCTTTGGTAAAAATTAAACTAATATTGAATCGAATTTTTTTAACATAATTTTTTTTTCTAAAATAGATGAGCCTACTAAGCCAGGAACTCCTGAAATTACTGATTATGATAACGAAAGTGTAGATCTTAAATGGACGGCACCTAAGAGCGATGGAGGTGCACCAGTTGAAAAATACATTATTGAGAAAAAAGACAGGTACGGGTGTAAATAAATTATTTTATTTTTACATTGAAAGCAGCATCATTAGTTTAGTTTCTTTAAATTTTCACCATAGTTTGTTGGTTTAAAAAGTTTTATAAGCAGTCAATTTATAATGGCGTATTTCAGGTTCAAGCCCGACTGGGAGCCTGCGGGTGAATTTCCTGGTGATGTGACTTCTGGAAAAGTTAAAGACCTTAAGGAAGGAGCAGAATTTCAATTCAGGGTAATAGCTGTTAATAAAGCTGGACCTTCTGAGCCGTCGGACTCAACCAATATGCACAAAGTTAAACATAAAGCATGTACGTGATTTTAAATTACAGTTCATGAACCTAGCATATTTATATTTGTATTTTTTTTTTTTCTTAGTGAAACCAAGAATCGATAGAACCAATCTTAAAAATATAATACTTAGAGCTGGAAAATCAGTCAAATATGATGTCAACATCCGAGGTGAACCACCACCAACTGTTACTTGGTTATTCAAACAGAAAGAGGTAAATATTTATACTTTTTATATATNAAGAAAAAAAGATCCTTTTTAACCTACAGTCTAATAACCTTAAAAATTCTTCTTCTGCTAACCTTCCGCTATCGAAGGTGAAAGTGAGCCGTTAGGTACAGAAAGTTCCACACTGGCTAAAAATGCATATGATAATCCACAAAATTTATCATGCAGTAGATGTCATCACAACATCCCTTGAACATAAGCAGTTTTACTCTCTCTTTTTATGCATCTCCCGGGCAGTTGGTCTCATATGGCACCAGAGTTTACTGCTGAAACTCTACCTCATTTTGAAATCCTACCTATTTGGCGGCTTCTTCCATCTTATCTACTTATCCTCAACCTCTCTGTTGTCCGTCAAGCATTCCTAGGTTACTTTTAACCATATACACAATCGACTACTCTCAACACTTTAACACACTTACCCTAACTGCTGTCGATTCAACTCTCTGCAAACCTTGGTACCTCCAAGACTACCTCCTTACCTTAGCACTATGGTTCTGTAAATGGATAATAAAAATAAATGAAAACAAACCCTTTATCTATTTGGTGGTTTCTTCCACGTTACCTACTGATTCTCAAACTCCAATTCATTCTATCCTCTCAGGTGTTCCTCAAGGAATCCTAGGTCCATTACTTTTCATCGTATACTTGGCAGATTGCCCTCAACACTCCAACCTGCTCACCATTACTATTGCTGATAATATAGCAGCATTCTCTGCAAACTTCAATCCTAGTAGTTTGAACTTTCCAAGTCCATTTCTGTACTAGAACCATGGTTCTGCAAATGGAAGAGTAGAAACAGATTAAAACAAATCCCAATGTGCGTACTTTACCCTCAAATGCAAAATACTTCCTCCAGTTTATCCAAATAATATTAGTGGATGTATATTTTTTACTCATTTGATAATATTAAGTATTATATTTGCATTATAAGTTATGTCAGTAAAGAAAGACTTATTTATAGGTTGAAAGCACGGGAAATGTTGAAATTGTAAATGTTCCTTATAACACTAAGTTTTCTATAAATGACATCGCTAGAAGCCAAAATGGAGTTTACGTCGTCAAAGCTGTAAATGCTTCTGGCTCAGATGAAGCTGAAGTAGAAATTACTGTTTTGTGTAAGTTGCAACTATTCATTATTTATTTTTATAGTACTTTCAAATGTTAGAAAATGGTTTTAAATATAAATTATATTTAGCTGCTCCTGGAAAACCGAAAGGACCTCTACAAGTCAAAGATGTCACTGCGAGTGGTTGCAAACTGAAATGGCAGAAACCAGATGACGACGGCGGTAAACCAATTACAGCATATCAAATTGAAAAACTTGACACATCGACTGGGAGATGGGTACCGATCGGACGTACATCAGACACAGAAATGGACGTCAAAGGGCTCCAAGAAGGGCACAGTTATCAATTTAGAGTCAAAGCAATCAATGACGAAGGTGAAAGTGAGCCTTTAGATACAGAAAGTTCTACACTGGCTAAAAATCCATATGGTAAGTTCTTTACACTTATAAAGTATTCAAAATTATTTTTATACAAAATTTTTACAGATATACCGTCCAAGCCTGGTGCACCAGAACCAGTTGATTGGGACGTTGATAGAGTTCAGCTTAAATGGAATCCACCAAAATCAACCGGTGGTGCTCCTATCACAGGATATGTAGTTGAACAACGAGACAAGAGCTCAGGAACCTGGGAGGAGGTCCTTACCACAGATGTAAGTCTCCTTTAATTATTTATTATACATTTATCGATAATGATCTTTGTTTTGATCATTTTTGTCAATAGGGACCTGCCTGTGAGGGATTAGTTACTGGTCTTAGGGAAGGAAACACATACCAATTTAGAGTTCGCGCAGTGAATAAAGCTGGACCATCAGATCCCAGTGACGCCTGCAAACCACATGTCGCAAAAGCAAGAAATCGTAAGTATCAATATTGTAATTTTTAAAATATCAAATTTTTAATTTTGGGTCAATACCAATTAAATTCTTCAATTTTAATTATTATACCACAAGAGGCTAGAGCAGTGTGGAAACTAGGAAATAACACATTTATTGAGAGAATGACGCATGAAATTACATAAATGCATCTAGCTTGTAAGGGTAAAGCACCAGCAATGATGGTAGCTCTTTGTCAGCCCTTTAATAAGCCAATATCAGTGAAATTTCTCCATATCTGTATTGTAATAGAACTGAAATTCAGTTGTTACCAATCAATCTTGGTCTGCCTATCGATGGGTTGTAAATGTAGACGTAATGTTTGGGGTGTGTAATATACTGCACCCTTTCAGATCCGTTCTGTAGTTATAGTGCACCGGTGAGTCCTAGTTCACCAAGGTACTTGATTAGGCCATGCTTCAGTAGTTGAATTTCTTCTATGGTTATGTTGTACATTCCCAAAAACTTCCTCCTGTGGGCAAATGTGGCACCAGAGTTTGTTAGCAGGTGTGTCAGTATCTTCTCTGCTTCTTTGCAGAATCTACAGGTGCCATGTTCTGTTATACCAATCTTCTTCAGATGACCATTCAGTTTGCAGTGTGCTGTCAAGAATCCTGTCAGGATTCGAAGTTTTTCCTGCTTCCTTTGTTTCTGTTGTTTCTTTCCTTCCAAAACTTGTTAGAATGTTGTTGGATTGTTTGTGTCCATTGTTGAGTTAATTCCACTGCTTCCTAATTTTGCCCTTTTGTGTAAGGTACTCAAGTTAGTGTGATTCCCTATGACACAGAAGGGCTCAGGAACTATCAGTGGAATAGTAGCCCTTTACCTGGGCGTCTGCTCTCTTGTTGCCCTCAACACCCCCATGTCCTGGGGCCCAACAGAGGTTGTATCACTGGGTTAAATCAGACACATTTCAGCATTTCGCCATCTTCAGTCTGTAAAAGCTTTTTAACCACTGATGATAGGCAGAAATGATCTGTAAAGACCAAGCTTTTAAGCATTAATAATCTGCAAACATTTGGCTTCTATTACAGCCTATACTTTTAGGCATTAAAGATCCTAAATTTTTAATGCATTGTATGATCTCTTTTGCCACTCATGCATTGCTTTTTCTGGCACATTATCTGGGACAACTGCATTTTTTTTACATTTGATTAATAATTAATTATCTTGCTGGAGGAAACTGTTCTCTCTTTACGGTATTATTTAGGGATGGAATCATCAGCAGACTGTTAATACTGTTTGGCAAACAGGAATCATTTTTCTTTAATAAATTGTGAATTTTTTACTGGTGGATATTTAAAAAAAAAGAAAAAAAGTTTCATGTAAAAGATTTATCATTTGGGCACCGAACGACTTGGGTATACAATTTGCAAGTCTGAAATTTTTCTATGGTATGCTGTTTTTCCCTGGATGTGAAATTTCTTGTGGACAATATCATTCCTTATTTAAAAGGCAGGTAGTGTTTTCCTTTTCTTTTTTTTCCTTTAAGGCATGTTTTTAGTAAATAAACGTAATCTTGACTTTTTAACACTCAAAAACTCCAGAGGAAAAAATCTATTTATTAAAAAATACAAATGAAATTTTACAACCCAATATATACAATTTGCATCTATGATTGTCATAGCTTAGACTTTCTTCAACAATAAAGCAAAAGCAAAAGCTAAAAGAAATATTTTTTATAAATTCAAAATTGAGCATTGTTCTTGTTTTCTTGTTCATTCTTATGATCTTCAGAAGATTTTAATTGAGAGAGATTTTAAATGAAACTATGTATCATCAAATCTAGAGCCCTCATCATGCTTATCTTTTGTACCATTATTCAATTGATAATTCAAGTTATTAATAATTTATAATTATTTGTCCAGTTAAACCACACATCAATAGAGACAAACTTCAGAAGGTTACTGTTCGCAATGGCCAACTTGTTAAATTGGACGTTGATGTAAAAGGTGAACCTCCACCAACTATCAAATGGGTTTTCAACAACAAAGAACTTGAAAACGACCATCATGTTAAAATTGAAAATGAAGATTACAATACTAAGATCCTCATTAAAGACACAACCCGCAAAAATTCTGGAAAGTATACAATCATCGCTGAAAATTGCAACGGAAGAGATGAGGCAGATGTTGAAATTAACATCTTAGGTAGGCTTGTCATATGTTTTTTCTCTTCATTTTTCAAAATTAATTGGAAAACTATTGTCAAACATTAATTTTTTTTAAAGATAAACCAAGTCCTCCTGAAGGACCTCTAGAAGTGACCGATGTTCATAAAGAGGGTTGCAAAGTGAAATGGAAACCACCAAAAGATAACGGAGGGTTGCCGTTGACTGGTTACATGCTTGAAAAAATGGATGTTTCAACCGGACGTTGGGTCCCTGCTGGATTTGTCGATCCAGACACAACCGAACAAGAAATCACCGGTCTGGAACCGGGCAAGAAATACCACTTCAGAGTTGCAGCTGTCAACGAAGAGGGAGAATCAACTCCACTTGAAACTGACACTTCCGTACTCGCCAAGAATCCCTATGGTAAGCATTGAAATAAAATAATTATTGACTTCCAGCCTTGACTAATCAATTCGTCTTGAAAATTAGATGTGCCATCGGCTCCAGGCCTTCCAGAGATTGTTGACTATGATGAAAACATGGTTGAACTCAAATGGGATGCACCCTTCAGAGATGGAGGAGCTCCGATTACTGGTGAGCTCTATTAAACTTCCACCGCTCGTTTTTTTTTCCTCTTATTTATTACTGATTCTATTTTGTGATTAAAGGATATGTAATTGAATACAAAGGCAAAAATGACCCTAAATTTGTCAAAGCTGTGGAAATCCATGGCAATACAAGAAAAGGAAAAGTTCCGAAATTGGAAGAAGGAAATCAATACCAATTCCGTGTCCGTGCTGTCAATAAGGCTGGTGTAGGTGAGCCGAGTGAAGCAACACTCCCACATACAGCTCGTGCAAGATTTGGTAAGGTTTCTTTTAACTGGCCACTCACTCTGAAAAAATATTTAACATCGACTTATTCAAAACTGAAAAGATTCAATACTTCTATTCTTTTTACATTTTAGTTAAACCGAGAATCGACAGAACAAACCTGGAGAAACTAGTATTCAAAGTTGGACAGATGATTTTAATTGATGTAAATGTTATTGGTGAGCCACCACCAACTATTACTTGGAGTTTCAAAGACAAAGTAAGTACAGTTTTTAGTAAAATAAATATCATAGAATGATTATGATACTGGGCAGCCTTTTGGCTTATTGTTCTTTTCCTAGTTCCTTACATCAGTTCAATTGATGCTCTTATTTTGAGAAATAGGTCAGTTCCTGCCTTCCTAGGTCAATTCTTTTTCCCGGGTCATTTTGGTACCCTAGGTTGTCTTTATTGAGCGGGTGCTTTGTACTCGACGATATGGCTGACAGCTTCTTTCTCTTCATTACATAACCTGCAAATTAAAATAATCCAGGTTTTCTAACCAAGCAACATTGCTGCTGGGGTTCCTCCAAGTTCCTTGGACCCTTACTGTTTTTCCTATATTACAACAAAATACTCTGATGATATGGTTCTAGACTCGTCCTCCTGGAGGACAGATATTATAGTAAACAAGCTAAACAATGCAGTGCCCTGTGGGAAGGGCAACCATTGGAAAACTACAATTAATCATCATAAGATATACACAATAGTTGTGGTATGAGTACAAATATCTTGGGATGATAATGGACCATAAAACAAGGGCAAAGCATAAGCATACTTTCCCTGTACTCTGTTGCCAGTCCAGTCTGTCCCAGGCTAATGAACTTTTGATGTACAAGATAGTGGTCAGGCTCCTGTGAGAATAAAAATTAATCATAATAAAACAGAGGCTTGTGGTTCTAGTCAGTCAAATATCTCAGGATGATAATGGAATAAACACGGTCAAAGGAGTACTTTTCCTCCTGCTCTGTTGCCATTCCCTGTGCTATACAAAGGTGGTGATCAATGCTACATCCTGGAGTTTCATATGCATGACTAACATCACCAGGCAGGTGATGATGATGGGGGTTTGATATTTCCCAAGCACTGCAGCTTATTGTATTTTTCCCAGTTCTCCCAGTTCAATTGACTCAATCCTGCTTTGAAGTAGTTGATGGACTGTTGTTGCTGCAATTTGTTTTCTTGGGGTTTGTTTATTTTTCCATTGATAGGTTCTCATTCGGAGATCGGTGGCGTTTATTGCATAATTTACAAATATGGTGTTCGTGGAATATATACATGTTGTGTAGATGACAGTGACTGGTTTATATCCCTATCACTACTTAGAGTTTTACCCTGACTGTAACAATGCGTTGGCCAGTTTTAGTGGTGGTTTTTTAATCTATTACTTTGTCTGGTTCCTCTGGATTTCATCCATTTCTCATTTTGGGTTTTTTGTAGATCCATTCTGAGATCTGTTTGATTTCGGTTCTGGGCCTGATGGCCTTGCAGGTCTTACTCTGGCCAGTATGTCTGCTTTTTCATTACCCAAAGTTCCCTTATGGTACTCCAGATATCATCAGCTTGTGTTTCCCCAGGTTTTGGAGATTTTGGATGCATTCACCAACTATTTCTAGTAATGGTTTTAGGGCCGCTTGGCTATCTGATCTTATGAAGATCTTTCTACCAGAATTCTATCGCACAAGCATAGATAGCATATATTTTATCTTAAAAAAAAGTGTACTTCTCTAATTTTTGAGTAGTAGTTTTTTTTTTAATATTGAGCTTCAGTCCACCAGAATAATTAACTAATAATTACAAAAACATTACCTGATACATGTCTATATTATGTTTATTTTATTTTATCGAATAGGATCTAGAATCTACTGATAAGCTGAGGATTGACACAATCGATAACAATACTAAATTAACAGCATTGAAAGCACAAAGAAAAATGGGCGGTAAATATACAATAAAGGCGACTAATTCGGTTGGATCAGACGAAGCGGAATTCGATCTAACCATCATGGGCAAACCTGCTAAACCTGGCGGCCCATTGGAAGTGAGCGATGTCACCAAAAATGGTTGCAAATTATCTTGGAAACCACCCGAAGACGATGGAGGATCTCCGGTTGACTACTATGAGATTGAAAAGTTGGATCCGTTGACCGGACAATGGATACCTTGTGGAAAATCTAACGGTACCGAAGCAAACATCACTGGCCTTCAAGAAGGAAAACCTTACAAATTCAGAGTAAAGGCCGTTAACAAAGAAGGAGAATCGGAAGAGCTCGAAACTGAGAAACCGATTATCGCAAAAAATCCATTCGGTAAGCTTTCACAAAACCTTTGACTTCTACAATTTTGAATAAAAATAATAAATTGAATAACATTTACAAAATTGTCATTTTTTATTCCAGATCCTCCAGATAAACCAGGAAGGCCACAACTTGAAAACTGGGACAAGGACTTTGTCGATCTTAAATGGGCTCCTCCTTCAAACGACGGCGGTGCTCCTATTCAGAAATATATTATACAGATGAGAGATAAAGATGAAAGAAATTGGGTGGACGCGCTAACCGTTCCTGGTGATAGGTAAGAGATTTCAGCTTAATATGCCATGAATTTAATGTCTATAAATATTTTATCACGACATTAAGAAAATAAACTAATTATTTGTTTAAAAAACAAAGTTAACATTTTTGTTTTTAAAGAGATTTTTAACTAATTAATTCCTTTTCAGAACTAGTGGTAAAGTCACTGATGTCCTTGAAGGGCATGAATACGAATTCAGAGTTGTTGCTGTCAACAAAGCAGGACCAGGACCTCACAGTGACTCTTCAAAATCTGTCGTCTGCAAGCCTCGTTTCTGTAAGTATTTCTTAAAAATAAAATAAATAAACAGTCAATCAAAATTGTGTTATTAAATGATTTGTTACACTTTTTAGTGGCTCCTCATATTGATCGTAAGAACCTTAAGAAGAAATCCATTCCATCTGGCCAGACTCTGAAGATAACTGCAGACATTAAAGGAGAACCGCCACCAACTGTCGTTTGGACACTTAAATCCAAACCAATCACTAATAATAGGTAATAAAATATTTTAGCAAATAAATATAGGCCTAAACTCAACTCATATACATATAGGTTAGGTTAATTGTAAAAAATCAGTTGATGAGACTGTAAAAAATGAAAAAAAATTTCCCTTGATTGAATTTTATGTTTATGTGTAACAAATTTAGATCTGTTTGTTGATCTGAACAAAAACGTACTAATATAATTTACAAAGAGGAAGATGCTTAACCTAAAATCATCCTTTAAAAAACTTTCTTTGGGGAAACAAAATATCTAGGAATAACACTAGACCAAAAGCTCACCTGGGACATGTAGACAAAACAACAAAACTAAAAATGAAAGTCGTGAAAAGTTAGGGTCAAAGATTTTGTACTAAAATATGATGTATAGATGCAAAAATAGCCTACTGGCTGTTTAAACAAACTCTGCTCACATTCGAGCTCTAGTTTAGTGGTCAGAAACCTTAGAAAAAAAAACACAAGGCCAACTTAAACAATTATAAAGTTTAGCATGTTTTTAACATCAGATGGACAACGCATACTTGCCCAAAAGGCAAGGTGGCACTGAGATTGCCACCATTGCATGCATACATCCAGAAAAAATGAAATAAAACCTAAAAGAAAGCCATAATAAAATCCTAAAAAGGAGAAATGTATGGAAGAAAAAACACCCTGGAAATATAGGGGTTTATTATGGTTAATATTATGGATTATAGATAGATCCAAAATGAAACATGGAGTTGGGACAGAAGTCAAAAGCTCTAATTTTGACTTAGCAAAACCTCTAGGCCCCCACCATCCATTTTCCAAGCTGATATCCATGCCATAAAACTCTGTGCTAAGAAATATTAAAACAGAGGATTAAAAGGTGCACAGATATTGTCAGACAGTCATGCAACATTGAAGGTTAACTAGACACCTGGGAATGCCTAAAATATCTCAAGCTCCTGGAAAAATGAAGGGACATGAGGGGATTTAAAGCAATGAACAGGCTGACAATAGCAAAAACATGATCAGCCCTCACACTTATTGAACCAGAACTCGGCATGCTCTGAAAAGCAGAACAAAATAAGAAGTTCTTCACCATCTCAACCAGAAAACAATACTTCTCTCCCAACAAGTATTAAGAAAAAGAGAAGGCTTTTATACTGGTCAAAATTGAGACAAAAACATAACTGAATCATGAAAAAGTAGAAACATCAGAATGTGTGACTGTAAAACATTAACCTGGAAACGCCCCTTTGGAAAGGCAATACTAACGCCTTGGGAAATAGTGAAGAGGAACCCCGGAAAGTGCCCAACTGCACTTTTCAGTGTTTGAAAATAAAAAAAGGGTTAATTCCACAATAGAACTTTTAGGTCGCAGTGGAAGAAAGGAAGAATGGTCACCAATGACCCCAGGGTAACAAAAAGGAGTTTAGATCTGTCTAGTTGTTGTTAATGTCTACTATGGCGAGTATGTCATTAAAATATTTTTATATGTGTGGGATGTCATGTCTTCCCATTTGGGAAAGTTTTCTCTTCAAAGTTTTATTTAAAAAAAAAAAAAAAATGCGTCTTCAAATATGGCTGAAGTAGGGTTACCCAACCCTAGTAGTCTGTTTATTTTTTTATACACATATAGTACTACTGTATTTGTGATTGATTATTTAATTCAACTTTATTAGTACCTAGAATAATTTAATTTAAAAAAACTGATTAGTAGGTTGTCATATTTTGTATATTCTTGCTAAACTTACTTCTTTGACATTTTTGAAGGAATACTGATCCCAAACATAAAATTTTAGGATTGGTATCGAAAATGAAGACTACAAAACAACCTTTACACTTCAAAAGGCTTCAAGAAAAGATACTGGCCTGTACACTGTAACAGCGACCAATGATTCAGGAACTGACAGTGTCGAAGTTGAAATTCAAGTATTAGGTAAATTTGTATTTTGTATATGTGATCTGAACAAAAATTGTAACATTTATAATCTCACTCATTGATTTTGTTAAATTTAAGCACCCCCTGGAAAACCAAAAGGCCCGCTGGAGGTTGAAGATATCTGTGCTGATGGATGCACGCTCAAGTGGGACAAGCCCGAAGATGATGGAGGCGAACCAATCGATCACTATCTGATTGAAAGGATGGATCTTGAATCCGGAAGATGGGTGCCAGTAGCAACATCCAAAGGAACAGAAGCTGATGTAAGTGTTAAAGCATAAGAAAATTATCGTAAAATGAATTATTTCTCAAAAATAAAAATTGAGTGAGTTGAAAAAAAAATTGAAATATTAAATATTTCATTTTAGATCTCAGGCTTACATGAAGGAAAGGAATATCAGTTCCGTGTAAAAGCAGTCAATGCCGAAGGTGAATCTGAACCTCTAGAAACTATGACGCCTATTGTTGCCAAAAATCCATTCTGTGAGTATTTCATTGAAAATTATAAGCAACATTTTCAATTTCGTTCAATATCTGGAAGTATAAAGCTAAAATATGATAAAGTCTGGAGTAAAGTCAGGATTAAACGTAGGGTGTGATAGCCTAGAGTTTGTCGTATTTCATTAAGTATCTGGAAGTAGACAACCAACTGTTTGTCTTATTAAGAAACAGAACTTTCTTGTCCATCATAGACTAAGATACAGTTTGCAAAATGGTACAGAAAGTGAGCAATTGCTTAAAAAAGGTGTTAGTCTGAAGGGATAAATTCAGGACTAAAAGTTGGGTGAGATCGTATTTCATTAAGCATCTGGAGGTACACAACCAGACATTTATCTTATTTAATAACAGAACTCTCTCAACCGTGATAGACTCATGGACTAATGGCAAAAAAAGTGAGCAATGTCTTGGAGAACATGATATTCTGAAGGGGTAAAGTCAGGACTGAACATTAGGCATGATTATACCTCAAGTCCGGCATATTTCATTCAATCTGAAATTACACAACCAGACTTTTATCTTATTTAGAAACAGAACTTTCTCAATCATGGTGACCGTGGTGGGCAAGTGCTTAGGGCACCCAACTTGTATTTGACACGTTAAATGTTCTGGATTAGAATCCTAGCTGAGCCCATTTCTTTTTAATTGATAATAGATCTAATAGACAAAAATGTATTGTAAAGTACTTTGACCCCTCGCCTGCGACACCCAACAGAAGTAAAGCCCGCCTGTATGACAGAAATTACTTTATTTTCTTTCACTTACATCTGCAAAACACAACAAAAGACCTGTTGTGCCCACTTAAATACTGCAAACAAAATCTATTTTATGCTTTGTTATCTCATATATGTGTTCATGTATTTATTTGTTTTTTTTTCTTCCAGCTCCTCCTGATAGGCCAGGAAAGCCAGCTGCTAAAGACTGGGATAAGAGTGGATGCTACCTTAAGTGGGCTGCACCTAAATCAGACGGTGGTGCGCAGATTACATCATATGTGATTGAAAAGAAAGACCAATACAGGTAATTTTTGAAATATTTGATAATTTAACGCTTCTTATGTTATATGATCCACACTTTATTCTGCTTTTAAGAAGTTTTGTGAGGTTTCTTCTTGAGGTCTGTGAAGTTACTTGGTTCTTTACCATCATTTTAGTCTATCTTCTCCATTCTGCAATAGCTATTATCTTGTAGATAATTTCGTAAAAAATATACTGGGCAAACATTGGAGACGGCAAAATGCCAAAAAGTTCTGACAGCCACCCCAGCGAGGATACTTAGACTAAATGATAAAATTCTAGGTTCATCACTCTGCAGACCAGAGGAGGAAATCTCATAATTTAATAAAACATTCAGACTTGTGTGTTTTAGAGTCATTTGTTTATTATATTTCAAATTTTCCCCATAATTATAATTACTATTTGCAGTTCCAAATGGCAAAAGGGTGTAGAGCTTATTGGCAATAAAACAGAAGGAAGAATCCCAGATCTTATCGAAGGCATGAAATACACATTCCGTGTAATTGCAGTCAATAAAGGCGGGCAGAGTAAACCCAGTGAACCTAGTGATCCTGTATTGATAAAAGATAGAAATGGTGAATTAAATTTCAAATTTGTATCAAAATCTATTTATACTAATTACTCATTTTTGTAACGTTATAGTCGCACCGAAGATTGACAGATCAAATCTTAAAGATTTGACAATCAAAGCTGGTCAAAATGTGAAATTAGATGTAAAAGTGAGTGGAGAGCCACCAGCCACGAAATCATGGTTCCTTAATAAAGCTCGTCTCTCCTCAAGTGATAATTTGAGCATAGATGATGATGATTACAAAACCAAATTGAGTATTGTAGGTGCTACTAGAGCACAGTCCGGCACTTATGTTATTAAGGCTGAAAACGCTTCTGGAAAAGATGAAGCGACGGTTGAAATTACTGTGCTTGGTATGTGAACTACTTCAAATCATAATTTTTACTTCAAGTATTGTATTTTTATTTAATATTTATTATTATTATTATTTTTAGATATTCCTGGTAAACCAGAAGGACCTTTGAAAGTATCTGATATTCATAAAGAAGGCTGTACGCTTAAATGGAAAGCACCCGAAGATGACGGTGGTTCTCCAATTGAATTTTATGCAGTTGAAAAATTAGATACAGAAACTGGTAACTGTATTTTCCCAGAATTTCTAATGATATGTTGTAACACATTGCTAATTAAAATTTCTATTATGTCTAGGGCGATGGGTACCAGCTGGCAGGACAAAAGATCCTAAAATGGATTTGGAAAGTTTAGTTCCAGGCCATGAATACAAATTCAGAGTTATGGCTGTGAATTCAGAAGGAGAATCAGAACCTCTTGAAGTATTAGAATCCATCATCGCTAAAAATCCATATGGTACTTACACTCGATACTTACTTAGGACTTATTTACTATCAATAAAATTGCTTATGCTTTTTGAGGTATACATCTTCCTCATCACCATTTTTATCCAACAATTATTAAATTACAAGGTTAACAAATATCAATTCGCAACACATTGCTCAAGTTTAATGAAATTACAAATTAAATTAATTGCTTGGTTTATAAAGTTAAAAGCTTTCTATCGACCTTAGTACCTTTTCAATTTATCTTATAAATGAAGTGAAAGAAATGAATTCTCAGATATCAGATCTGCTTCCCACAAGATTCTTGGTTCTATCTTTTATGACTTTTCTGAATATCCTAAGATTATCACCACCAGCTGATGATACAGCAATTTTGTCTTCTAACCTGCATCCAAACATCCTACAACATCTAAGGACACCTTGAGTTTGGACATGGCTAAATGGAGAAAAAGTTCGATTCATAAATAAATATCTACAAAATTCCAGTCAAGTTGGATACTTAGGATTTAGACAGCAAACTGATGTGGAATACCGACACGGGACTTAAGAGGCAACTTAGCAGAAGACTAGGACAACTACAAAGACTTTTAGGACTGAAATCTGTTTTGATCATCAAAACTCAACTAACTTTACACAAGACATTACTGCAATTACTCTGGGCAGAGTGTTTAGGTGGGGTTCCACCAAGCCATCCAGTACATCCCATTCTCACAATGACCTCAAGATTCCTTTTGTCAACTAACAGATCTGATCTCACTTAAAAAAATACCACACCAAGCTTTTCATCCATCCAATCTGCTCGAGGCTCTCGAGACCTCCTCACCTATTTGGACTATAGAGTGCCACTTTCTAAAATTTTGCTAATCTAAGCATTCCAATCAAAAGTCCTCAGATATGTTGTCAAAGCTACTTACTACGTAACTTGCCTTGCAATGACCTAAATATTTTTTTTGTCAACCAACAGATCTGATCTCACTGCAAAAAATACCACACCAAGCTTTTGATCCATCCTAACCTATCTGTTCGAGGCTCTGGAGACCTCCTTGTCTTATAATACCTCTCATTGAGGGCATCATTAGCTGGTTTCTGATTCAATGGGTCTTCTGCATGCCATGCTGGCCAAAGTGAAACCAATTAGGACTATAGACTGCCACTTTCTAAAACCTTGCTAATCTAAGTATTCCAGTCAAATTCCTCTGATAAGATGTCAAAGCTCCTTACTACATAACTTACCTTGCAAAGACCTTAATATTACTTTTGTCAACAAATTGATCTGATCTAGTTAGAAAAGTTCCACACCATTTGATCCATCCTAACCCAACTGCCTCCAAGCTCTCCAAAACTCCTCACATCATAATACAACTCTTGCTAATCTAACATTCCAATCAAACGTCCTTAGATAAAATGTCAAAAGTCCTTTGTAAGCATTTGATCCGTCCTAACTTTACTGCCAAGTTTCAGCTGCACTATCTCATCCTCAGAACCTGCCACATCACCTTAAATGTTGTTTTTGAGATCCCCTTAAAACAAATTAAGGGGATTAAATTAATTTATTTTAATTGCTCATAATGAGTGCCTGCATTGGCTAAAGCAAATATCACAAGAAAATTAACACCAAAGATCTTTTAATTAGTAAAATGTCAGATAATGATTAACATTCACTGGTATATAATAATACAGATTTTATTGTTGAAATTAATGTTTAATCTAATCTGTATAGATGAACCTGGTGCAACCAGTGCACCAGAAGTTGTCGATTGGGACAAAGATCACGTCGATCTTAAATGGAATCCACCGACAAAGGATGGCGGTTCCCCCATTACCGGATATATCGTTGAAAAACGTGAAAAAGGCAGCCCGAGATGGGTTAAAGCGGCCGAAGTCAAAGGCCCAGATTGCAAAGCAAGAGCTGAAGACTTAGACGAAGGTGTGGAATACGAATTCCGCGTAATTGCCGTAAACGATGCTGGTCCTGGTGAGCCCAGTCAGCCTAGCAAACCTGTCACTCCTCGACCAAGAAAATGTTAGTTATAATCTATAAAAATTCGTTTATATTTATTATTAATAATTATTTTAATAATTCCAGTGCCTCCAAGAATTGACAGAAAGAATCTTAACGCTGTGACCGTTCATGAAGGAGAACCGATTATGCTTCTTGTGAAAGTTAGTGGTGAACCAGCTCCAGAAATAACATGGAGCAAGGGAAATAAAACTGTCACCTCCATGGGAAGTAGGCAGATTGACGTATCACCCAATCAAACAAAGTTTGTCATTCAAGCAACAGTACGTGGTGATACAGGCATCTACAAAGTCCACGCATCCAACAGATATGGTGCTGATGATGCCGAAGTTGAAATCACAGTTATCAGTGAGTATTTTGAATCTAATATATTAAATTAATAAAATCTATAAATAATTTTATCATAGGCAAACCCGGAGCGCCCGAAGGTCCTTTAGAAGTGTCAGACATCCACAAAGAAGGGTGCACACTAAAATGGAAGAAACCCAAAGATGACGGCGGTGAACCGATCGACGGTTATATAGTTGAAAAATTCGACCCAGACACTGGAGTCTGGCTACCTGTTGGAAAATCAAAAAGCCCAGAGATGGAAGTCACCGGTTTAACGCCCGGTCACGAATACCAATTTAGAGTAAAAGCGTTCAATAAGGAAGGAGAATCAGAACCATTACAGACTCTTTCATCAATAGTTGCTAAAGACCCATATGGTAAATTTTATTTCATATATTTTTTAAAAGTTAAACGTAGATCAAACATCAATACTTATATGATTTTAAACCCTCGTTGAATTTAAATAATGAACTTTTCAGTTGTACCGAGCGAGCCTGGAGCTCCAAATCCTGTCGATTGGAACCAGAACCAAGTTGATCTTGTTTGGGAAGAACCTGCATCGGATGGCGGAACTCCAATCACCGGCTACCTCATTGAGAAAAGAGATAAATACAGGTTAATATTTTATTTGGTTATACTTTTTTTTTTAATATCAACCAAAAATGTTCAAATTTTCTATTTACTTTTCTTTAGTGGAATTTGGGAGAAAGCACTTGAAACGACAGGGTGTTCTCCTCAAGCTTTGGTAACTGGTTTGGTCGAAGGCAATGAATATCAATTCAGAGTCATTGCATTAAACAAAGCTGGTCAGAGTAAGCCCAGCGACGCTAGCAAAACATTCACTGCCAAACCAAGATATCGTAAGTTAACCAATTTTTTAAAATAAATATGTATAAATAAAATGGATTGTTTTTTAGTTGGGCCTAGAATTGACAGAAGAAACCTTAGAGATGTTACTCTCTCAGTCGGCTCAGCGCTTAAACTTGATGCCAACATTACTGGTGAACCTCCACCAACTGTTGAATGGAGATGCTCTTCAAACCCTATCAAGTAACTGTTCATTTTTAGGTCTAATTGTTTTTTTTCAGTTGTTAATTATAAAATCTTTAAAATTTAGAAACAATAAAACGACAACGCTGGAAAATGTTGACTACTACACAAAGCTTACAATTAGACCTGTCGCCAGAGGTGATTCGGGTGAATATGTTGTAACTGCCTCGAACAGTTCCGGAAAAGATCAAGTGACCATCCAGGTTGTGGTTACGGATAAACCATCTCCGCCACAAGGACCATTGCAGGTACAACAATACAAATGAACACGATAAAAAACACACAAAAAAACTATACTTTAAAACGTTTACAAATTTAATTGTACTATTTAGGTGAATGATGTACATAAAGAAGGATGTACACTGAAATGGAAGAGACCGCGAGACGATGGTGGTACTCCCATTGAACACTACGCAGTTGAGAAGTTTGATGTTAGCAAGGGTTCATGGATTCCTTGTGGAAAGACTACTGAGCCATGTAATTACTATTTTTCATTATTTTAAAGTAACTTTACAAACTTAAAAATTAATTTTGTACTTTAATTATGTGGACATTTAAATAATATTATATGGGGACTGTGGTGGCTGGGTGGGTTAGGTGGTAGCCTCAGTTTTAGACCAACCAGGCTGTGGGTCCGATATGCACTATAGTCCCAGATCTTTTCTTTCTAATGCCTCCTCTGCAACCCCATTGGATGTTAGATATATGTAGTCAGCAGAAATTCATCAAGGAATTTTATCATTAGGATTTGGTTGTGTTTCTTTCACTGTCACGTTATTTGTTTCAAAGCTTTTTCTCCTGCAGAGAAGTGTGGCACTGTACATATTACATGCTTTGGATTCTTTTCTGCATCTTCGCAGAATCTGCATGCTGATTAATACCAATCTTAAGTCCCTGTCAACAATCATGCTATGATACTTTTCCCGCTTCTTTTGATGTATTTTGTAGTTTCTTTCCAAATTTTTCCAGTTTTTTGGATTGTCTGTCTCCTTGTTACCTCACATTCACCATTCACCTTGTCTCCTTTGCTAAAATGGTCATTGATGGTATAGACCCTGTGTCACAAAAGGGACCTATCAGCATTGTAGCAACACCTTTCCTTGTAAGTGCAAGGGAACACCCTTTGGGCAGATAGGAATCTGCCATTTTTAATGAGTAAGCAACGGAAACTAGTATTAACTATTATCATTTATGATATAAATGATATAGTGATCTTAGAAATGAAACTCTTGAAACCTCACATGAGTTAGATATCACCAAGGGTTCGGATGGTCGTCCTCCTGTGTTTTGTAAATTCATTGAACTCCAGATACATCCTATACCATAATTTGCAAATGGAAAATTTTAAATAACGTTATACCTCCCATGAATTATTACCGATGATCCAACTAAATGTGCTACACCCTAAGGCACACTCTTTCTGATACTTTATGTCTCATCCATATTCTCATGTCAACTATGTTTCCTCTTAATACTGTGTCTTCAACGACTGGCATTTTTCTGAGTGTCCGGACATTTTCAGAAATAAAGTTTTAGAACTCTAGAAAATTAATAAATAAGTATTAACTAATATTATTCATAAATGCTTGATGTATTATATTTATGTTATGACTGTTCTGTATTGGGATGTATCTTGTTTGGGTTATAATGTATAAATAAAATAAATAAAAAAGGCTAAAACAAAGGATCGACCTAAAATCCACAAATGCTTTTAACAATGATGAAATCAAACATTTAAAACGGTAACAATCCTATGTACTGTTCATGCCAATGTGGGCCAGCATAACCTCAATCGTTAACCTCACCGTAATGCACAAAAGATTTTATGTTCAATTAAAAGAAAACCACTAGCAGAAAACTTAATTACCACACTAGTGGTTCTGAGTTTGAATCCTGGCATAGCCTATAAAATTTAATCCATAATAATATAAAAAAATATTGTAAAGAGGTTTGACCACTTGACTCCAATACCAAACAGGTTAAACGTTAAGGTCTTACATGACAGGGATTAAAAACTGAAAAATAATTTTTGAATAACTTTTTTACAGCTTGTGAAGTCACTGGTCTCACACCTGGCAATGAATACTCCTTCCGTGTTTTTGCTGTGAACGCAGAAGGCGAATCTGAACCGCTTGAAGCCGAAAGTACAGTCGTCGCTAAAAATCCATTTGGTAATTAGTTCGTTAATTATTACGCAACATTAAAAACCAACTCTTCATAAAAATAAAATTTGAATTTATTTATTCAAGATGAGCCTGGAAAACCAGAAGATCTGGAAGCAACTGATTGGGATAAAGACCATGTCGACTTGAAATGGGCTCCACCTAAACAGGATGGCGGCTCCCCAATTACAGAATACTTAATTGAAAAGAAAGACAAATATGGAAACTGGGAAAAGGCGCTTACTGTGCCGAGCGATCAGACTTCAGCTACAATTCCAAATTTGACGGAAGGAGAATCATACCAATTTCAAGTCAGGGCTGTAAATTCAGCTGGCCCTGGAGAAGCTAGTGACCCCACTCCTATTATCATCACTAAACCGAGAAACTTAGCACCGAAGATTGACCGTTCCACGTTGAACGATATTACAATTAAGGCTGGAGCGCCATTTAAATTCAATGTTAAAGTCACTGGAGAGCCAATGCCTACAACGTCATGGATCCACGGAAGCCAAGATGTTACTTCTAAAGGGAATGTCAAAGTCGTCCATTTCGATTACGGCACTAAACTAAGTGTGAGAAATACAACTAGAAGTAACACTGGAAAATACAAAGTTGTGGCTGAAAATATTAATGGAAAAGATATCGCCGAAGTAAAAGTCACTATTTTGGGTAAATATAGATTGTACTCTACAAAAGTTTCTTTTTCTATTTTGTCTTCTTCTCCAGATAAACCTGCACCACCCAATGGACCTCTTAAGGTTTCTGATGTTCATTCAGATGGATGTAAGCTGTCTTGGAAACCACCAGATGATGATGGAGGAAATCCTGTTGAAAAATACGTTGTGGAGAAAATGGATGAAGCGACAGGTAGGTTGAATTTTTTAAATTAATGTGTACTTGATTCATTTAATGTTTTCTAACTATACACCAACTTACAAATTTGCATTGAAAATTCATCTGTTTTTAATGAAACTGTGTTCAAATTAATCAAGTTTGTATTCTTATTTCATAAAATTTGTAAAAACATTAGGACGTTGGGTTCCTGCCGGAGAGACAACCGGCCCAGAAACAGCGTTGGATGTTACTGGCCTACAACCAAACCATAAATACAAGTTCAGAGTTCGAGCAGTCAACAAACAGGGTAAATCAGACCCGCTAACTGCGCAACAAGCCATCGAAGCTAAAAATCCATACGGTAACTGTTTATAAAAACTCAGAATTCAATTTTCAAAATTTATTTGGTATAAATAATATGATGATTTAATTTTTAGATGAGCCTGGTAAACCAAGTACACCCGTTGTTACGGATTATGACAAAGACTTTGTCGAACTTGAATGGCAAAAACCAGAGGAAGATGGTGGATCACCTATTACAGGTTATGTAATTGAAAAGAAAGAAAAATACAGGTAATTAATTTATTATATTCTTATTATAACTGGGCTGGTATCTATAAATAAGGACTCTCCATTCTCCAAATTGGCAATTTAAACTTTTCATCAATTTTAATCTTTTTGTCAACAAATGGTACAGTTTAAATGCATTACCACTCTACCTAATGTTAATTAACCACCAAAGATCTAAGAAAGAAACCACCAAAGTTATCGTCCTGAAAATTAAACTCTCTAAAATGTAGATCTTTGCAAATATTTAGATATTAGGTGTGCAGAAGTTTGGACAAAGTTTAAGCTTTATGTTTTAGGGCCTCCAAACTACATCCTCGCCAGCCCTCTCCTTCTTAGCATTTCTTTTCTTGCCTTTCTCATGTTTTAAACCTAATAATTTATTTTCCTTTTCTCCAGACAATTTATAATGTCATATGATACAAACGGTAACCATTCTCCCGGTTCTTTAGCCTATTGCTAGCCTTTCTGTACCTTAGGGCACATTAATTGTGGTTAAAATAACACAAATGCACAGAAACAGAGTGCCTGTGCTACCCGATAGTACTTGATATTCCTTGGGGTAATTGGGGAAGAAGCCTTTTCATCTATTGACTGATCTAATAATTGACATCTGCACTGACCCCCCCCCCCCAATAATTGATATTTATCAAGAAATTTCCTTCCACACCAATAAATTACATTCACTCATTACATTGATACTATTACAAATAAAAAATATTTTTCATTCACACCAATAGATACAGTCATCCCTATACTAGGTACTATTACTATATAAATAGTCTTAGCTTATTCATTATGCTGGAGTACTCCATATTTCTCAGGGATCAAGGATCTCACCCTTCCATTCATGCTGTAAATTACATCAACACATCGGACTTCATTCACACTACCCCAGGAGAATTCGATAATCCTTGGGATAATTGAGGATATGCCCCTCCATTCACGCTAAAAATTACATTCACATACCAGACTTCATTCAAATTACACTAGAGAATTCGATATTCGTTTGCGTAATTGAGGATATGCCCCTCTATTCACGCTAATAAATTACATTCACATACCAGACTTCATTCAAATTACACTAGAGAATTCGATATTCGTTTGCGTAATTGAGGATATGCCCCTCTATTCACGCTAATAAATTACATTCACATACCAGACTTCATTCAAACTACCCCACAGTACTTGACATTCCTCATGGCAATTATAGATAAGTTCTCCATTCACATAAATAAATACATTCATTCCAATAAATAAAACATATCACTTTGTACACGAAGGTACAAAGATCAAGGTAAAATTCAAAGGTCATCAAAGGTATTTATGGACCTGAGATATTGGACCTGCTGCTAACCTCAAGGTCGTGCATAGGTCATTCAGGATTTCGTATTTCTTTCTTTGGAGACTTAGTTCTTTGCAGTCTGTTATCATGTGCTTTACCATGATAATTCTCCACACAAAAGGTACATGGTCTCACCCCCTTTGGTGCGGACTATGCACAACTTTGTCTGACCTTTTCCCCTCTAGACCCAGACTCTGCAGGTGAAGACCAATGTATTTTTTACATTTGTATAATCTGAATGTGTTTCTTTTGTTCCAATGAATTTTCCCTTTATTTTTTATTGATTAGCAATTTGTTTGTTAACTAATTTAACCATATTTATCAATCAAATGTTTTCAGTAATAACTGGGAACCTTGTCTGGAAGTACAAGGCGATGTCACATCTGGTAAAGTTCCTGATTTGGTTGAAGGAAGCCAGTATGAATTTAGAGTACGCGCTGTTAATAAAGCCGGCCCAGGAACCCCAAGTGATCCTACAAACCCCGTTATTGCTAAAGCCAAAAACCGTAAGTCATACTAATCGCCATTTTAATAAGAAAAACTTACGCGTTTGTTTTACAGTTGCTCCAAGAATCGACAGGAATGCCATGATGGATATTAAAGTACGCGCTGGGCAAAACTTTGATTTCGACGTTCCAATTTTCGGTGAACCGCCGCCCTCTAAAGAATGGTCAATGAAAGGAAATCCCGTTATCAGCAGCGAACGGGTAAGAATAGTCCATGAAGATTACAACACAAAACTGAGAGTCATAGATGCCAAGAGATCCGACTCAGGACCATGCATGCTATTTGTTAAAAACGTCAATGGTTCTGATACCTGTACAGTCAATGTTACAGTTTTAGGTAAAATTTTACAATTTTACTCTTTTTTTTTATTATATAAAAGTACAATTTTACAATGTTGGTTTTTTTTTTGTGGTTTTAGATGTACCCCAACCTCCTGAAGGGCCGCTTAACCTTTCAGACATCACAAAGAGTTCTTGCATGGTTCAATGGAAGCCACCACGGGACAACGGAGGATCTGATATTACTCACTATATTGTAGAGAAGATGGATAGTGACAGCCTTCGATGGGTCCCATGTGGTGACAGCTACACAACTAAACTGAGGTACATTTTAAACATATTTTTTAATTTCGCCCTACCATCCCAACTGTTTTGTCTCTATTGTTCTCCTGTTGCTTCAGCTTAAAAGATGACACGATGAACAACTTTTTCTGAAAAGGGTTGATTTTCTTTACATGAGGTTTTTTTGTTTGAAATGAATCAAAGAAGTAGTGGGTGAACTCAAAACTCTAGACTGGGGGAAAATTGGAAATTTGCTTTGATGTTTGAAGGACTACAATGATAAATCCTTTAATTTGTGAGGTCCGAAGACCCTCTGAGCTAGATTATTTTGTTTTATGGAAATTAATGAAATAAAAAAACCCAGTTTTTCCTAAAATTTTATATTTTCACGACTGATTTAAAATAATCAGAAAAAAAGGAATGGAGGTCTTTTGCTTCTAATGTAGAAATAAACTTGTTTATGATGAAAAATATGAGGCATAGGCTCGACACTCTTTATCCAAAGAAAAATGTAACTGTCCCTGCTCTTTGTTGCTTAAGCTCCAACCTCAATCAGTGTCCCATTGTCGAGGCCAGGCCAATAATGTCAACATCCCCTGACAAATTTTGATTCTGCTGACTTCAATCATTTGAATGCTGTAATGGGAACTACAACCTGCTGATCATACCCAATGACATGGCCTAATTAGCCATAAAGCAAACTATTTTATTTGGTTGCTCATGAAGCTTTTAGTTTGATTGAGACGTATTTGGCACCCTTTTTCTAAAAATCTATCACTCGTATGGTTCAATGCACTTTTGGCATATAGGCATATTGGATTTTCAATACAGAAAATTTATATGTATAAATATATATATATATATATATGTATATATAATTCCTAGTCGATATAATTATATAGATAAGGTGTTTAATTAAATCTTTATGTTGTTTTATTATATAAGGATTTTATTGTCTTTTTCATTGATGTATTGTATAGTTTTATTCTTTATTATGTTGAATTAGTTTTAAGCACTGTAGTATACCTATATTTTTTTCTCCTTACTTTTGTATATTTTTTTAAGAAATGAGTTTTTGACGCTTAGAAAAATAATAAATAAAAGTCTGTAGCATTGATGAAATTCAATGAAAATTTCAGTTATTTGTAAACAAATATGGTCCGAAATATTTTTTTACATTACCTCTTGTCTTCTCAGGGTTTTGATTGACCTAAATATGTTTCTGTAGTCTCCAAGTATAGTTTCTGAGGATAGTTGGGTTTTGCCAAGCGTGAAATGAGTAAAAATCCGAAGAGGCAATTCCAGGCGAGTATGGTGTAGCACATCCCAGCCAAGCTCCAACAATTTCCAGAGCAAGGGTTATCCTGGCAGGAAACTTTGACTCAATCGCTCCAATTGTGTACAGTGTACGTTAGAATTGATGGGTTGGTTGCGCAAAAGCTCATAATAAAACACCCCCAATTGAACCAAATCCACACTCTCTTCGATTTTGAGATTTTTGGGTTGATGCGTTTTCTCTCAGGATTTTCTCCTCTGAATATTGTTTTAAGAGACATAGTTAGTCTGAGACACTTTCATATTTCTTCCTATAATTTTCACTTTATATTAGCGTCTCAGCGCTTTAAAGTTTTGCCATACAATATCGGTCTCATCTATCAATCTTATAAATTTTATAAACTTGTAATAATAAAATACAAAATAGTAAACAGTTTTTAAGGACAGGGATGAAACTCATCAGCATTTCGTTACCCTGCTGTTTGGCCAGAGAAACTAAAAAACCCCTAGAGAAAAAATAGTTGTGCAAGTAAAAACCGCCTCCCTTAAATTGTAAACTATTACAGTCATTATATTTATAGTTTAAAAATTATATATAAAAGCCTATTTTAACATCGGAACAGTTACATTGTATAAAATTTATTTTATAGGGTGGAACATCTAATTGAAGGACATAGTTACAACTTCAGAGTCAAGGCAGTAAACAAAATTGGCGAGTCCTTACCACTTATTGGACAATCACCAATTACTGCCAGGGATCCGTTCAAGAAACCAGACAAACCTGGTACTCCAACAATGAAAGGTATTGATGAAAATGTATTTGTTGAATTTTGAAAAGTAACGCTTAAAAGAAAATTGAATTTTAAAATAAAATTTTAAACATTTAGATTGGGGCAAAGATTTTGTTACTCTACAATGGACACCGCCTAAGAAAGATGGTGGTTCACCGATAACCGGTTATGTTGTTGAAAAGAGGCCAAAGTTTGGGTAAATAAATCAAGTTGTATTTTTAGCAATGTTTTTCAATAAACCTATTTTTTTATATATTTAAAATAATTCGTTTTACTATACACATTTATTATATGGCTTTTAATTTTATAGTTCAACTTGGGAGAAAGTTGCAGAAGTACCTGCAAACAAAACAGATTGTAAGGTTGATGGACTAGATGAAAATGAAGAGTACGAATTCCGCGTTATCGCTGTCAACAAAGGAGGACTCGGAGATCCAAGCGATGTCGCGTCCAGACCTCGATTCAGTAAGTCGACAATTTAACATTTAAACTTAATTAAAACAAACTAATTCATTGTTACTTTTCATTATCAGTGGAGCCGCATATTGATTCTTTGGGAATGCAAGACTTGATCGTTCGCGTCGGACAACGTATTAATTTCACTGTTCCAATTGGAGGTTCGCCCACACCTAAACCAAAATGGAGTATCAATCATAAAGAAGTCTCAGCCGATGACAGAATTGATCTCATGAAGACATCCCACGAAGTAATACTTGATATTCCCTTTTCTGTCAGATCCGACAGCGGTGAATACAGTTTGACACTAGTTAATGAGCTCGGCTCATGCACTGCAAGTGCACGTGTGTCAGTACTAGGTACAATAACCCTTATTAATAAATATTTACAGTAAATATATACAGAGTTTATATATGTTTAACTTGTAGATCGGCCATCTGCTCCAAAGGGACCACTTACTGTTTTCGATGTAACAAAGGAGAGTGCAAGACTCGCCTGGAAGCCGCCAGATGATGATGGAGGTTCTCCAGTTCTGCATTACATCATTGAAAAAATGGACACTTCCAGGGGGACGTGGTCTGATGCCGGAATGTCGCCCAACCTTAATTTCATCGTTGAAAGACTTATTCACAAGAAGGAATATTATTTCCGTGTTAAAGCTGTTAACGCAATGGGAGAATCGGAACCTCTCGAAACTGAAAAAGGCATCATCGCGCAAAACGAATTTGGTAAATATACACTCTTTTTTTAATCGTTTCTAAAAATTAAAATGCCGTGTTTTAAATAGTATAAATAAAACTATTTTTCTTAAACTTTAGATGAGCCTGAAGCACCTGAAAGACCAAACGTTATGGACTGGGGCGAGAATTTTGTAGAAATTCAATGGCAACCACCAAAATCGGATGGTGGATCCCCGGTGATGGAATATATCATACAAAAGAAAGAAAAAGACAGTCCTTACTGGGCAAATGCTATGACAACCCCTGGAGGGACAACAAACGTAAGATAAATGTTTTCATAGACCTCTTTCCTTAAGAAGGAACTAATATTAACTTTGTTTAATTTGTACATTTAGTTGATATTATTTATAACCTAAATTATTAATTTCTGCTAACCAAAGATAGCCACAACCTTCATATTTAATATCAAGTTCAATAAAACAGTGTACTAATGAAGGGAATTATCAGTTTAGGCTAAGAGTTTTATCCTATTAGAGCCAATGTGCACCCCTCCATTACCAAACAATGTCATAAAAAAAATAATGAAAAGAGCAGGGGGCTGAGAGGGCAACCTTGCTTCACTCAACCCAAATATATCCCACTATATCTGTAAATAGAGCTTTAATAGATTGGTCAGACTTTTGGAAATACCTACTTAAAAAATGCCTATTTACAAAGACAAAAGCAGCGGGAAAGTCGCAAATTGCACCAGCCACCGCAGGTCAGAGTGAAAAGACCAAAAGTCCATCAGCCAGTTACAAAAAAGACACCCAGGTTGTGGAGCTTGAAAAAAAAATCTTTCCTTCTTCATATCGAGTTTTATTCCAATCAAATTTATTAATGAAAATAGAAAATCAACAATTAAATAATTAGATCTATAACCACCTTGTGCCCCCACTTTGGTAGGACCAAACTGATAATCTTTTCAATAAAAGACTAGCATACAATTTATTGACAACATCCATTAAAAAAATGTATCAATTTGTCTCAATACTTGTTTTTTTACAGGCTGTTATCAACGATCTACTTAAAGGACATGAATATGAATTCCGTGTCATTGCGGTGAACAAAGCTGGACCTAGTGCACCTAGCGAGCCTACAGAATCTGTTGTCTGCAGGCAGAGATACTGTAAGCCAAAAAAAGATTTTTAAAAAAATCATAAACTCAATTTGTAACTCAAATAACCAACTCCGTTTGATTTTAGTGGCTCCCAAGATTGTCACTCTGCTTGAAGACATTATTGTGAAAGCTGGAACGATCCTTCATGTTGCCATTGATTTTATTGGCGAACCACCGCCAGAAGCCATTTGGACCGTGGGGAGCAAGGAGCTTTTAACAGATTCGAGAACAACAGTCACAGCTATTGGATATCATACAATTGTGCACACTGTAAATTGTAGAAGATCCGATAGTGGAGAATACCACTTATTATTGCGAAACAGTTCTGGAATTGATGAAGGATCTCTAAATATCACAGTCTTGGGTATATTATTATTTTTTTCTTAATTATTGTTATACTCAGGTGTGTTCAATAGTATTAAGTCAAAATCACTAATAATAAAAAGAAAATTATTTCCTTTCATCAAATTATTTAACAAGAATTAATGTTGATATTTAAAATTAATGCTGGACACTCCCAAATTGTCTGGTTTGAGTCATCAGTGACTCTAGTAAGGTATTTGTAACATTCCTGTGATTCTCTGATCCCAATTCACTGTAGTTACACTAGAAGGTTGTCATTAAACCATAGTCTTGATAATCTGAAAAGCCCCGTTTTGTTTGTTTGTACCTGTAAAATTTTTCCTGTGTCTTCTGCCAGGATAATTAAATGCATAGGACCTTTATTTCTTGCTACTTTTGTCAATGCATCCACTTTTATTCTTCCTTTTATATCTTTATGCCCCTTTTACATATTTTCCAATATTTCATTTTATTTAGAAGAGATTTGTTATTACGTTTGGCGACTTTTCCTTTTTTCTATATAAAAATATTACAATATCCATTTTTACATTAATGCATATTTCAGTGTCTCCTTGATCACCAGCAGTTCCATAGTCCGGCCAATTTACTTGGAACTGTACTTGCTGCTCCATCCACTTTCTCGATTTTTGATCCTTTTTGGCCTGTGTATTTATTTTCCAATTGTTTCCAGAGAGTGTCCTACACCATAGTACATGAATTAAGAGTATGAACAAGGAAAACAGAATAGGTCTCAGAAGACAACCTTGTTTGACTCCTTAGCTCACTTGGAGATTTACTTACAAACGTAACTGTACAAACAGGTCAAACGTACTAAAACCGAACAGTCAGTCCTCTGTACAACCTTGTGCAATCTTCATTATTATCAGTTAATTAATCTTTACGTAAGGTATTGGTTGAGATAAAAAAGTCAGTGTCATGAGCGGGATTCAAACCTTCAGCTAAATACGCCGTTGCTCTACCACTTAAGCTATTGTGACTTCAATCCACTAACTTCCCATCTGAACCCCACCTTACGAATTTTCCCTCCTTTTTGCCAATTTTTTTGAATCCTGCTCGTGACCCTGACTTTTTTTTATCTCAACCAATACCTTACGTAAAGATTAATTAATTGAAAAAAGTTATTCGGTCAATCAGACCAACTCTAATGGATTTCTTCATTATCTTGGCTTTTTCTCTCCCAGAAGTAATCTCAGCCTGCTTAGGCCTTTGCACCATCAGAGGATATGTAATGCTTTTTCTTCTTCTTCCTGACAATACGTAAATGAGCTTGTTTCTGCAGTTCCGAGCCTATACTCCTCTGGAGCTATATATGCCATTCATCAGTCCTACTATCTACTCCTATTCTATTCTAGAAGAAATCTATAGAATTTTCTATTATTTCTATTCCATTCTAGTCCTACTATGTCCCAAGGTTTTGTAGTTCGGTCGTTAGTTTGGTTTCAGTAAAATCCCTTTGAACTGAGAGCTTATTCTTAATGAAAAGTCTGATCGATCTACATTTTTGGCAATTTTGGCCACAAAAGGGTCTAGGGTGGTTGCTAGGTGTCCTCATCAAACAGCCGTCTTGGCTCCCAGCTGACATATCCGGAATACCTCCGATATCTTGTAAAGCATGGTGCTTTTCTCTAAATAAATACATTTTTATTGTTTCAGATCGTCCTGGACCTCCAAGAGAACCGCTTGAGTATGAAGAAATTACTGCTTCAAGTGTCACTTTATCTTGGCTGCCACCTTCCGACAACGGCGGTAGTGAAATAACGTATGAACATAATTTAAACCACATAATTTTTACGCATATCGGCTAATTTATCATTTCAATATTTCAGTAATTATGTTATTGAAAAGAAAGATCTTTCCCATGGTGGTGGCTGGGTCCCAGCTTTGACAAACGTGAATCCTGCACAGCACCATGCCACCGTTCCCAGACTCCTCGAGGGTACACAATATGAATTTAGAGTTATGGCTGAAAATTTGCAGGGACGGTCTGATCCGTTAACAACATCTAAGCCGATCATAGCCAAAAATCAATTCGGTAATAAACCATCTTTAATATATTAATTATTCTACTATTTTATTTTTATGTTCTAAATTATTCTGAATTATTTTTCAGACGTACCTGGCAAACCCGGAAAGCCTCAAGCCACGGATATCAACAAAGACCATATTTCACTCAAATGGTCTCCACCGATTAGCAATGGTGGCTCTCCTATTGTTGGATACATTGTAGAAAGACGAGAACGTGCCACAGGACGGTGGACCAAGCTGACTAAAGATCCAATTAGGGTAAAATAATTTTTGTATTCCTAACTCAGTTTTTATACTATTTAATGATTCTTACAAACAGGCAAGGTCCACGCATGGACAAAACCATCCAATACAATACTATCGATCTGTACTCAATTGAACAATTGATTTCTTTATTTACTCTAGGAATTTAACTTTAATTTTTTTAATTTTAGCTCACTGAATATGACGATTCCCGTGTTTATGAAGGTAAACAGTACGAATACAGAATAAGTGCTGTAAATGCAGCTGGTTGCAGTAAACCTAGTGATGTATCTGAAGCTTACGAAGCCAAATTGATGAGAGGTAAGCTTATAATTTATATTTATTCAACGTTTGTATTAAATATTTATTTATAATTGCAGAAAAACCAAAACTCTTCCTCAACGATCTTGTCGGCAAGAAAATCAAAGTTAGAGCTGGAGAACCTATTAATATTAACATACCAATGTCTGGAGCTCCTACGCCTACTGTGGAATGGGTTATTAATGATCACAAGATGCCGCAAACTAACAGAATTTTGGTGTGTATATTTCATATTAGTGAAATTGTGACGTTTTAAGTTTTATTTTAAACCAGCCTGCACTTCACGTTTCTTCCACCTCGTACTTTTACATTACTCAATGAGCAATCACACAGGAGGGCTTGTGATCTTTTATTTCCCAAGGAAATAGTGGGATTTACTACTATATACTTAATCTAAGTTTGTTGGTACTCAGAGTACTCAATATTCCACTGAGGTCCAATCCTCATTAATGCTTATAATATTCATACAAAGCATAACCTTTCACACAGTATATACAGTTATAAAAATTGAGACTCATAGGCCACACCTTGCAACAGTGTTTACACTAATAGAATATGTCTGACAGTTATTAGTCACACATTGGGTATCTATTTGGCTGTTTGTTATGAGATGCCCAAGTGTCAGCCTAGTGTGGCCTATTTGCAATCAAGTCATTAATATTCTTTCTTTCCTGTCCATTTTCTCCATGACCCATGGCTTGATGTACAATTTTATTGTGATCCAGCCAATTTTCCAAACATAATATTGTTACATTTTCTGGCATCCACATGTCACACGGCATCGGTGATGCTGAATCCAAGCAATAATGACTTCTTTTTTGGCGTGCATTGCATAGAATAGTGGGACCATGGAGAAAACATTATGCTTGACCATGACTGTACCGAGTGAGCCCGTATAGACAACGTGTAGTCTTCTTCATTAACACTAGTCCTTAGAGATGCCCATATTTAATTAATTTTATTTAATTATTTGTGTATTATACTATAAAAATATTTGTTTCAATTTGTCTTTTTATTGATTAGTTTGAAATAATGATCTTTGTAATTTTTTAAGGCTGATACTACAAGTAATGAAGCTAAACTTCACATCAGTGATTCTAACCGTAATGATTCTGGAAAATACAAAATCACCGCTAAAAACGAATTCGGTACTGATTCCGCTGAAATAGAAGTGATCGTTGTCAGCAAGCCAGGTCCTCCTGGAGGTCCTCTTATGTACCCCGAAGTATCGCATGACAGCGTTTCCCTCTCCTGGCAACCTCCGACAGACAACGGTGGCAGTCCGATTACCGGTTACATAATCGAAATGGCAGACTTCGGCGTCGATGTGTGGAAACCGGTTCCTGGTTTCTGCCCCAACACATCGTTCACGGTTAAAGGTCTACCTGAAGGAAAACGATACAACTTCAGAATAAAAGCGGAAAACATCTACGGTGTTTCTGAACCGCTCGACGGCAAACCGGTATTAGTCAAAAGTCCCTTCGATCCTCCGGATGCACCATCCAAACCAGAAATTATGTCATACAATCCAAGCAGTTGCACCCTGCAATGGAATCCCCCTACAAACACTGGTGGTCGTCCTATCACTGGTAAATATATTATTTTTCAATTTTTATTTCACCATTTTATATACTTTTTTTTTTTTTTTAAAGGCTATTATGTGGAAAAATGTGAACGTGGAGGTGATTGGGTCAAAGCAAATAATTATCCTACTCCAAATACATTCTTCACAGTACAAGGACTTCATGAAGGTCTAAAGTACGAATTCAGAGTTGTTGCTATTAATGAAGCTGGACCTGGAAAACCAAGCAAAGCTACAGATCCAATAATTGCTAAAGAGCAAAAACGTAAGTTCTCTCTAAAAATTAAGATTATATAAAATAAGGTGGGACTTAATATATAGCCTAGTAAAAATCTGTTAATAACTGTAACTTTATTATCCAAAATCAATTTAATTTCCCCTGATTACTCAACGGTAACTTTATCTTTAGGTGTTCCTGACCCAACTGATCCACCGATGCCTGACAGAATTACAAAGAGCACCGTTACATTGTCCTGGAGGCCGCCGAGGAATGACGGAGGAAGTAAAATCACCGAGTATATCATACAAAAGAAAGCGAGAGGAGATGCAGATTGGTCTGAAGCTGCTGTTGTTTCAGCCCCTACTACTCTCCATACCGTATGTTAACATTTTAAATGATCATAAGTATACTTATTTCAATAAATCAAACCACTTCGGGGCACTGTAGTATACCTATATT